AAGGCAGCAGCGGCGGTGTCTCGGCTAGCGACAAGCCTCCCCTCCCTGTTGGTCGAGTCGTCGCAGCACCTCAGCGCACGCCACAGATCCCCGTCGATCGCTGCCTCGGTCCGCATTGCCCACCGCACACACCTCCTCCTCTATCTATCCACTAATCTATCTATCTACACCACCACGACCCCAGCACCCGGCACCCAGCAACTGCCTGCACAGCACAGCACGTCCAAACAAAAAAGCAAAACAAACCCTCTCAACCACTAAATCACTAACTCTCCACCAAAAAACAAAAACAAAAAACGAGCCAACCAACCCACCCCAACCCGGACCAAATAAACAAAAAAAAAGAAAAAAAGAAAAGAAACACAGCACGCATGTCCACGCAGCAGGCGCACATCCCACCCGCCCACCCCGCCTACATCCTCCGCGGGCACGCCGCCCCCGTGCACGCCACGCGCTTCGTGCGCGCCAACGCGCGCCTGCTGACGGCCGACGCCGACGGCTGGGTCGTGCTGTGGGGCACGGCGACGCGGCGGGCGGTGGCTGTTTGGCGGGCTCATCAGGGTGCGGTGTTGGGGCTGGGCGAACTGGGTGCGGAGAACTTTGTCACGTAGGTTTTGAATGTCTCTTTTGTTATGTTTGTTATGATTTGGTTTATTGGTTTTTTATCTGGTTGTCTGGGTTTCCTTTTCGTCGAGCTGGGTTTGCTTTTGCTGGTGGAGTTGGAGTTGCTTTTCCCCTCGCGGCGTGGGGGCGCGCTGCACCGCGGAAGGCGCGGCCGTGGCGTGGATGAGGCGTTCGTTTGTGGACGCGTGGGGAGAGGGCATAGATGGCGTCGTGGTGGAATACCCCAAGCACACTGCACCGCATCGTCAAGCACGCACACACACACCCACCACACGCAACTAGACCAACTAACCCCCCCTCTCCACAACCACAGACACGGCCGCGACTCGCACCTCTGCGTCTGGCACCTCCCCCTAGCAGACGAGTCCTCCTTCTCGACCGTCCTCCCCGTCGACGACGCCAGCGCGCCCCGCAAGCAGCCTTGGCTGCTGCACTCGCTGACGGTCAACACGCTGAACTTTTGCGCTTTTGCTATGCTCGCGGCGCCGGGCCCAACACCAACCTCCAACACAGCGGCTACAGATACAGCCACAGACATAGGCGTAAACGCGCGCCAAGAAGCCGTCCTCGCCGTCCCCAGCGTCCGCGACGAACAGATCGATGTCCTGCACCTGCCCTCCGAGCGCCGCACGAGCATCGTTCCGCGCTTGGGCTTCAAGACGGGTGCGTTGTCTTACCTATCCTTACCTTACCTTACCTACCCACCCCTCCCCTCCATTGTCCTCCCACAACCACCACACCCCCACCACACACAACACACAAAACTAACGCCCTCACCATACATACAGGCATGATAATGGCGCTCGCGCTCTCGCGCCCCCAAGCTTCCCCATCAGGGCCACTCTGCCTCGTCTCAGCCTACGAAAGCGGCCACATCGCGCTGCACGTGCTAGATGCAACCTCAGGCAGCAGCTGGACGCGCCTGTACGTCGCGCAGCCGCATGCCCAGCCGCCGCTGTCTGTGTGCGTGCTCCCGGCGGCGGAGATGGAGGCGGCGGAGGCTTCGGCGCCGAAACCGAAATCCAAGTCTGCTGTTGATGGTGAGGTTGAGGGCGCGAGGACGCTGCGGTTTTGCTCGTCGGGCGCCGATGATAGGGTTGTGCTGCACTGTGTTGAGCTGTCTGTGCCTGTGCCGACGCCCGTGTCGGTAGAGGTGCCGCAGCCGCGCGCTGTGGAGAAGGAGGAAGAGCAGAGCGTGGAGAAGGAGAAGGAGAAGAAAGACGGCAAGCAGAGCGTCGAAATCGAAACCCCGGCCTCGGCATCATCGTCAGCAGCACAAGAACCACAGCAACCACCCTTAGCCGACACAGGCCCCCTCAGCTTCCCCAAAATCCCGCTCCCAAACCCCAACCCCAACACCACCACCACCACCAGCAACCTGCGCACCCTCCTCAACGCCTCTTCTGCAGGAGGCTCCTCCCCTATCCCCACCCCTACCACACCCGTACCCCCCAAAACCAAGACCAAAACCCTCAGCACCAAGCACGCAGGCCAACAAGGCCTAACCGCGCGCTCGGACGGGCGCCTCCTCGCAACCGCGGGCTGGGACGGCCGCGTACGCGTCTATGCTGCGCGTTCGCTGCGGGAGCTCGCGGTGCTGAAGTGGCATAAGGAGGGGTGTTATGCTGTTTGTTTTGCGGAGGTGGGGGGCGCGGGTGCGGACGCGGGCAGTGTGGCCCAAGGAGGAGGGGTGGGGGGAGGAGGCGATGTACTGATCACGCGAGAAGCAGGCACCGCTACTACTACGGTGAGGCGGAGGAGAGAGGACAAGGCTAGGAGCGTGCATTGGCTTGCTGCGGGCTCGAAGGACGGAAAGGTCTCGTTGTGGGAGATTTATTAGGCGGTGTTGATGGCTTGATAGCTTGCTTGTTTGCTTGGACGCCTGCGTCGTAAGTACCTAGGTAGTCTGTCAAGAAACGGAAGTATTCGATCTACCTACCTATCTCGTGGTTAGCTGGCACGCTCAATTACTCACTTACTCACTCACTCGCCCAGTCCGTCCGCGTGAAGCCCCCGTCGGCTTTGTGCGTGAACATGTCTGTCTCTGTCTTTGACATTGTACGCGTACGCTACGCGTGCATGTAAGAAGCTATTTTTGGATAGGGGCGCGGTCGGCTTTGTGGCTTGGGGACCTCTCTTTCTCTTTCTTTTTCTCTCAGGTCAGGTCAGGGAAAGCCTGCTCGGGGTGCGAAGTACGAGTGCCGTGTGGCGCGCTGGGCGCGTGCTCGTGTGTGGTGGTGGTACTGTAAGTAAGCGGTTGTGTTGCTGCGCCCTTTGCGCCACGCGTTCGTTGTATGTCTCGCGGCTTCGTGTTGGGGATGTGGTGGCGGAGAAAGGGAAGGTTTGAGTTGGTTTGGTGAGATGGTTTGTGGGGTTTAAAAGTTTGTTGTTCGTGTGTTTAGTGGGTTTATGGTGGGTGATAATGGGCTCAGGTGAGGTTGGTTTGGTCTACCACGAGGAGAGGTGTTGGCTAGAAATGCTGTTGTTGCCTAGGTTTTGCATAGGTGGTTGCTGCTGTAGACTGATGCTTCTGAGTACGGATCCATGGGAGGTTTGAGGGGGTGAGTTACATAGTAGCTGTGGTTCTAGTCAGCCAAGCAACTGTGTGAAGCCACGCAATCCCATCTTCCCAGGGTGGGTTCTCGCTGTACCTATATTAAATGCAGAGGTGTTTCGGAGGTAACGGAATAAACAATCACCAAGGCACGGGGTACCTGCAGGCATGGACCGTGCATCCAAACCCCCGAGTCACTGGGCGCATCAAAAGCCAGCTAAGAAGCCCGAGCCTCAAGGGCCTTGCTGGCGTTCAACTGCAGGTTTTACCGATGCCACCGCGGATGCAGGAAGCCTCAGGAATGTACCGGTCTCCTGGTAGCGACCGTTGAATGCCGATACCCAACGGCAGCGGTTCCAGGGCCTGAACTCGAACTCGAGCCGCATCTTTCGGCCAACGAGGAGGTGTGCTGTACGCGGAGAAGAGGCTTTCAGACAACCAGAGACGTCCGTGGTGCTGCTGGCCCGAGTCAGAAAGCTGGTGTGGATCGCTGCAGATCATCGAGTCCTTCGGAAGTGGTGTGTGTGCGGAGCGCAAGCTCATCGCCCTCCGAGGGTCCCTTTCCTCCACCCCAACCTCGGCAACTGCTCTACCCCAGTCTTGGCGCACGTCTGTTAGCACGCCTCGAGCTTGCTCCCCGCGGCTACCTTTAGTAGCATACGCCATACGCCAGTGTACACTTACCTAGAAGCATATCATACCCTGCGACCTAGCAATGGACTGCGCGATCAGCGTTATTCTTCCCTAATCCACATCCAGCCGCTTCAAACTTACCTAGAAACTCTGTTCCCCCCGCCGCGACATCAAACCACCAACTACCACCACCTCCTCGGCCATCATGAGCTCCAGCGACAGCTCCAAGCCTCCCTCTCCCCCGCCCTCGGCTCCCGACCTCTCCATCCTCGGCGACCAAGTCGCACTGCACCCCGCAGGCTACTCCTCCACTGCGCTCGCGAAACACGACAACAATGGATCTCCAGACAGGAATCTGGTCGAGGGCATGGCGCGGTTCCGCACCTCGCCGATGGACTTCTTGCGCGAGTTGTCTTCGTACGTCTCCGGCACCGGCTGGCGCAGCTACGACAGGATCGTCGGCCAGCCCATCTACTACTCCGGCTTCAGCGAGACCATGAAGTCACGCATCATGCAGACGCCAATGTTGCAGCGCAAGATTGGTGAGCTGGCTGTGCGCCGTGTGAAGACTGAGGAGCAGGAGGGCCGGTTTGGAAGTCCGGACGATACCAATGGCGACGGTTTGCAAGAGAGAAAGGAGAAGAGGAGGAGAGAGATCTTTACCCAGTTGACGGAGGTTTGCGAGGATATGACCGATAATATGATATGCAAGATGGAAAGCAAGAGGTTCATTCGTGGCGCATACTATTTCGCCACGCAATTGCTCACGAGAGCTTACCATCAAGGTGGGTCCAAGAGGGATGAGATGCAAGGACCCCTGCAATTAGTCTTTTCTGAGAGACCAATGTATGCGTTGGTTTTTGGACGAGAACCCCATGCGCGGCCTCAGGTCCAGTTGCTCCTGGAAAGCTTTCGGGATGTGCCACGGGCGTTAAAATTCAAGGCCGCCAGGCCATGTGTCGTTCTCAGATAAGACGGGACATGCATCAGGAGGCATGGCTGACAACCTCTCTCAGGCATCCACGTCTCGAGTGAAGAAGTCCTCCGTCTGCGTGCTGTTGCCGAGAAAGCAGAAAAGGACAAACACTCCATAATTTTTCTCCCCTGCCATCGTTCGCATGTCGACTATGTTTCGATGCAATTGATCTGCTATCGGCTTGGCCTGGCTCTCCCCACGGTTGTTGCTGGCGACAATTTGAACTTTCCTTTGGTCGGATCATTCCTTCAGCATGCAGGTTCGATGTGTTCAGCCCCTTTGGGGTGCCCGTTCGCTGAGTTTGTGGGACAGGTGCCATGTGGATTCGTCGGAGCTTTGGAGACGACCAACTCTATACTACCCTGGTCCAGTCGTACATGGACACGCTCTTGACCCATGGATTCAACTTTGAGTGTTTTGTTGGTAAGTTCCTCTTCAATAAAGTTGAATATATCCTACACTCACCTCCCTCGTGGGATATATTTAGCTTCATGCTTTCAAGGCAATGAAGCTAACTTCAGCAGAGGGCGGCCGCTCAAGGACAGGAAAACTTCTGCCCCCTAAGTTTGGAATTTTGAGCTTCTTGCTTGACAGTGTCTTGTCTGGTAGAGTTGACGACGCCATAATCTGCCCGGTGAGCACTCAGTACGATAAGGTCATTGAAGTCGAGTAAGTTTTTACGTCCCTCTTTGCTGGAACTACTCTGATGCCTTGGATATCAGCTCGTATATCAGTGAACTCCTTGGACAGCCAAAGCCAAAGGAAAATCTGAAAGATTTCCTCTCGGCATCATCTGTCCTGTCTTTAAAGCTTGGCCGTGTCGATGTCCGCTTCCACGAGCCATGGAGCTTAAGGGGCTTCATCAATCAACAGAAGGAGCGTATGATTCGACTTCCACAGCAGATTGATGCAGACAAAATGGATGAGAAAGAGCTCAGGTTAAGGCTGCTGAGAACGCTCGGATACAGAGTGCTCTCTGAAATCAATGCTGTGTCAGTCGTCATGCCGACAGCTTTGGTAGGCACCGTGCTTTTGACTCTCAGGGGTCGCGGTGTCGGCAAGAGTGAGCTCATCCGGAGAGTCGATTGGTTGAGCGAACGCGTCCGCAACCAGGGAGGTCGAGTAGCACATTTCGGCGGCCTTCCAACTGGCGCTGTCGTTGAGCGTGCGCTTGATGTTCTTGGGCCGCAATTGGTCGGCTTGGTCCCTGTTCTTCCGGAAGATACGTACTATGCTGTTGATAGGTAAGTCACTGTTGGACAGGCTGGACGTCTCCCATGGAGATCGTGTCGACTGTTTGAATGGCGAAAGCTGTTAATTGCTGACGCATATAGATTCCAATTGTCGTTCTATCGCAATATGACAATCCACCTCTTCATCCTCCAGTCCCTTGTCTCGGCCGCCATGTATGTCAGAGTTAAGCTTGGCGGTGGTCCAGAGCACCAGAGAATATCGTACCAAGACCTCTATGATCAGGTCTATTTCTTATCCCAGCTCTTCCGTGGCGAGTTTATTTTCCCTACCGAAGGACTGGCGGCAAATCTGGAAAAGACCCTAAATGGTCTTGAATCGGACAACGTCGTAAAGATCACCAGGAACCGCGACAGCGGGAAAGCTGAATTCGCCGAACTGAGCGACGCGGAAAGAGAATGCGGAAGAGAGAATTATGATTTCTATTGTTTCTTGATCTGGCCTTTCGTCGAAGCCAGCTGGCTGGGCGCGGTATCGTTGATGATGCTGACGCCGCCGCTGGGCTCCTCCGGCACGCCATGGCTAAGTGCGAAAAAAGTACAGGACCATGCGCAACTTGTAAGTCCATCCGTTCATAAAGACGATGTCAAAGTATCCTCATCCGGGCACTGGATGTCCCTTACTGACCTTGTCTCCCACCGTAGCTAGGCAAAACCCTCTATCACCAAGGCGATCTCTCCTACTTTGAGGCCGTCAACAAAGAGACCTTGAAGAACGCCTACCAGCGCTTCGAAGAAGAAGGTATCATCACTGTTTCCAAGTCCCGCGACGCCCGTGTCCCTTCAACGCTGCGGTTGGCCGATGAGTGGATGCCGAAAAGAGATCCGCAGACCGGACAGATCATGGCCGAGGGTAAACTCTGGGACTTCGCCGAGATGATTAGCCAATCGAGGCGTGAAGGGTATGTGTCTCCTTACTCCCATTCCAGCTTTGTGCCCTGCCCCCTTCACTCTAGTATCCTTGTCTTGTTGGTTTGCGTCGTGTCATGCATGTTGTGGCGGACGGCTGACGGTGTGCGCTGTGCAGGAAGAACCGGCGTGACGGCAAGACGGTCCAGACGCGAGTCCTGTCGCTGGCAGACCTCGTCGGCCGCAAGCTCTTCGAAGAGGCAAAGGACGAAGATAGCGCGGAAAAGGAGGTCGTTGCGAAGAAGAAGCGGAGAAAGAGTATCCGGACCAAAGCGCGCTTGTAGAGTAAGACCCTAAGACAGAGCGTCGTTATCCGCATCAACCCTTGCCACCTCCCTTGATGTGTATAAGACTTACCTGCAGTGCCTCCCTTTGATGCTAACGATGCAGGCTGCTGCCTCGGTCTGCTTGTCCGCTGATTGCTGTTGTGTGGACCGCCGCTCGTGTTGTTTGCCTGGTGCTGCAGCTTCGCCGTGTCATCGCTTTGTTCCGCTCCTGGCTGCTTGCATGGAAGTCCGCCGAATCCTTCAGCGTACATGGCGAGCTGTGGTCGTCCATCGGAGGCTCTGTATCTTCTGCTGCAGCTGCTCGTTGTTTCGAGGCTTGTTGCGTCGCCGTTGGTCTATGTGCCTTGTCCGCTGAGGCGGCGAGCTCGCCGCAGCGCCTCAGCCCAGCCCCCTCCTCTACACTTTCTATCACCATCAAGACGATGCACGTTTCAAAAGGCTTGCAGGCCTCATGCCCACAGCGGGAGCTCTATTTTGCTACCGGGAAGCCTCTACTCGGGCGTGCTGCATGGCTATTTTGGGCCTCTGCCACCTCCATCAGCCAGCCATACAGCCCACAGCACCCTGCCCAACCAGCCGCCCCTGCCCATCATGCCTAGCATTGCTAGAGGACTGCCCTTCCTGTCCAAGCAGATTAGTCACGCATTTTAGCGCGAGCAGACGCCATAAAAACCCCTCGCCTCCCTCCTCCATCTTTCTCTTTCTCCACTCACCCGCTCACTGTCGCCAGCAGCTCCTCACTCGATGGATAGCGCATTGTGCGCTCCATCCATTGTTTTCAGACTTATATGGTGAGCATGCCCAAGACTCACGCAATCCAGAAACCCACGCAGGCCGGACGGCACAATGCCTTGCACGTCATACCCAATCTCCCAATGCCCCTCTTCGCAGCCCCTCAACGATCGTCCGCTTCAACGTTGCCTGCTACTGATGCCCTTCTTTCACTCTCTTCGTCGCACTTCGCTAACGACTCTCTAGTAAGGACTTCCCTTGTTACCCATCGCTCGCAAGACCATCATGGGAGATTCCCTTCTCCGCATCTGCACCGCCTAACAAGGCCGAGACGACCTCGCCGAAGAGGAACAACGAGATACATTGCTGTTTCTCAATCACATCTCTCTTCCATCGCCCCCTAACATCTCCACTCCGCTCGTTTCCCCTCTGTCGCTTACAGAAACCCCTCTACGTCACCCATTGTCTCTCTTGAGCCATGCTAACCTCGTTTCCCAGATAAACTCCGGGCTCCCTGTGGGAGGCCCATGAGATTTTCCGTTCCTCATCTCGTACACCACCAATGCCTTCCCAGGCGAGTACATTCCGACTGTCTAGGTCAATGTCTTTCACTTTTCTGCCTCCTTCTCAGCTCATCCATGTCTTCGTCAACATTATGCGGTCACACTTTCTGTACGACGGTTCTTCGTGGTTTCGTTTGCAATCGACACAATCTCATGTTCCCTTGTGGATATTCCTTGCTCGATTCTTCATGTACAGTGCTTTGCTTGATTTGGTTCTTTCATTGTGTATAGTGCAGACTGACATCTTCCCTTGTGTGATTGTCTGCCGTGTCTCAAGTGGATTGCTACTGACCATCACTGTGTTTCCTTTTTCCCTTTGTGGTTTCCGTCGAGGAGTCGATGATAACCGTATGCAGACAGCGCTGAGAACTTACTGACATGTTGCTTGCCCCCTTCAACCACTTTGTCTACATTGTCGCTTTTCTTGTTTCTCTTTTCTCATGCTCACTTCTGTGCGTAACCTCCGTGGTCATACTAACAATCAGACAGTTGTCGCACCGGGCTCCGTGCCCATTGGCCCCCTGCCGAAGAAGAGCTTAAGAATTTCCGGTATTTCCAGCCCTTGGGCATTTCAGATTTTCCAGACTGAAGTTTTCCAGTTTGTGGGATTCGATTTGGTTGCGGTGTCTTATAGCGCCGACAGTGCGCTAAATGTTTTTTTTTTTTTTTTTTTTTTTTTTGGGGGGGGGGGGGGGCGTTGCCCCAGGTACGTCGATGTGTTTTCCTAGGAGATGTTTCCTTCCTTTCCTTTCTTGTCGGCTGGCGTCTACGTCAAGAGATGACGATCATCACATTCGACTCCCTCATGTAATCGATCCAAGTTCATGGCATTGGCGGAAGTCACTGGCATTCAATCTCCCGATTTCCGCTAACACACAACACATAGCCGTTCGTGGTTACTCTGACATCACGTTGCCGGACTACCCTGACCACTCAGAGTTCTTCACAACCGTCATGAACCAGCCGCATGGCCTTCCTAACTCTCCGGATCTACTTCCAAGCGATCCAGCGGAGTTAAGCAGCATGGCCCCTGAAGCCACGAGTGAACCTCCAACGCTGGAGAGCGACCTGCCTGAGATCACTCTTGCTCCAGCCAAATCAGAGAGCACCACCGAGAGACGTCCTCGCAAGCGCCAGAAGGTGTCCCACGACAACGCCGATGATGACTTCTCTGGTTCTCAGCATCTCATGGAGCCGCGTACACGCTCTAGGCGCGCCATTCCACTCAAGAAGTACGTGGAGGCTGATTCCGATGCTGATTTCGAAGTCATCCCCTGGACCAACCCAGCAGTCTGATGCCTTCCGCAATCCAAAACGAAAGGCAGCCACCCATGAGGACCATGGCCCCGCCGCCAGGTCTTCCTCCGGCGCCAGCCGGCCCCTTCCGCAGACAAGACGCAGAACGAGATGGTCACGAAGAGAAACGCATTTTCCAAGGGTTGTTTTTTGGTCTTTCATCATGGCAGTCAGTCATTTGCAGGGGGACACTCCGCATTTTTATGTTCGAATTTAAGAAACGGAGGAGAGGCGAGAACGATGGGCGGACGATAAGCTGAGTGGCGATATGTGCCGCCGTCCTGTATCAACGACCAAGAGCGTCGTTCGACACTATTGAATACGAGACTTTCTGACCTTCTTCCTCTTGCCTGGATGACTCCGAGCATCCTCTCGTGTCTGTCTGCCTGCCTGTCTTCACTCGCCATGCATGCATGCGGTTCCGCAATATTGGGACTTACGAACAGGCAAGCGGACAACCTCCGTATGGTTGGACCTGGACAAATTGCCTGGTCTCCACGAACAGACGGCCAGTACTTCCCTACTGGAGTAGCATCATTCAGCACACATACATAGTCACTCACGACCCTCACCCTTGTCCGCGAGTTTGGACTATACGTCAATCGGAAAAAGATTAATCACGCCGCCCTGAAAGAGAATTTGACAACTGCAGAGAGGAACATCGCTCGACATCACAACACCACCATTTTTTGGCTAGCTACCTCTGGAGCTGTCCGCGCAATCACCAGCACCAACCAGCCACGAGCAAGTCGACCAAGCTGTTGGAATATATAGGTCACTCAAACCTGCGCATCAAATGCGCGGGCCCGCCTTTTGGTTTAACACAAGCCTAGTGGAAGCAATTATCCCCCATCAACATGCACAGCCAAAGACGGTCAAAGTCAACCAAAACCGAAGCCGACCCCGACACATGGAAGCAGCACAGCCTCATCACCAATCACCAAAGACCAGACACACAACGACTTCTTAGCCATGTTTATTTGTGGTATTCACCTGCTTGTCTCTATCTGACATGCCCGCCCACCCGCTTCTCCAGCCAGCTATAAGCATCGTTTTCCTTTCCCGTCCTCGATATCGAGCAGCAAAAGAAGAAGAAAAATATCAGTGTCTGCTAGCTACGCCAGCAACAGCATCATCCTCATCATCCGTCCCCCTGATGCCCATTTCCCCCCCATAAACCCCGCCGTCTTTTTCGTACGAATCGTATAAACCCACACCCAGACCTGATGGATGTGGCACGATCAAGAGAAAGGAAAGGAAAGGCTATAAACCCCCATATACCGCCATACGTGTTAAAGGTGCAATCGTCCAGCAGTTCAGTTCCCATCATCCTTTACTCCGCGCTCGCTACTAGCAAAAGGCAAAAGGGTTGGTTTTTGGCGTTCGATTACAAGAAAAAACAGTTCTGAAGGGAGTTAAAAAAAGATGTCAAAGCAAGAAGAAAAAGAAGGGGGAAAAGAGCAATTCACTGTCCGTCCGTACGTTCAGCTCGCTGGTAAGCCGATGCGAAGGGTATCCACCGTTGGGTAAAAAAAGTTAACTGAGCAAACACGAGCAGGAAAGAGACGTTGACAGGCATGAAAAGATCAGGGCAAGAGCAGGTGAAAATGTTGCTCAAATACCCGGCACGGAAAAGAGACGCAGATGTTCGATCGCAATCAAATCTGCCTTTCAGTTCGGAAACTGTCGGTAATAAACTATCGAGGTTGCAGCAAGAGTGGAGGAGCTTCAGCCGAAAAGAGGCTACGCAAGCGCCCTTGGTTCATCTAGAGGCCGTATGGACCCTGGCCCTGGCCCTGACCTCTAGCGCCGAGGGGACGATCGGCAAACATCGGATGCATCATGCCAGGAGGAGGACCAGCGGCGGGCATGCGCATCATTGGCTGCTCTGGAGGGCTCGCCAGTCCCATAGGCATGGGCCCAGGTCCAGGAGCGAATCCAGGAGGCGGGGGCGGAGAGAAATATCCGGGCGGCGGAGGCCCATGAGGAAACATGCCTGCAGGACCAGCTGGTCCAGTTCCCGGAGGTCCACGCTGAACCTGAATGCTCGGATGACCGATAGGAGTGCCACCAGCGGAGAACCCAGGCATAGATCCCATTCCAAATCCGGGAGGACCGCGCGCAGGAGGCGCAGGAGGAAGACCTGGCGGCGGAGCCATGGTCGTCATTGGCGGCTGTCTCTCGTTCTGAATCGCGGAAGGCATCCGGCTGTATCTGTCAAACGCCGGTTGCTGAGGGATTCCCATATTGCCACCCATCTGGTCGTAACGGAGAGGCACAGGCGGCATCACATGCTCCACAGGAGGGCGGGCCGCAAGATCGACATTACGACGCCTGGCTTCTTGGACAGCTGGGTCGTGAAGATCCACAGGGAGGTTAAAGCGCCTTGCACGTCTCATGGTTTCCTCATAGGACAAGGGATGTTCGATCGCCGTCCTTCTGGATTCATGACGGATATCATTTTCAGGGAACTGTCTGTCTTCCATAAGACCAGGCGGCATCGTGGGCTTCCTCTGCTGGAACGGAGGTTGGTTCTCGAGGAAGATTCCGCCAAAGTTGTTGATCTCCGGAGGAGGCGGGCGCACATTCTGGGGTTGAGGTGGCGTGTTCCGCTGAGTCTGTGTCATGAGGTTCAACAAGAACTCCCGATCGCGGGACAGCTGAGCCGGCGGCGGAGCTTGATTGCCGGCCGAAGATTGAAGAATACCAAATGGCCCCATTCCACTAGCGGCAGGAGAAGCCTGGATGCGCTCCTCGGGCGAACGAATCGACTCTGCACGGCCATCCGGCTTACGGACTTGCTCATGGCCTTGGCCAAGTTCAATGCTCGGCGAGTACGGTCCGAAAGCACCAGGGCCCTTGAATTCCGTCGGGGTTCCACGAGGCGCCAGCACTTGTTCGATGAAACCTGCCTTTTCCTCCCTAGAGCGTAGCATATGGTGCCTGAGAGGTTGCGGCTGCAACGGCACAGTCTCGCGCTCGGGAGCTGGCGACTGTTGTTCAGGTGGAGGGAACATTGACGCCTTACGACTATTTGCGGCAGAGGCAGGAGTGGGAGGTTGCGACGCAATGTTCGTACTCCCAAGCATCTGGAGGATTCGTTGGAACCCTTCCTTGTCTTCATTGGACCCATTGGCCTCTTGCATTGCGGGTGGTTGCGATGGCGGAGGCGCCTGTTGTTGCTGTTGTTGCTGTTGTTGCTGCTCCTCCTGTGGACTAAAGAGCTTGGCAAACCTGGATGCCTTCGCAGGTTTCGGCTTAGGAGCTGGCGTACCTTCGGTGGTAGCTGGGGCATCCAGCTTGGTGCGATCTGCGCCGAATATGCCGAACATGTCCTTCCCTTCGAAGACAAGAGGAGTGATGGGCTTTGAGGATACTGGTGGAGTATCCTTGGACGGTACTTCTGGCTCAGGAGTGATCTCTTTGTCGTCACTTCCAGAGGCACTGGCCTTCATCCGCTCCTTCCAACGCTGGAAGTCCTCCTGGGTATGCGGCTTCTTGTCATCCTTCGATTCGTCTTCAAGCCACTCTGGGCCCTTTGGGCGTTGGAAACGGGCCATGCCAATTTCGTCTTTCTTCTTCACCGGCGTGTCCATCCACTCCGGATCTTCTTCTAGGCGATTTCCTCTCGTCCATTCACGGTCGCGCCAACCACGTTGCGAAGTATCGGTCTCCTTGGCGTTGGAGCCCGGAGTCTCGCGACCCCAAGGCTGTTCGAACCTATTGCGTCCAGCGCCATTGCGACGCGGCGTTTCTTCCTCGCCGTCGCGGTTGAACCGGCTTCTATGCTCACCGATCCTGGCCAATTGTTCTTGATCGTCTTGGCTCAAGGATGTCCGGCGGCCACGAACGTTCATCCACCCCTCAAGGTCTTCACGTCCAGGACGGCGAGCAGCGCTAGTCCCGGTCTTATTCTTTTCGCTCTCGCGCTCCTTGAAAAACTTGTCGCGGAGATTAGCGCGATCATGGGCAACGTCCTCCTCCTTGTCCAGATCAGAAAGCTTGGGGACACGTGATGATGAGGCGAATGCGACCTTAGGAGGTCCGAGAATGATGTCTTCGGAGACTGCAGCATTACGTTAGCAAAAACCTCGGATCAGGCGCTTCGACACATACCGGCGTTTGTGTTACGGATACCATGCTTCGGCTGAAAGAGGGTTGATCGCTGGGACCCACCGTTCTCCTGGACAGTCGAGTCGTCACCGCGAATGTTGTTCTGCGCGCGGGTCTTGTTGCGTTGGCCATTCTCGTTGGCATTCCTTCGATGTGTTAGCAATGGTGGAACTGGAGCTAGTGTGTTGCAGTGGTGAGAGGCTGAGGCATACTCCATCCATTGATCTATTGAGGGGAGCCCTTCCGGCTTGTGGACCAGCGGCGACTCCCTGAGCTGCATGAGCTGCTCGGGGGTGTAACGGATGATGTCCATTACGACTACCTGCGAGCCACCACCGGAGGCGACTCGACAACTAGGCTTGGGTGGGCGAAGAAGCGAAGAAGCGGATGGAGAAGGACGAGGGTGAAGAGCAGAGAACGTCGATACTCATGCGACAAGGGCGGGCTGGGTGGTTGAGCGAGCAGGAATGTCGGTGGTGTTGTGGTCGAGTGAGGTCTGCGTCGCGCGGGGCACTCCCGACGGAGTGCAAGAGCAAGGAGTGAGGTCAAAGCACGCTACGAGGATTCTGGTACCTTCAAGAGGCGGTCGGCGTGAGGAGCTGGTGGGTTACGGGCGACGTGGTTGCGGTGCAGGTGGTCGAGGTTTGGTTACGAGCCGGCGTCGCGGAGATGTGCAGGCGGGCGCTCGTCGGCCTGTCGGCGGTGAGGTAACTTGGAGGGAGAGCAGCTGGGTGGTGACTGTGCACCGCGGCGAATGCGCTTACGTCGCCAAGAGGAGGGAAAACGCAGGGCTCGAGGCCACCGTGGAGAACGTCACAAGAGGAGGAATTGGGGGAAAAGAAGCGTTGGAGGGGCTGGGGGGTTTTATAATGGCTGCCGGATGGTGGGTTGCGTCCAAGGAGAGCAGGTGCTCATTTTCGCCTCAGCGCACTAGCCACCACCGCCACAGCTTAACGGGCAGCTGCAATCCATTGTCGCCCGTCACCATGCCCGGTCACAATAGGATGTGTTTGCTACCTCCTAAATCCTGACGAAACAAGCCCAATATCGTCTAGCAAACACCTATGGAGTACCTACATGAAAGCTCCAGAACCAACCTGATTCCCTGACGCTGACGCTTGCAACCAACAGACGGACACACACACACACACTCACAGCACCACCCTTTCAATCTTAGTCTTTGACAGCTGCTCTCACGGTGAACGCGCCCCACTCCGTCGGCGATACTTGATGTGGACGCAGCCAGAAGGCTCCACGACAAAGTACCTCAAATACTCCTCGACCGGCCTACGCGCCGGCTTCTGGCCTTCCGCAACCGTACCAGCAGCAGCAGAAGGAGCAGCAGCAGCAGCAGCCGGTGCTGACGGCACGGTTGGCGCGCTAGCCGCAGCCGGCTGCACAGCAACCGGAGCAGGCTGCTGCGACACAGGCACAGGCACAGGCGGATGGGTCTGGACGGCCGCCTCGGCGGGCTGATACGCATAATGCTGCGGCACCGGGGCCTGGGCCTGGACAGGTGGGCTGAAGGGCCCGTTGTATGCCGGCGGCGGCGAGAAGGCATACCACGGGGTCTGGGGCGGAGGCAGCGCAGCCTGCGGATGGTTGAAGTAGCCCGACGCGGGCGGGAAGGGAAAACCGCCGAACTGGTTGCCGCCGGGCAGCTGCACGGTGCCGGTGGTGGGGTATTGCGGGTTGGCGTACGTCTGGTAGGAGTAGGGCGCCGAGTTGTACATAGCGAGATTGTTGTACGGCGGCACGGCGTACGCGGACTGCTGCTGCTGGAGCGCCATGTTCGGCGTCTCTTGGTACGCCTGCCAGGGCTGCTGGGGCGTGGTGATGCGGAACGGGTTGGGCGGGCTGTAGCTGTATCGGTTCTCGTCCTCGAATCGTACCCGGCGCTGGTTATTGCGCTTGGCGGCTTCTTCGCGCTGGATCTCCTCTTTGAGCTCTTCGGTGCTCTTCTCACTCCGCTTGATGTTGCGCATCGCTGACCTCTGACGATTGACTTGCGGCCGCTCTTGTACCGGTGTCTCTGCGCGGAATCGCCCGCAAGTGGCTGCGGAGCTCCACCGCGATGAGCTGTCTTCTGCTCGCACAGGAGCCGTCTCGGGCGCCCGTCGAAGAACCGGCCGTTGAGGCACTGTTTGCTCGGAGTAGCGGTAGTAGACCCCTGGCCTTCGATTGCTGGTGCCGGCGGCAGTATGGATGCGCGCCAGCCTGACAGGCGCAGCACGTTCCAGCGCTCTGACAACAGGCGAGGGTGCCATATCCTGATGGATTTCCAGCGGTGGCTGTTTCCTCCTGCGCACCGAGCGGGTTCGTTCTTTGGGAGGAGCAGGATGCGCATCAGACTCCGGGAACGACCCAGGCACATGCTGCACTGTCTCGATCGGGTCGTAGACTTCTTGCACCAGAGGCGACGGGGGCTCTGGCGGGGGCTCGGGCGGCTGATCATAGGGCGTCGGCTCGTCGGGGGTCATGATTTCAGGCTCAAAGGCTTCGTCGGTCGGCGTCGTGAGGAAGATGTCGTCGTCGCTGTCGATCACGCTCTCGACATAGGCTTGGTGCGTCTTGGACCGTCTGAGCTCTTTTCGCGACGCCCGGCTTAGTGAGCGAATGGGTATGGGCTGCGGCTCTGGCGACGCAGGTTCCTGCACGGGCGAGAACGAGCCCCCCTGCCCTTCAGCATCGACGTTCTCTATTGCTTCCTGAAGGCTCGTGAATGACGCAGCGTGCTCGAGAAGCCTCGGCCTCAGAGCCGTCAAGGACGACATCGCATTTTCGGCGCCGGCGATGTCGTTTTGTCGGAGGCATTGCTTCCGACACTGGATGAGCTGGCTGAGTTCTTGCAGGTCTGTGACACACTCTCCCACTAGACGCCTGTACTCGTCTTTAAGTGGCGGACTCAGCCGGGAGAGGAAAGAGGTCTGGGGGCCGTTGGTCTCCTCTTCAAACTCTTGGATAGCGGCACGGAGTTCGTTGACTGTTGCGCGTCAGTGCCTCCCTTGCCGGATGCCGCGGAAGCGGGCAAGCATGCCTTCCCTTGATAGCTCCGGGGCGTTCCTTTTGCCTGCAAAGTCGTCAGACTCGTAAACCCGAGCTGCAGTCAAGAGGTGATCGCATACAAGTCTTGTAGAGAGTCCAGGTGAAGCTGCTGATAGTGGCCATGGTGTCAGTGATGGAAGACTCAATGTTCACGTCGGGGGAAGGAAGCCTTTAGTGCGGGGTATGGGTTGCGGGATGATTCATCGGTAGGTGCTGCAATGTAATCGTTGTCGTCGATTAGTATAGCACATGCTCCTAAACCAAGCCCGTTGACTGATGTCACCAAGAGCGTATGCGACACTCCTGACCAAGTTAGCTTTGCTTTTTGACGCCAATAAGCAGACTGGAAAAGAACAATACGCCACCTTGACAGAAGGAAAACAGCGGGAAAGAACAAGTCAACGCCCTTATCAGACGCACGCTAGCCACCAGCAGCACGACAAGGCAGTACGAGCCATATTAGCGTCCTTTGGGCTTGGGAAACACCTCATGTCTCGTCTAACGCAACGCATATGCACCTGCCGCCACAATAGTGAAGATATCCTGGGGCTTCTGCCGACCTCGAGATCTGAATGGTCCCCTACGGGCCGGGCCCGCATGCTGCAAACTGCGGTGTTCTCTGATAATTGGATAGCTTTCGCCACGAGCCTACGCGGCGCCCAGCGGCTTTCGGCGGTGGACTTCTGGTCCTATCAGATAAAACAACTTGCTACTTACAAAAATTTTATGCCCACTTAACTCCCTGTTATCCTCTGCACGTCGCTCTTGGCTCCGCCGTGACTCCACTCCTCTACCCTGCCCTGATCGCAGGTCTCATACAAACGCGCCGCAAGTTGGCGGAGGACGGCCGCGTTGCCTGTCTTGGAGACCAACTGCATCTCGATCCAGCTCAGAACGCCCGATCTGGTAATCAATGTCGTGCTGCCTCCGACTGCTGCCGCCCGAAACACCAGGCGAATGATCTTCTCACGTGTCTTTTGTGACACGTTGGTAAACGTGTACAGCGCAAGTATGCGTTCGAAGACGTTGCGCGCGCGGAAAATCTCCATGTCCTCGGGTATGCGTAGCCCGTCAACGAAAAAATCAAGGAGCCAGTCGACCTCTTTCCAGTAAGCGTTGTCGTCCTCGGGAGGGTTGAGTATGATTTTTTCCGCCCAAGAAGATGGTATCCTGCCGATGTTCCATGACGGTCCTTTCGTGAGGAAGGCGCTGACTTTAGGATACATGAAATGCGTGGGATCGGCAATGACGGTCACGGCGTGCGTCGCAAAGACGCCCGCCACATAGGGAAACTGCTTCTCATGTATGATTTCCCTGGCGGTCTCCACGGTTTCACCTAACAAGAGATACATCATCTCTTTCTCCTCATAGTTTGAAGACTGGCAGCACGTGTCAGCTAATGATCATCTGTAGTCAAAGTTATGCAACGTACCTGTACTTTGGACATGAGCTTCTGCAAATTGCTCAATGCCTGTTTCCGAATAGCTGTGTGTGTAGAACAGAGACATAATATCAGGTCCCCGATGTTACCATCGTCCACAGCTTCCTCCACTTCTTTCTGAATCCATTTGTGCAGTCCAGGATGGTTCTCGTCTTCTTCAGGCGGTAACTCGAGCGAGGTTGCTACATCGTCCTCTGCATCGTTTTCGATAGCTGAAGACATGTTTTTGTCGAGTGACAGCCTATCTTCCGCGTTATCGGCAAATTGCTTGACTTCGACAGCATCGCGTTGCTTGAGCGCCTTTTTCAAAGTCTTCTGATAGGAAGCACCTGCCGCCGCTTTCAAGACTTTATCCAAAACAGATTGTAAAACAACTCTGTCCTCTCCGATCTGCTGAAGTAGAGTCAAAAAGCTTGCAAGCCAACCAGCCACCTTTGACGAGACATCACTTCCTGACTTGACAACAAATGGCCACTGCTCCGCAACGGTCAGCAGTAGCAAGCTGACGTTGCTCCCTTCGGCTCGATCCATGGCAAGGGTGTCAAGATCATCTTGATACTTGATTGGCTTCCTCACGAGTCGTCCAAAGCAGTCATCAAGAAAGCTGAATACAGCGTCAGCAATAGGCGCACCTTCCGATGTTCTCAGGCTTGTGACAAACGCATCAAATGCAGAAGGCTGTGTAGCGGCCTGGAGGATGCCTTGATCGCGAACGACTGAAGACAACAATTGTGCGATCGACCCTGCTGACGCCGCATCGGGAGAGCTGGCGAGAACTTTCAGAACAGACGTGAAAGGAGAGAATTGAAGCGATTCCGGCTTTTGCCACCAACGCATATCCGGTGCATGACGTGCGATTTGCACCAAATGGCCGAGTTCCAACAGCTGAACTCCGCCTTCTTCCCCGGACACTGCTTGCTTCTCAACTCGGTGAAGTGCAGTGGCCAAAGCCATCGAGACGTCAAACTTTTCGTCTAAAGCAACCTGAGGGATGACAACATAGTACATCGATAAGAGTCTGGTAGCGGCCTCTCGTTGCATCAGGTTTTCCTCATTGGTATTGCGGAAAGCGGAGATAACGTCTTTCATCTTCGGGCACCGCTGAGTGAATTCAGATACAAGCCGCTCCGCCGCTTGATCCCAAAGTGTGTGCTGTTGCTTTGATGATGCCTTCTTAAACTCCTGCAAGACAAGTTCCAGTTTTTGAAAAGCTATCGTGAGCAAACGGATGGCGAAAAAGGTAATGAGATCGGAGTTTTGGTTCAAGCACCTAGTCAAGGCCTTCTGGGTAAGAGGCTGTGGTAGAAGATTCTCTATGACTATCGAGACAGGTGGCGGAACAGTCGCATAGCTGTCTTTGCGTCCAAGGAAATGGGGAACGTGGAGTTGTATAGCAGAGAAAAGGAAGGAAGAATAACCGATCCATGTAGCGGTGAGCTTAGGATCAAATGGAAAGTTGGTTTTCTTGAAAAAATAGTCGGCAAAGAGTTCCGGGCAGGCATCAAAGATGGCTAGGACAAGCTCCTGCTCAAGCTTATTTCCATGGGGGCGGAGACCTTGCATGAAGGTCGCAAGAGTAGGGTTCCTGATGATCACGCGACCGCGGTATCTCTCATACCATTCGAGGGAATCCAAACCAAGATTAATGTTCGAATCTTCAACCTCTTGCTGATCATCTTTTTCAAGATCTTTATCAGTGCCTGGAGGGTACCATCCGGAGGATGGCACAAGCACACCAGACTCCGAGGATGTGCAAACTTGTAACAGGAATTGATGGGCAACGACATCGAGAGATTTCTCTTCCGAATCGTCTTCCGCTTGCTCAACCCGGTACAAGCATGCTATACTTGCCAATGCGCGATCGTTTAGCACGTGGCTTTTGCTAGACCTGGGAATTTCTTTGTCGGCTATGATGTGAGACTTCACCACCTGCAGAATCTCCGTAGCGACCTCTGGGGGATCATCTCGGATATGATCGAACAGCGCTTTCAACACCAGACCTTGTTTCAGGATGTCCATTTTGACACCTTCATTTTGAAGTCTGAAGTTTGCTAGCAGGTATTTGACAGCATTGGTACGGACCGCAGGCTTGCGCCTGTCTTTGGCCGCATCTTCCGCAGACCTCCGGATACCAAGATTCCGCGCAAGGATCTTCGCATCGAATGTGAAGTCCCGCTTGGAGTACACCTGTTTAGATACCGCGCCGCCGTCGAATGATACGACCTCCGTCAATAATCGAAGACATGGCGATATGACATGCTCCTTATGTTTCGGTGCCGAGAGACCTCGCGAGACCAGCTTCAACTGCGCAGGCTGGAGAATTGTGCGACACAATTGTAAACCGGGCTCCTGGAGATCGACATGGGTGGACAGAGTTTTGAGAAGTAGCGCAAGCACAGAGACGACGGCCGAGGATAGGTGATCGTTGTTCGACTGTTCAGCAAAACTCCAAGTCTGCATGAGATTCGAGAGGAACGGCGCATCCTTGTCTGCGACTCTCGGTTTCTGTGTTTCTAAAAATTCTCGAAGTATGGCTCTCTGCCGCGAGACGGAGGAGTCGTCGGTAGGGTACACGATGGATTCGAGGAAGACCTTCAGGCTTTGGATACCTTTGAAATATTTTCGTTAGCGCCGATGATCCCACAAAACTGCGGTCATGCATACCGTTCCTGACTTGTTGAATCGCATCCTGCTGGAAGGTAAGCAGCTGTTGTAACTGGCGGCTGGAGTGAATCTCCTCCGCTTTGGGAGGTGGCCCTCGTGGCGCGTCAAGCCTCGGACGTTTGACATGGCGCTTCTCGAACTGCGGCTCCCCATCGGCCGGCACTGCAGTACGTTTGCTCATCTTCGCAGCACGAGCTTGCGAAGGTTGAGACTCGTCGACCTGCTCGCACTCATCTAGACCGGTAACTTTTGTCGCCAAGCTTTCCTCGGTTGGTCAAATCCCCGACATTTTCTCCACCGCCTTCGCTCCCGCTCCCAGGCGTGCCAGGCTCCACTTCAACACCATGTTGATCGCGGGGATACCTCTGCCTCAAGAATCAGGCAGCAGACTGTTACCCGCGAATTCTTGTCTGCTTGCCAAGATGCCCAGTATCAATATCCGGGTGTCGAATGATTTTCTTTGTTCTGACGACACCGATGGCCATTGAAGACCGACAACCGGAAACTAATCAATAGGATGAACAATGAATAGCTGAACCCGTTTGCAACGCTAAGCCGTGTTCTCACTGACAAAGGCAGAACCATGGGAGACAGAAATCTTGTAGCAGAGATACCCACGGTCCTTCATCACCACGAGCATCATGTCTTCATGGAACCCATCAACGTTTTGGCGGAACCCCTCAGAGATGTCAACCGTCGAGTTTTCCCCCGACACAAAGTCCGATGACAGCTTCCTCAGGCAACGCTACCGCAAGCATTCCTTAGCACCGAGCTCGCCGACCGTACTGAAGCAAATTCGAGCTGAAAATGGGCAACGGACGTCCCTCTGGCGTCAACTCGGGTGGCTTCTCTTAGCTTTGATTATCGTCTTGCCAGCGGTTCATTATTTCTTCAAAGATTCATTCAAACCATATCGTTACCGGACTCATAGCGGCTACCTCAGCAAATTCGAGTTTCTTTCTCAGTTACTGCCAGAGAAGTATCATGCTCCGTTGGAAGACTTCTCTGGCGTATCGATTGTTCCAGCCGAGCTCGATATCCCCCTGTACGCACCTTTCGACAATGTAGACGTGGGAAATCAAAACCACGACCGTCAGTTGATCAATTCAACCGTCTCCCAGCTAAGGCGCATCGAGATCAAGTTTCGGAACACCAGTCGAGAAATGGCAGATTTGGCAAACTTGCGAAATGATCACATCAAAGCTGCCAAAACTGCGCTCAACACGCTCCGTGTAGCAGCTGAAACAGGTACCGGAAACAAAGGGACCGATACGGAGGAGCTCAAACAAGACATACAAACAATCATCGAGGCCTTGACGAATGTGGAAAAGCACTCTGACAAATACGAAGCATATCGTCAAATCATTCCAAAGGATGTCCACAGTATCATCAGGAATGGCACTGAGAAGCAAAATGTCTACGCGGAGCTGAAGGACGATGAGGCCAAATTTCGGGTATACTGCAAAGCAGTGGAATACGAGGAGACGCTTGGGGAGTTAACAAGGGAATTCAAGATTCTTTTGAAGGCTACTGAGGAACTCGGCAAAGAGGCTACCGAGCTCGCCAAAACAAGCCTAAAGGCCTGCAGACATGCCTATCTCATCGAATCTCCAAATTTGAAAGAGGCAGGTTGTTCCGGTTCTTATATATGGTGAGGAAGCTAACAGCATGAAATAAGCAGGACGAGAATTATGTCTGCGATGATTCCTGGGTGGTCGTCTGGAACGCTTTCAAGCCACGCCCAACGGGAAAGTTGAGCAGCTTCAAGGAGGCCTTTTCGAGTTCCCTGGGAGTTGGTCCAGAGGGACTGCAGAGTCTCTTGCGTGTGGATGCTGCAAAGGTCAGTGCGGGAGAGACGTCAGAGGCATTGATAGCGAAGATGGAGAGCATCTTGGCCGATATCGAAGTGCTACATAAAGGGATAAGTGGCTGGCACGAATTTGCGGATGGCTTTCTGGGCTTTTGTAGTAAATACCTCTGATAGAAGCAAAGCATGGGATTCTCGTTCAGTCTTGATTCAGTCATGAATATAATGGATTGGTTCACTACTTTTAGGCTTTGGCATCACCACTGGCGCTCGGTTGTGATTGGCTTATGACGTGTTGACAAGCGGCGCCGATCCCCAGGGGGTGCAGGGATGCACGAGCTTCCAGCATAACTCGCCGCCGCCGCTGCTCTCGACGCCCACGGACAAACCCTCCTACCTCCCCTTCTCTTTCCCGCCGTCCTTCGACAAACGTTTCGCGCGAAGATGAAGCTGTCCAACACCCTCAGCATTGGCCTCGTGGCATTGATCTCTAACGTGCACGCGCATGGCGAGCAGGTGCCCGTGGCAGACAATGCCGACTGGGCCACGCGGCATATGGCAGGTAAGGACGCAATCCGGCATTGAGAACGCGAGGATGCTCGCACGAGGCTGGGCGAGACCGATGGACAATATCCGCGCATGCGACGCCGAAACAGCACTGACAGGGCGACAGAGGAGCACCACATAAACTCGTTCGACGCGGGCGTCTTCTTCAACCTGCACGACTACGACGGGACAGGCAAATGGTCGCCCGACGACGTGCGCAAGACGTACGGGCTGCTGGACGAGTCGGCCAAGAACATTCCGCAGGCGAAGAAGGACGAGGTCGTCAAGATCGTCTTCGACCTCTACGACAAGGACATGTCGGGCGACATCACGTTTGCCGAGTTCACCATCGGCAACGCCGCCGGCGTCGTGCTGCCTGATTTTGGCACCGGGCCTGGCCACCATGGCGACGACGAGTACGAGTATGAAATCCACCATTTTGAGAAATACCATGGTGGCGACGACGTTAAGGAGGAGGACCTTATCCACCCGGAGGATATCGAACATTTCAAGAAACATGATATGCTGGATGAGGCGAGGGAGAAGCTTGAGAGGCAGGAGAAGATGATGATTGTCGACTCCAACATCCCTGCCAAGTTCCGCAGAGTCGGCCACTAGACGAAGAAGCGTGTGCATGGCTTTGACGATGGTCCATTGCGGCCTTCTGGACTGCAACTGCGGGCATCAGGCGTTGAGGGGCAATCAGGCTTGACTTGGGTGTACAATTCTAGCAACGAGGTTTTGAAATACGCGACGAATGACGGTAATGGCAACGGCATGCTTGTATGTAATAGTATTGTTTATCTCCTACATAGACGCCACGGGCAGCGCCGTAGGCGGGACAAAAATATCCAAAACGCAATGCACGACGCCGGGGGCATACGTCTTGACGCGCTCGACATGGAGCAACGCCACGTCCTGTACACATTCAGGACTTCCTCCCCGGCTCTCCGCAAGCACCCCCACGAGCCTCCGCACCTCCGCCACCGTCTCCCCGGCCTTCTGCTCGATCTCCCCAACGCCAAAGTTCTCGTGCAAGTGCACCCACCCCCCTAAACCAGGATCGACCGCCTCGACCGCCGTGGTCCAGCTGCCCCGCGACGTCGGCAGCAGCCCGCAGTTGACGTGGCGGATGGGGGGCAGCGAGGCGCGCAAGGCGCGGATGCGGTCGAGGGCGTGGACGTTGGATTCGCGGAAGACGAGGAAGTCTTCGTCGCCGATGGTGATGGGCACGCTGCCTCTTTTCCCGCCTTCACTGCCTCCATCTTCAGCATCAGCTCCACCGTCACTAACAGCAGCACCACCACCCGCACCCTCCCGCCCCTCAGCCTCCTCATCCACGACCCTAACGCCCCACCCGTTCGCCCCCGCCCCCCGCCTCAGCCCCTCCACGCTCCACGGATTGAGCTCCCACCCCAGCACCTTGCGCACGCCGGCGCGCCGGTACGAAAACGAAAAATACCCGATCCCGGCATAGAGGTCGACGGCTGTTGCGTCGCTGCCGCTACCGCTACCGCTACTGCCGTTGCTACTGTTACTGCCGCTGCCATTGCCGTTGCTACCGCACTGCGCAAACCCAAGCACCCGCGCCTTCTCCTTCACGTTGCCCCGGCTGAACATGGTGTGCACGGGCGCCCACGCCTGCACGATGCCGTTCTGGCGCGCGCGGACCCAGAACGCGGCGGCGAAGTGCGCGGGCGTGGGATGTTGCTGGGGCGACGACGCCGTGCCATTACTGCCCAAGCCAAAGTCTCCCAGAAGCGGGCGCAGGCCGCTCGGGCTGCGGAGGATGTTGGGCGCGGCAGCGGCAGCGGCAGCGGCAGCGGAGCCATCAGCTGCTGAAGAAGGAGCGGGTGTCTGCGCAGCGATGGGCGCGTTGACAGCGACGTGGGTCGCGTGCAGGGCGTGCGCGAGCGCGGCGTACAGCTCGCTGGTGTGGGCGGGGGAGAGGGCGCTCAGGAGGGCGCGCCAGGGCGGCGCGGCGAAGGTGGTGGCGGGGAGGAGGAGCAGCGGCGGGTACACGGAGTAGGTTGGGGGGAGGGCGTTGACGAGGTCGTCGATGTTGATGTGGGGGTTTAGGGACGAGAGCAGTTGTTCTTGTGATTGTGATTGCAGCCATTTCCGCGCTGCCGCTTGCAGCGGGTTGACATCTTTCCTGGCGCGGGGAGGCGTGTTGGTGCCCGCGTCCTCTTGGAGTTCGATGACAGCGACGCGGTCGAGGATCTCTTGGCCCAGGTGCTGTAGCAGCGCGGCTTTGACGGCTTCTGGTGCTGACGACGTTGGCGTCGTCGTCGCTTCGTTGCCGTTGGATGCTGCGCCGTGGTCGTCGGTGGCCACGGGCACGAGGAACTTCTTCTCAGCTGCGCTGCTTCCGCCATCTTGGTATGGGCTGATCTTGCGCCCGCGGTCTAGGTTTCCTTGCTCTTCCAGTGCGGTTTTGACTGTTTTGACGTGTTGAGAGGGGACGACCAGCGCCAGGCTGGTGAAGGGCATGATTGCTGGAAATTTTTGGAAAGAAGGGAAGAAATCAGACAAGAGGATGAAGATTTAGAGATATACTTACCTACCTTAGCGCAAGACAAAACTAGCACAGCTACTTCTAAACATCAATTTATATGTATCATTAAATATTCATGAGAGCGATATTGAAATTTCCAAAATATGCGAGTTGTTCGTTGTTTGTCCATTCGCCAACAAAATTTTATATTTTTTATTTTTAACCAACCCCCAAAACAAAATAAAAACTTATATCCCAAGCACACAATCACAACCAAGCCAAACTACCCTCTTCTACATATCTATCTCATTACCCACCGTACAGTATCTCTCCTCCAAAGGGCCAAAACATAAAACAAATCAGCGCGTCCCACCCAATCACCCACACCCATCTATCTCACCAAAGCCAAAAGCAAAAAATTCCCAAAAAGAAAGGTCGTGCCCGGGATCGAACCGGGGTTGCCGGAAATAGTGTTCGATTTTGATGTGATCAAAATCCGGAGTGCTCACCACTACACTACACAACCAGAGATTGAAGGGCAGCCTGCTTTGCGCAGGACCTTGATGGGCGAATGATGTGGTGTAATGCTTTTATAACTTGTTAATTTTTGGGTGTCGTGGGGGCTGGCTGACCCCACGGTTGGCGGGCGTGGCGGGCTCTTGTGAGGACGCTTGGACCGCTATTCACGACACGATTTGGATCTGATTTGTTTGCGCAGGTGATAATGTTTCGCAGATGCGTGATTGGGCTTGCGAAGCTAGGCGCATGCTGCAGCGGAAAGGCTGAATCGATCTGGTTTCCGCGCTGAGCACAGGTTGGAGATCGCGTGCTGGAGTCGAAGACGTCATTGGCGCAATCGTGCTCTTTGTACTCTAGAGGTACTTGCTATACATAAGGTAATTGTGTATGTCTCAAGTGGTGACAGGCCTATATGTGTTACTTCCACCCTCCAGTGCACCCGTAAGCAAACTACCACACCAACCAACCCATCCACCATTCCGACACACCACCCACCAGCGCCCCAAACCCACCACGCACGCCCGCGCAAATGGCCACGCCCACGCCCAAACCCACGACGCCGCTACGCCTAAGTCACCTAAGCTACCGGATCGGGCGCGGCGAAACGGGCGTCCTAACTTACGAGCCGTACAAATCGGCGCTGCTGCCACTGTGGCGGTTCCGCACGCCCGCGCTCGCGCGCACCAGCGCCGCCGCGCTGTACGCGCGCTTCTTGGCGTACGACGCGGCCGACGACTTCGTCGGCATGGACATGGCGCGCAAGTTCGTGCAGATGGGCATGACGCGCGCTATGCGCTACGCGAACCACGCCGGCGGCCGCAAGTACACTCGTGGCTCTGGGGCGGAGCTGCCCAAGAGTGAGGGCCATGAGGGCCAGGAGGACAAATTGGCGGCTGCGGCTGTTTTTAGGGACACGTTGGCGAGGTGTAGAGATCATGAGGGGTATAAGGCGCGGAAGGAGGCGTTTTTGAAGGAGCAGAGGGCGTGGGATCGCGAGAGGAAGAGGGCGGAGAAGGCGGGTGGGAATGATGAGACAGATCGATAGCCGTGTTGTCCTTCCTTCCTCGGTCTGAAGCGTTGCGTCGTGTCATGTATGCGTCCCCAGGCATTACGAGCTCCCTCCCTTCGCCGTCGTCGAATGCATCTACACAACACCCTCTCGTCAGCCCACACCCACACACATAAACGAACAAACAACCACACAGCAAAAACAAAACATGGAACTCACCACCTCAGCAAAGCCCACCCACTCCCCCAACCCCTTGGCGTACGCGTCCTCGTCCTCCCCCATGCCCTCCTGCTCCCAAACAACCACCTCCCCAAACCGGCCCACCTCCTCCATCACGCCCGCCTCTTCCTCGCCCTCGCCCTCGTCTTCCTCTCCCCGCATCGAGCCATCGCTCTGTCCCTGCGTCCGCTCCACCCGCTGCACAACCACGCCCCGCCACCCCTCCGGCACCGCGACGCTCTTGCCGCGCAGCTTGCGCCCGCGGAAATATGCCGTTGGTGCGGTGTCGGCGACGATGGAGGCGGTATCGGTGGGGGCGGCGGCGGCGGGGGCGGTATCAGCGAGGGTGGTTGTGGTGGTGGCATCAGGTGCACGCGCAGAGGAGCTAGGCGCCCAATACCGCTCCGCAGCATTGACAGGGCCGTCGTGGTGGACGCGGCAGGGCAGGAGGTTCGGCGTGCATGTCGGCACGGCGGCGGCGGCCGTCTGGCGCGAGGGTTTTTGTATCGCGAGCATGGCGGGCGATGGGCTGCGGAGTGGAGCGGAGTGGAGCGTAGTGTAGTGAAGTACTGCGTAGCAGGGTGCTGCACTGGTACCTATGTAATACGACGGCGGCGGTCTGGTGCTTTTGCGGCAGATTTGTGATGGTGGTGGTTTGCAAAATGGCTGACTGGCTGCGCGGGTGGACGCGTCTGGCGTAGCGACGCGCTCGCTTCGCGTTGGGTGCTGTGCTGTGCCGAGGCTGCTTGCGTCCGCCACCACTTTATATCTGTATTTAGTACGTGATAGCAAGCAAACAAGTAAATGAAATGACCGAGCACTACCTAGGCGGTTATGGTGAAGTGGCTGTGGCTTATGCGCACGCTTTTTGTTTTGGCTTTGGCAGATATATATATGTATGCATATATATTTTAAATAAAAATAAAATATGAAATCGGAAAATAAAAATAAGAATAAAAATATCTTATTTCTTATCATTCTACAATAATCAACCTTCCTTCCCATTCAGTCATAGGCAAACAAGTAAGGAGCTGGCTGTCCACCTACCCAAGCAGCCAAGCCAATCAATCAATCCCCCCTCTCTCCCATCCCCACCCCCACCCAACTTTCCCCCTCACAACCCCACAACCTCACAACCCCTCCCCACTACACACCCCCCATCCTCCGCGCCCACCCCGCCCCCAGCAACGCGCCATAACTCCACGTCAAATCACTCGCGCCCTGCTCAAACCCATCCCAGCGCCCAAACTGCTCGCTCAGCGCCCCCTCCTTACTCGCATGCCTCCTCACCACGTCCAAGAACCCGTCGCCCGTCTCCCGCAGCCTAGCCAGCGCGTGTTCGAACAGCGGAGACGTCGCGTTGATGGCTACAACCTCGTCGCTGTCGTCGCCGGCCAAGCCACCGCTGAGAGCGTAGCACTCTGCGGAAGTGGATGCTGCGTTTAGCGACGAAGAAGATGACAAGGAAGAGGGGGAGGAGCAGAGCACATCGGACCAGAACGCGCGCCCCCGCCCCGTCGCCCTGATCACGCCCTCCCGCTCCGCGTGCGCCGCAGTCAGAAACAACACCTCCGCCCCCACCGCCGTGCACAAGAACCACGGGTTCCCGGCATCCGGCCCGGGCGAGCTATACCCATCATACGCGTCCTCGGGGTAGCGGCCCAGCGCCGCAGCGCCGAAAGCCGTGGCCGCGCCATCCGCATTCGTAGACCCGTCGTGCTGCCCGTTAATTGGGTACCGGGCCTTCATGTCCAGGACCATTGCCCGCAGCGTCGCCAGCACCGCGTCGTCATGCGGCGGGAACACCGGCGGCCACAACCCAGCTCCATCAGTAGTAGGAGCGGCAGGATTCGCCCACACAGCCCCCAGCAGCGTCGCGCAGTCGAGGCCGCCGCGATCGCGCTCGGCCCGGCCCCCCCGCGTCGCGCGCAGCCATCCCACCTCCTCGTCCCAGAACTCGCGCGCCAGAACTTGCGCCGCCTCGCCCGCCTGCAGCGCGTACCACGCCGCGGCGCCGTGGTCGCCGAACCGCACCGCCAGGTCCGCCCCCTCGCGCAGCGCGCGCAGCTGCGCCATCAGCGTGAAGAAGTGCCGGCCTTGGATCTCCTCCCACACGTCAAACGAGTCGTACGCCCGCCAGTGCCGCGCCACGTACTCCAGGTCTGCTTTGATGGTGCTGGTGGCGGGCAGTTCGGGCGAATACAGCGGCGCGAACCAGTCCTCGCCTTCGTTTCCCTCGCCCTCCTTACTGACCCCCCTCGCTTCCCACGCGCCCGGATGGCTCTCGTTCCACGCCCGCACAAACGCCATCAGCGCCGTGGCGCGCAGAGCCGGCCCGTCCCGCTGCGGCCGCCCCCAGTTCTCGCTGAAGGAAGACCCGTCGACGTGGAACTTTGGTTCGCCGAGGCCGGGGAGGTCGGGGAAGGAGAAGTCGCCGGAGGGGTTGGGCGTGCGTTGGAGTTGGGCGGAGAGGGAGGCGTAGGCCTCGAGGGTGGGGAGGAGGACCGAGGTGCTGAGGTAGGAGAAGGGAGCGCGGGCGTAAAGAGTCGTCACTGTGGACATGGTGATGGCGGCGTCGCGGATCCCTGGTGTATTGTTAGTTGTGGGTTCCATGTGGCTGGCTGACAGTTGGGTCCGTGCGGCGGGGTGGATGTGTGGGGTGTGGGGACAGAGCACGCACATTGGAAGTAGTAGTTAGGGTGCGAGCGCGAGGGGCTGGCCAGGACGGTGCCCGGCACCGCGTCCTGCGCGTTGCGGCCATAGGGCGCTATGTTGGCCAGCAGCCTATCAACGGCGATCTTCTCTTCGTCCTCCAGCCATTGCTCGAGCTCCGAGTGCTGCTTGGAGGGAGAGAAGGAAGAGACGAGGTCGACGGAAGGTCCGAGCGGGCGCTGTTCGTCGACGAGGGCGGGGACGACGAGGGCAAAGGCGTAAAGGAAAACGTAGGCACCAACAAGGAAAGACGCTAAGAACAGCATGGCTCAGCTCAGGGGGTATCAAGAATAACTAGGCCTCGCGGCAGAACAAGTCTGAGAGAAGTGAAGATTGTCTAGGGAGAGAATGGAGAAGGCAAAAAAAAAAGGAGAGTGGGCTGGCGGGTCAGTCAGCTAAGGCGGGTTAAGGGAACAGCTGGCGTGGGCTGAGTCGTGGGCGGTTGGCGGCGGCCATGATGAAGGGCTTTGTTCGGATGACATGGGCGTGTGGTGTTGTCACATGGCGATTTGGCGCGGTTCCTGCAGGCGGGAGGCTGAATCGCCGCGCTGCGTCATCTGGGGCAACCACGGCGAACTACCACCAACCTCGGCCGTGTGAGCCGTCACAATCAGCGTCGCCTTCGCAAAGGCCACGCGACCGCCAGTCGGGCGAGGCTGTTGGCTGTGTCTTCACACTGCTGTCGTCATGTGCGAGGGACATGGTGGTGATGATGACAGCTGAAGCAGTTGCGAACATGAACGTCCGGGAAACCCGACAGAAACAGTCAGCTCTCACCCTTACGCTCACGCGACGAGCGGTGCGTGTGTATGCGGAAGTTTGCGTTTGCCCTTTGCCGGTTGTGCCTGCCATGCCCGCCCGCCTACAGCTTCGTCGCCGCCGCTCTTTCCTCCGCAAACACATAGCCCTGCGCTACCGGGCTGACATGCGTCCCGCCCGGCACTGCAAACGGGGGTTTCGTATACGACGTTGCCGTGAAGAAGACGGGGTGTCGCACTGCGCTGTCATACTGCTGGCGCGTCTGCTGCTGCTGCTGCACCGGCAGAGGGCGCGTGGGCGGCGGGTACTGCAGACTGGTAAGTCGATGGTCGTAGTGACAAATGGATGCTACATAGGTAGGTACCTTTGGCCGCGACGGCTGCAATGAGGGCAGCATGTTTGCATCAGTCAGTAGTATGTAGGTAGGTAGGAGTAGTTGACGGTTGACGGAGGAGAAGAGTGCGGAGTGCGGAGTTCGGCCATGACGCACCGAGGCGCGCGCGTGGAAAAAGTGCAGGCATGCGCGACAATCATGTCCGCAGCCACTGCACTTCTTCTCTCGACATGCGCCAAACGCCCAAACGCCTTTACACGACGTCGGCCCAGTTGCGCTGTGCTGCTTCTCCGCAAGTTCCGCCGCTCCTCTCCATCGACAACGCCACCTTCTACCGCCATCATCCAGACGCCCAACCCGATCCTGTCACCAACCCGCCGCTCTTCCCCGGCCTCTCCTTCAATTGGCCCGCGCGCCAGAGGTACAATGAACATTGGGCCGTCCTGTCGCCCTCGACACTCGCCCGCACCGAATTCCTGAATATCCTGCGCGGCCAGCGCCTCTGCTTGCCGCCACAGGCCCGCTCATATCCCTACCTCAACACTCCTCGGACCTCCAAAAGAAAACCCACGCCGCGCAATGCTGCCGATGCCATTCAATACATCAGCGGCTTCGACAGCCACCACAAGAGCCAATACCTCGGCGCCCGTTACGAGAGCTTCCGCGACGTCCCCGACCCCAGCGTCCGCGACTACCTCCGCGATGTGACCAAGGCGCCCGTACAGGAAGCCTGGCTCACCCAAGTCATGCACAACTTAGACCTCAGTGCTCTGGCCGACGTGCCCATTAGCCACCTGAGCACCGGCCAGATACGGCGGGTTCGCATCGCACAGGCCGTGCTGTGCAAGCCCGAACTGCTTCTGCTGGAATCGCCGTTCACGGGCTTGGACCCAAATTCGATTCAGTCCTTGTCTGAGATGCTGCACAACATCAGCGCAGCCGTCCAGCCGCGGCTGGTGCTGTCGTTGAGACCCATGGACGTCATCCCAGATTGGATCACCCACCTTGTCCTGATAGGCACAAAACCCGAGGTCGCCGCTTTCGGCACACGGCGCCATATTTTTGAGTACATTGGTGCCATATTTTGCAAATCGGAGGGATTCTTGTACGAGACCCGGGCCGCCTACGAGAAGATGAGCAACCAACAGTGGTCCGGCGTGGAGATTCCAGACAGCCTTGACATCCTCACCCAGGCTGAAGAGGTCGACGAGCTCATCGTTTTTCGTGAGATAGGCCGTAAGCTTGAGAACAAGGGCGATTTCGACAAGCTTGCTCCAAAGTCCGTGGAGAACACTCGCTCTGCCTTCCTGAACCGCGGAGCCAAGGTGCCCAAGACGGACAAGGAGTTGATCAACACCCGCGACGGATGGCCCAGACATTCGCACGAGGTGGATATTCCAATCGGAGAGCCGCTCATGCAGATGGAGGGTGTCAAAGTCGCGTACGGCGACAAGGTCGTGCTGGGAGACTGGCAGCAGCCGAAGAAAGACACGCCCGGCCTGTGGTGGGAAGTGCGTCGGGGCGAGCGCTGGGGCATCCTTGGATCGAACGGTGAGTATTGCGCGCGCCGATTCACATGTAGCATATTGGTCTAACATTTGATAGGCTGCGGCAAGACGACCCTCGCTTCACTCATCACGTCGGATCACCCGCAGGCCTATTCGGTGCCGATGCGGCTCTTCGGGCGGCCACGAGTGCCCGAGGCCGGCGAGCTCGCTACACCCCTCTTCGATATCCGGGCGCGCATTGGCCACGCGTCGCCCCACGTTCATGAAAGCTTCCCGCGGCATCTGTCGCTGCGGCAAGTGATTGAGTCGGCATGGGCGGACACGCCGCTGTCGAAGCCGCGGCTCGACTATGCCAAGGATCTGAGGGTGGACGCGGTGCTGCGGTGGTTCAGGGCGGAACTGCACCCGACGATGGGCGAGACGCTGGACCAGCGGGCGGAGCACTTCCGGCCGCCGCGCGAGTCGCGCGAGTACCATGATGTTAGGCGGAAGTCGGCCAGGTTCGTGCGCATAATGGGGGAGGTGCTGCGGGAGGAAGAGATCTCATTGACGTCTCTGCTCGACTGGGCTGACGCGCTGTGCTTTGGCGACATGAGCTTCAGCGCACAGCGGCTCGCGCTGTTTCTGCGGGCCATAATCCACGAACCGGACCTGCTGATCCTGGACGAGGCTTTCGTGGGCATGGATGATGTTACACGCGACAAGGCCATGCTGTTTCTCAGCCACGGGCAGAACATGGCCCTCCGCTACGTCAACGACCATCGGCTAGTCAGCACGCCGGGGCCACGCCCGGCACGCTCGGACTTCGCGCGCCTGAACATGGTGCGCGTGCATGGGCTGCAGCCGCACCAGGCGCTGGTGTGCGTGGCACACGCGCGCGAGGACGTGCCCGGCTGCGTGATGCAGTGGATGCGGCTGCCGGACAAGGAGACGCGGGGCGGCAAGAAGAAGAAGAAGAAGGAGGAGGAAGGGGAGCAGGACGAGGAGAAAAAGCCGCAGCCGTACTTTGGCTTGCTCGAGGGCCCGCTGAATGGCCAATACCGCTGTTGGGGCGAGATCTGGGGCGTGCGCGGCTATCAGTCGGGTAGCACAGATGTAGATTCAGTGGCGGGACAGCTGAATTTGAACAAGTCGCGACCGGGACGGCTGCGCCATATGGGTAAAGAGGGGGAAGAGGACAATGACGGGGACGAAGGGAAGGAGAACGAGGAGGGCGAGGAAGAAGATGAGCAGGAAGAAGACGAGCAGGAAAAAGAAGAAGAGGAGATGGAGGAAGGCGAAGGCGAAGGCGAAGGCGAAGACAACGACTCCACCACCGTCACCGCCTCTGCAGACCATGTTCGGCGCGGGCGCATCCCGCAGGCCTTCCGGCCACAAGGCAGCCCGCTCGACCTGTACAACTGGAGCACAGCGCGGCTGATATTCGGGCTCGACGCATCGCCACTGACACGGCGGATCCAGCTGCGCAAGGCGGGCATCCTGGCCGAGAAGGCGGCGGCGGCCGCGAACCCAGTGCCCGGGATGCTGCCGCCCAAAAAAAAGGGCCGCCGCTCAAAGGCAGAGATTCAAGCTCAGGAGGCCGCCGAGGCGGAACGCCGCGCTAAAGCGAAGGCGGGCATTGTTGATGAGGAGGAGGTGAAGCGCTTGCAGGCGGAGGAGGAACATCAGCGCGTCGTTTATGAGCAGAGGCTTGCGAGGCAGCGCGAGAATAGTAAGAGGTTTAGGGAGAGGAAGGGCTTGCTTATGAAGAAGAAGGCGAGTAAGGATGATGAGGAGGAGGAGTAGGGGGGTGGAGGGAGGTGTTGGCTAGGTAGAGAATTGTAATGGGGTGGTTGGGTTTGTGTGGCTGCTGCTACTGTTTAGGCGTGTTTTAGGAAAGGCCAGGGAAAGAAAAGAGAAGAGAAATGAAAAGTAAAGAGGTTTAGTAAATACTAGTAGTAGGTGGGGGTTGGGTTAGCGGCGGTGGGTGGCTGCATCTGTACGAAGTAGGTAGGGTAGGTAGAGAACGTAGATTTTACGCGTGCATGACTGCTGTTCTTCTTGCGTCGCTGTGTCGGCTGTGTCTTGGGGTTGGCTGTAGGCGCTTTCTTGCTTGCTTGTGTTGTGTTGCGATGAAGTTTGCTACATAAATCTCGACTACGGCCAGCCCATGCCCGAAAGTACCTATCAAAGCGTTGGTTAAAGACCTAAGTCCTCGGTAAGCATCAACCCTTACCGGAGGGGAAGGGCGTTCAGCGGCAATGACAAGCTGCTAATCTACGCTCGGTTTTGTGGTGTTAGCTAAGGAGTGCTGCTGCGGTCTAAATGCGCAGGGATGGAGGAGTGATCCCGGTGTGGTATATTCCTTTGGGTGTAATGATGACGAGCACGAGGGGTGGGCAGTGGTGGTGCACATCACGGGCTGGGGCTGGTGCCGTGTGCTCCAGAGAGTAGATAGATGACCTAGTTCATGGACTTCACATTTGAGATTTGGCGTCAAGTTGTGTTGTTCGGACCCCCCATTGTGGTCTCTCGTCCGGAACCAGCTTCAGTCGCTTCATAGGTTGCTTGGTTAGTCTTCGAATGCCAGTGCCTGAGACTTTGACGTGTCAGAGGTATTTAAGCTGCTGTGCGTGAGGTTGTGATAGGGTTGGTGTTGTTGTTGTTGTTGTTGTAGAGGATGTAGATCTTGACTGCTTGTCTGGATTCTGATACTTTTTGGGGTGAAGGTGGAGAGAGTGTTGTAGTCCTGCTCTGGTGCCTGTGCCATGATCAAGTCTTTCAAGTTTCAACTAAGTATCGCTCTCCCGGCGGAAACAACAGCACGTTCGCCTGCTGGCCGAACACGCTACCCGCGTGTCTCTCGACACCGAGCGCGCCCGCCTCGCCACCGTGCAGTGGGGCGTTGCGGACTTGGGGGCCGGACAGAGCTTGAGAGATTTGGAGGGGTGTGCTTTTTGGTGCGTGTTTTGTGGTGTATGTGTATGTGTGTACGCTTTTTTGGTGTAGACTATAATCAGGAACAGGAAATGATGTAGGACGTATATGTATGACAAGGACGCTCGCGATCAATACTCGGAATTGGTAGGACATATACAGAAGCAACGCCATCGGGAGCCAAAGGTGCAACATAAACGTCTTCGCGGCGGCGCCCTTCGTCCTCCTCCCTAAATGGACCATTAAATCTCGTGGCAGCACTGCCTGCTGCTGCTGCGGCTCCAGCGCGCCGCCTGGGCTTCTTGCTTGTGTATGGGAACACTGGCTTGGGAAGAAGCGGTGGTGGCGGTGGCGTGTTGGAGTGTTGGCTTGCGCTGTTCTTATTGATCGAAGTATTTGTTAAGTTGTTTTCCCTCGGGAGTTATAGATTACACGACAGGGTTTGGCCTTGAAGAGTCGAGATAATTTCTTTCGCGTTTCTTGCATCTCGCCGTGTCTGAGTCGTTTTGGACAGTGACATATATAGAAGACAAGCCTGCACTGTGTACACCGAAGATGTCAGTTCCCAAGCCTGATCTCTGAGTGATACAAGTTGGGATCTCCTGGGCATCGTACTTGCTCAGTGTAACGTGAGGCTCGGCCTAAAGCGGTAACCGGTTGCTTTAAGGTCGAACGTCTGGCTGCGCGCGCGCGGGGGGTTAGTCAGCTAGGCCAAAAGAGGTAACATGCCTCCAACATTGAACGTCTGGGAGCCGGCGCGCGGGGGGTTATGTAAGCCAGCAAAGCCAAGCTACTGACTATCCCTAAACAGCAACCAGGCTCCAAGGTCGAACGTCTGGGAGCCGGCGCGCGGGGGGTTACTAAGCCAGCAAGCATTCACTCACTCACTACTTATCCACTAGATTAAATTCCTGGCTTTCTGCTTCGGACTTAACTTTTTTTTTTTTTGTTTTTTGTATAAAATTTCCTGTTTGACTAAATAAATGTGGCGAGGAGACGTAGTTCATTGCTTCTTGGTTTATGAGGGTTGGCATGACACTTGTTTATTGATCTGTTGAGACGATATCTCTCTCTCATACTCTCCATGTATATAAAATCCTACCCAACAGATGAGAAGCCACAACCAGAAATCTGCACAACACCAGAAGGACAGCAGAAGCCTCAACCCGTATACTGGCTGGACGTCGCCGACGTGTGCTGTTATTCGTGCACCTCTCCGTCACAACACCGTTGCTTCAACCCGTACCGGGTCTGTGATCGAAGAAGCACGCGTTGCAACCATAATGACGATGACCAGGAGCGAGGAATGATAGTGGCCTTCACCACTAAACAAGGCGTAGCCCTTCCTCGAATGGAGCACAGGTGGTGTATACACACCTCTCGTCCATGCCTCTTCCATGAGACGTGACGGGAACGGCAATCCGGTCCACTTCTCCGTCGCATTATTCGAAACCCCGTCTTCTCTTTGCAGGGTGTTATAGTATGCCTGCTCCTACACTGTGAGAGACCAGCCAGGGAATACGTGAGGGTGTAGACTGGAATAGTGAACTATAATATAGTAAGCCTAGCACGCACTGACTGCTTGCCTTCGGGCAGTTTTAACAAGAGGCTATTATGCCACACCCTATCTCTGAATCGTTTATGTCCTAGATTTCTTTTGGCGGCACAACATTCCAGCCATGAGGTCTGTCTCCGTATACGGGGTTGGAAGCTGGTGTCTTTCTGTAAATTTGTCTGGAAGAGCGAGCCTTGCTGCTACTAGAGGATGTCCTCACTGACTGAAGCGCTAACAAGCCTCTCTGGACTCGTGTACATGAGAGTACCGCAACAGACAAACCCTCCTCACCTCGACTTAAACAAATCAGTGCATCACAGCGCTCGTAAAAGCCAATTAAGAACTGGCTTACCCAACAAGAGAGCAACAAAGAAACTACATCCCCAAACCAAACCCCCAACCCCAGCCACCACCAGCAACAAAGACCCCCAGAGCCGTCCACCACCATCACCAAACGCCAACAACGTTGACGCACAGCACGCAGCACCACCGACGCGCATTATCCCCCCCACACACACACTATCACCCCTGCAGTCAGCAACACGCACGATCTCGTGCTTGATTCCCGTTTCCCACATTCATAAATCGTGAATAAAATGCAAATGGACGCGAGACGGGACCTGATGTCGTGCTGCAGTATGCTGCTGCTGTGCTGGAAGCTGGCGTTGTTGTTATTATTTGGTGATGATGGAAGATGGAGCGGATGACGCGCTGCTGTGTGTGTACGTGTGCGCTTTTGGGGTTTGCGTCGTGGCTTGTATGTAGGTGGGAAGTGGGACGGGCTGCCTGCTAGGTGCGTAGGTAAGTATGTGTGTTTGCTCCTCAACACCATCTGCTATATCTCTACTACCTATGTATATTCATCATCTTCCCCCTGCAACGCCGCTGCCTGCGCTTTAGTCCGCTATGTACATACCTACCGCCCTGCTGTAGCCGGTGCCGGTGCTGGTGCCGGACGCACCAGCGTGTTCGTTAATTTCTTCCGCGACGGGCAGGACGGACCACCGCCCAACAGACAGGACGGCGCTGCACTCTAGCGATGGTGGGGAAAAGCCGTGGTTCGATCTTCGGTGCGCAGTGCCTGAAATGCTCCTTTTCCATTTGGGTATCATCCTGACCATGAGGTCTTCCTCTTCTAATAGAATGCAGAAAGAAAAAGAAAAAGTCCGTCCGTGATTGAATTTTGTGTTCCAGCCGCTCTTACTTTTTTGAAGAGAGCAATTTACGCCTTAAAAAGCTTTTGCGCCCATAACCACGCTCCACTGCACACATGCCGGCGCGGCCAGGCCTTTGCCTCCCCCGTTTCCTACACTGCCGGCCAGTCATTTCTTGCCCTTCTTTTTCTTGCTCGCGCCCTTGCCCGCGCCCCCAGCCGGCTGCGGCCGTCCCCACTTCCGCGCGTGCTCCGCCTCAAACGCCTCCTTCTCCTTCCGGAACAGCAGCATCGTCGCCCGCGCGTCCTCCACACTGCTGTGCTCGCCGCTCTGGATCTCGACGCCCAGAAACTCCTTCGCCAGCTTCCGCAGACTCGGCGCCTTGCCCGCGCTCAGCTTGCGGAAGGCCGGGTGGCGCGACGTGTCGCGGATGTCGCGCTTTGGGTGCGTGAGCATGAGCGCGTCGAGATCGTTCTTGATGGCGTGGCCGACGAGGATGCGCCCCTCGAGCAGGTCCGACACCTCGCGCTGCACGGTCGCGAAGGGGCGCGCGTCCCGCAGCAGCGCCGCCGTGATGCCCGATACCGCGGTGCGGTAGTCCGTCACGGGCAGCTGGGGCAGCACGTACGAGTCGTAGAGCTGGCGGCCGTGGAAGTCGACGAGCGACGCGCGCGCCAGCTGCGAGTCCTGCTCGGGCGTCGGGCCTACGCCCACCATTTCGCAGTCCAGCGCAATGTACTTGCCGGCTGAGACGTCGGCGGCGAGCCCCGCGTTCGGCACGTCGTTGTACGTCGTTGCGCCGGGGATCGAGGTGCTCGACGTCGGGAGGTTGTACGCTGCCGCGACGTCGGCGACGGGAATGTCGTGGTCTTCGGCGAAGAGGGCGAGCGAGGCGGACGGTGGGCCGGTAGGCTTGTCCGACGCTGAGGTCGATGCGGTCGACAGCAGCGAGCCCATCTTGCGCTTCTTGGACGGGGCGGTGGCAGCGGCGTGCGGTTTCGTCGTGGCGTCAGACTTCTTGCGCTTGGTGCCGTTCAATTGGCGGTCGTTGTCGTCGGCGAGCTTGCACTTCTTCTTCAGACCGGCGGCCTGCTTGACGTCCTTTGGTTTCGCGGCGTCCTTGGGCTTGTCGCTTTGGAGCTTCTTTTGGAGCTGTTTCCAGTTGCTGGACAGGTTCTTGAGCTCCATCGTACGCAGCTAAACTGGGGCGTGCTGCGGCGCGCGAAGAAGGAAGTCGGTGGGATTTCTGGGCGCGCGCCTCGAAAGTTTTCGGCGACTGGCGGCGGCGGCGGCAGCGGCGATTCAGCGCGTCACGTGCCAGGGTCCAGTGGCAGACGATCTCGCAGCGCCGAAACCCGGCTTCCCGTCTCTGCACCTGCATGGCTCGGCACCACATGTCGCATCCCCGTATCTCGCAGAATGACATCTGCCAACTGTCTATATAAGCAGTACACTGACATACTGACTGATGTAGGGTTGACATGAAGGCGTTCGTTGAGAAGGGCGCTTCTTCCATGCCTTGCTCAGCTACATCGTTCGTGATAGGAGTAAGGTCTTTCCGCAACACCCAGGGCATACATTGCTCTCTATTGTATTGGCCATGCAAAGGATAGTTCAAGTGAAAAGTGAAAAATCTCTTGGTAAAAATTTAGTTGATCCATCATCAGAGAAGAACCAATGTTTCATGCCCAGCACCAAGAAATCCACGAGCGTCTAGACGAAGGGGTTACTGCCCCACAGCATCGATTTATCCAGAAGAGTCGAGCGGTCTGTCCTGGAGAAGCCAAAGAGGTCGCTTGACAAGAAGCAGTATCGAAGACAGTTACGGCCAAGTTAAAGCTGGACCAAGGGATTCCTCCTACTCTAAGACGCCATTGATAGGTAGGCTCTCCTCGCAAAAAGCAACAACCTTTTCGAGAGATGTCTACTGGGTTGGCCGACAGTGAGACCGACGATGAGGACGACTGTTGTCGGAACGTCACGGCCAGACAGGGACTTGAAACTGGAGACGCCGCTTCGGTGCGTGAATTTAGTAGGTAGTACGGATTATTTCTTCGCCGATAATATCCTCTTACTTTCTTTCAGTCCACCCTTTCCTGCAATCCTTTTGGTTGTTGTGTTGTCCGGCTACAGATGAAGCTCCTCGGCTCCGCGCTAGCAACGGGCCAGTTCCGCGTGCCCCGCATCCGATTCCGCCTCCGCCAACATGATCGCGGGGAAGTCGACATGGTTGAAGCGCGGCTATTCCCCTGTAGGAACAAGCAAGACCACGGCGCTGGTTCCGCCCATGCCCCCCATATCTAGACGGCAGGAACTGCCTGCCTCCTGCTGCTGTTCCTCAACTGCCAAGCTCCGCGTCCTTTCCCCACCACTACAGCCATCATGATCGCCGAAACCCTGGCTCTTGTCCAAGAGCAGTCCTCAGCACATCCGTTCCGTTCATTGTTATACCTCTTCCTGGCCGTCCCTCTCACCTACCTTGTCATCAACGAGTATGTCCGCGCCCGCGCCCGCGTCCCGGGCTTCGCTGGCCCGCCAGGTCTACCCGTCATCGGAAACCTATATCAGATCCGGGTCAACGCGGCGGAGCAGTACCGGCTGTGGTCTCAGCGGTACGGAGCCGTGTACCAGATCCAGCTTGGCAACATCCCGGTCATCGTGGTCAACAGCGCCGCGGCAGCGCGTGACATATTCGGCAAGAACAGCCAGGCGCTGAGCAGCCGGCCAGTGTTCCACACGTTCCACAAGGTGCTCAGCAACACGGCAGGGACGACGATCGGGACGAGCCCGTTCAGCGAGAGCCTGAAGCGGCGGCGCAAGGGGGCAGCGGCGGCGCTGAACAAGCCCAGCGTGGCGACGTACGTGGATCACTTGGACGTGGAGACGCGGGACTTTGTCAAAGAAGCGCTGGAGCAGGGTCGCGGGGGCCGCGCGGCCGTCGACCCCATGCCGCTTATCCAGCGGCTGTCGCTGAGCCTGTCGCTGACGCTGAACTGGGGCACCCGCATGGGCAGCCGCGACGACCCGCTCTTCCACGAGATCACAGAGGTCGAGGAGGACATCTCGCGCTTCCGCAGCACGACGGGCAACCTGCGCGACTACGTGCCGCTGCTGCGCCTGAACCCGTTCAGCGGGGGGAAGCGCCGTGCAAAGGAGGTCCGCAACCGGCGCGATGTGTATCTCCGCCGGCTGAACGAGGACTTGGACTCGCGCATGGCGGCTGGCACGCACAAGCCGTGCATTCAAGCCAACGTCATCTTGGACAAGGAGGCCCAGCTCAACGCTGCGGAGCTGACATCAATCAGCTTGACGATGCTGTCCGGTGGGCTCGATACCATCACCACACTTGTGCAGTGGAGCCTCGCGCTGCTGGCTCAACGGCCGGACATCCAGACAAAGGCCGTCGCCGCTTTGCGGGAGACTGAAAGTGGTGATGACGGCAACAGCAGCGCCCTGCACGATGCCGCCGACGACCAGAAGTGCCCGTACATCGCGGCCCTGGTCCGCGAGTGCTTGCGCTACTTTTGCGTGCTGCGGCTCGCACTGCCCCGCGCCACAGTCAGGGACATTGTCTACGACGGGCGCGTCATCCCTGCGGGGACGACGGTGTTTCTGAACGCGTGGGCGTGCAACATGGGTACGTCTACACAAACCCCCCATTTAATCACCCTCACAACCCATCCCCGCACACATACAAACCCACCCTTATCACTCCACCCAACTAACAGAGCCACCAGACCCCACGACCTGGCCCGACGCGCGCGTCTTCCGCCCGGAGCGCTGGCTCGAATACCCCGACGCCCCGCTCTTCACCTACGGCCTCGGGTACCGCATGTGCGCCGGCTCGCTGCTCGCGAACCGCGAGCTCTACCTCGTGCTAGCGCGCACTCTCAAGGCGTTCGAGCTCAAGTCCGTGACAGGGAACAAGAAGGAGGCCTGGACCGGGAGCAGCGATCTCGTGGACACGGACCCCGTGACCGGCGCCGCGGACCCGACGAGCTTGGTGTCGATGTGCAGGCCGTATGAGGTCGTGTTTGCGCCTAGGGAGGGTGAGGAGCGCCTGAGAGAGGCGATTTTGAGTGGCGAGGAGGCTGTGAGGGGCGAGTGAGTGCGTGGCCGTTTTGGTTGGGTTTGGATTGGTTTGTTGAATGCTGGGGATGGAGCGGTCGTTGTGGCCCGCCAGGCCGCACCCACTGGAAAGATTGGTACTGAGGGAATCCACGAGCCTCAACTCGGGCACATAGTAATTATGCACCTTACTGTACTGCGACGTGCTTAAAGCAACCGATATCTCGGCTTGACACTACAAAATATCAACATCCAACTTCACCAGCATCAGTTAGCATCCAAATGAGCCACCAAGCCGCCTCTCAGTCCATCCCAGGCTTAGCAGGGTTAGAGTAAGGAGATAGGTTAATTGATTAATGTTATGATCTTCGGATAAGAAGCTTTTATAATGTACGATAACAGTAGTGCGGTCTTCAACATTGTTGTGGATGGTGTGAAATGTCTCCTCTGTTGTTGAAACTATTGCCGTTTGCAGTTTGAGATGATAATACACCCGTGCAATGCTACAACGATTGTTGGCGGACGGTGTTGAAAGAAGACCTATTGCATGACATTCCACGTCGTGATATAAGCTATGCAGTGCACCGTTCCGCGACCCGGCGCATGAGTCAGCAATCTAGGTTTCGCGACAATCAGAGGCGATTTCGTGTAGAAGTTCGACGTACGGCCCCACACAACGAAAGAAATCCAACTCCCGTCGCCCTATACCCCGCATAACGCCGTCAAGATGTCTAATGTCGCAGGGTCAGCCTATAGACAAGCTCCAGCGCACTCGAGCCCCTAGCTAACGGCCGCGCAGACGCACCGACTGGGCCGAAGAGGACGACGATGACCAGGTCGCCCTCCCCGCGCCCCAGGTGACGAAGAACAAGGACGGCACCGAGACGATTGTGACGTACATTATGCGCGAGGACGGCAAGAAGATCAAGACGACGCGGCGGATCAAGAAGACGGTCGTGAAGACGACGGTGAACCCGCGCGTCGCCGAGCGCAAACAGTGGGCCAAGTTCGGGCAGGAAGCCAACAAGCCCTCCGGGCCGCAGAGCGACACGACGTCGGTGGCGGAGAACATAGTCTTCCGGCCGCAGGCCAACTGGAAGGCGTCGGCGGACGACAAGAGCGAGCACGAGAAGAAGAAGGCCAACCTCAAGGACGCCAAGATCAAGTGTCGTATTTGCAGCGGCGACCATTGGACCACCAAGTGTCCCTTCAAGGACACCATGGCGCCCGAGGGCGAGGCCGGTGCCGGCGTTGGCGACCTCGATGAGCCTGAGGCTGCTGGTGCCCTGGGCGGTGGTGGCAGCAGCTACGTGCCGCCGCATCTGCGCAACCGCGCCGGTGGGGCGGTGGGCGAGAAGATGGGCGGCAAGTACGAGCGCGACGATCTCGCCACCCTGCGTGTCACCAACGTGCGTATCCCCGTCCAAGATAACATCTACTCATTCTTGTTGTGCGGTGCTGACTTTCGTGCCTCTCCAGGTCAGCGAATTCACCGAGGAGCAGGACCTGCGCGACATCTTCTCCCGCTTCGGCCACGTCACCAGAGTCTTCCTGGCCAAGGACCGCGAGACGGGCCGCGCCAAGGGCTTTGCCTTTGTCAGTTTCGCCGACAGGGACGACGCCAAGACGGCATGCGAGAAGGTGGATGGATGTAAGTGCAAACGAGGATGCCGTTGCTCCCTTTGCAGAGCTCAAGCTAACAAATATCTCCTTCCGCACAGACGGTCTCGGCCACCTTATCCTGCGCGTCGAGTTTGCGAAGAAGTCTACTTAGCTTGCGGTTACCCCGAGAATGTGCATCATGTATGGCGTTGGCTCTTTCATCTGCTCTCAGATGGTTATGTCTTTCTTCTTTTGGGAGATGACTGGTCCACTTTAGATTTGCTGTTGCGTGCACCCAAAAATCAACGACCTCGTAGCTTCAGCGTCCTGCCCAAGTCGTTCCATTTCTGCGCACGAGTCCAGCTTCCTCGGCTCAGCGAAATCACGCCGCCGTTTTGTCCAGTGCTGTTGAAATTGGCAGTCTTCAGCGCAAATTTACAGTGCGGCAGTACCTTATAGATTCACATTCAGTCTGAGAAAGAGAACAGGCACGCTGTTCATTTTCCGGCGACATACATATCAACCAGGTCATGCCTGCCCGTGTCCGCAAGCCAGGCTCCCACACAATACCGCAAAACCCGCACCCCACAAACCCCAAAGCCCCCAGAAGAGCAGCAAAACAGACAGGCAGCCTCCAGCAGAAAGCACCACGCAAGGACACCCAAACACCCTCCCCCCAACCCTCTAACCCTCACCCCCAGGCCCGCAACCAACCCAACTCCACACCAGAACATCGTGCACACAGCGTACGCACACCAAGACGCTCACGCGCGTCTTTACCTCCCGCTAACTAGCTAACCTCATCCGCGAGCCCTTTGTCGACTTCTGCCTCATCTTGGTCGCTCGCTGTGCGCCGGAGAAGCCCCTGGAAAGCGCTTCTTGAGATCCCCCACGTGCAAGGGGCTGATTGAGTGGATATTGCTAGTGTGTGCTGGTGAGAGCCGAGGACTGTTTTGCTTTGGATTTGGTAAGGTGGACTGCGTGCATCGATTGCTGTGGATGCTGATAAGCGTTGTTTCGACGTTATGATACTGTTTACTGGCGTGTGCTGGTGTGCGTGCGAATTAATTGGTTTCTTGCGAACGATATCGTTTCTGTGTTCAGTGTGACTAGTCTAGACGCGGAGAGTACATACACACAGAGAGAGAAGAAGTAACCGGAAGAGAGAACAAAGTCACAATATCATCTATCTATCTAATGATCATGGTATGGTACTCCGTATGGTGGTGACAACCACACGCCTTAGTCAGCGCGCCCAACCCAAAAAAAGCGGACCAACAAGCGCCTTGGCGCCGATGATGTGTGAGAGGCAGGCGCACGCACTAGCCAGCACCAACACCCAGTCCTGGTCCTCCGACGACGAACGACGACCTACGACGACGCACGCCCACGCCAACGACACCTCGATCCTCAACCTCCGCTCCCCGCAACCTCCGTCGCCCGCCTTTATCTCGCCCATCTAGCAATGAGTCTTACCTACGGCGCTGGCGGCGCCACCGCCGCCCTCACCGTCATCGGCCTGTGTACGTATGCGAGCCAGCCTGCCTGCCGGCCTGCCCCACCGCTGCCGCTGCTGCTGCTGCTGCTGCAAGAGAGAGAGAGAGAGAGAGAGAGAGAGAAAGAAAGAGGGCTTTTGCGCTGACGCTTGTGTGCCTGGGACGCAGATATGCTGTTTAATGGCGAAGGCGAGGCTTTCAATGTACGAGCACCCCACGCAACCAACAACCAACCAACAACCCTACCACGCAGTCTTCTTCCCCAACAACAGCAACAACTACGACAACTGCTACGGCGATAATTGCCCCAAAGATGCGAACTCGCGCTGACTTTCTGCTTCCCCGCTGCGTGCTTAGGTCGGCCAATTCCTCGAGAGCATCTCCCCGTACATGTGGGCGGATATGGGCATTGGGCTGTGCATCGGCCTGTCCGTCGTCGGTGCCGCATGGTAAAGAACCACCCACCCACAAAGCAACAGCACAATCACCAATCACCACCACAAAAAAGCACCCAGTGCAAGGACACATGCATACACATCAATCAGGGCATTAAGGCTAACGGGCTCGCTCTCACGCTTTGTTTTTTGCAGGGGCATCTTCATCACCGGCAGTTCCATCCTCGGCGGTGGCGTCAAGGCCCCGCGCATCCGCACAAAGAACCTCATCTCCATCATCTTCTGCGAGGTCGTCGCCATCTACGGCGTCATCATGTCCATTGTCTTCTCCTCCAAGATCCAGTCCGTCTCCGGCGACGCCCTCTACTCGGCCAGCAACTACTACACCGGCTACGCCCTTTTCTGGGGCGGCATCACCGTCGGCATGTGCAACCTGGTCTGCGGTGTCTCGGTTGGCATCAACGGCAGCAGTGCCGCCCTCGCCGATGCCGCTGACCCTAGCCTGTAAGTGCGCTCTCATGCTTCGTGTGCGCGCAATGCCTGACATATGTCGCGATAGCTTCGTCAAGATCCTCGTCATCGAAATCTTCAGCTCCGTCCTCGGCCTCTTCGGTCTCATCATCGGTCTGCTCGTCTCCGGAAAGGCTGGTGACTTTGAGTGAAGAAGCAAGCATGCTGTATCGCCGCTTCGGACGACGATCCACCACTGGGTGGCCAAGAGTGCAGTGCGCTGTTCTGTAAAATAGATCGGGCTCGTGCAGCCCAGGGAGGAGTTCCAGCACTCGGGGCCAGGTGGGAACTTGTAAGGGAACGTTTTGAGCACGCATTAGCGATTTTTGTAGCATTAACTGCCGCCCAAGTGGCACAACGACTAAATAACTCTTTATACCGTCAGGACAGTTGGGCGCAACGCTGGGCAAGCTCAACGCACGCTAGCAACAATGCGTGGAGGGAGGAATTTTAAACTGTTTTAATCGGCGCAGCCGCGGGCGCATCCAACAACGACTTGCGGTAGTTCCAGTAGTTCTGGCGGATGGGGTCGTAACGCGTGGCCAGGAGGTCGAGGGCCGTTGCGGCGTCGTCGCGGCCGCCCTCGGCGGCGTAGATGTCGGCGAGCAGGTCGAGGGCGTGGCTCGAGCGGACGTCGTCGGGCTTGTGAGGGTCGGCAAACATGGCCGCGAAGTCTTTGAGCGTGTCCGGCGGCAGTTGGGCGTGGCGGACCAGCCCGCGGAGGTAATTCCACGGGCTTTGGTTCTGGGGAGCGCGGTGGACGGCGGCTTTGGCGTAGCTGTTTGGGGGATGGGCGTTAGCATCTTGTCAGTCTCTTAAAATTCATTGGAAGCACACGCACTCGAACTCGCGATCGAGGATCTTCTTGTTGGAGAAGTTGGTGGCGTCGTTGCCGAAGACGATGAACCAGCGGTGGTTCCAGGCGGAGTTGTTGCGCACGTCGTCGGCGAGCAGCTTCTCGATGGCCTCGAGCTCGCCCTGCTCCCAGAGGCCGAAGCGGCGCACCAGCCACTGGCGGTAGCTCCAGACGTGGTAGTTCTTTGCGTCCTTGACGAGCATGCGCGCGATGAAGTCCTGCTCGCCCTCGGCCGAGCCCAGCTTGTTGACGATTGTCTGCCGGTGGTGCCAGATCTGGTAGTTTTTGAGATTCTGCAGCGCCGTCTCATTCAGCCAGTCAACCTCGGCGCGCAGGTCTTTGTTCAGCGAGAGGATGTTCTTGGCGCGGTAGAGCCTGCGGGGGGTTAGTTAGCATGCCTGCGGAGCATTGCGGAGCGCAGCGGCGGGAAGCAGCCGCCCGCGTCGGAGGAGACGTACCAGACGGTGTAGTGCGCGGGATTGGAGTCGATAATGGCGTCGGTGAGGTCGATGGCGCGGTCGCTCATCTCGTTCTTGGCCATGATGGCGCGCAGGTAGGACATGGCCTCGTCATACTCGTCCGAGTAGGCAATGGCAGCGAGGGCGTTAGGACCGCCCTCGTTGAGCGGGATAGGCTCGACGTCCTTCCACTCCTCGGCTTCGGCAAAGTATCCCATGATTGTAGCGGAAAGCGTGGGTTGGCGGACAGAGTGTGGGGAGAGATGTGATGATGGCGAGTGGCTAAAGAGGTTGTGCGCGTGCCTTTGTCAGGAGGCCACGGGGCTGCTTGCGGCTGGGCAGGCGTATGTAGGCGACAATAGCAGACCGAGCGGCGACGCTTGCGGACAAGCGGGCGGCAGCAGGAGGCTCAGCGAGCGACAGTCGATGTCCAGGTAGGTGGGCGATGCGCCGGTGCGAGCGGCGGTTCAGAATGCGCGTGGGGCAAGCGAACAACAGGCGCGGGTAGATATGGGTCCTTGGCTCGGCTTGAGTTCGTGTATCCCGGGTCAAACTGGGCTGTTGTTGCGCGGTTGTGGCGGGTCCAGTGTGAGTTGTGGTTGTTGACGCAGTGCAGCTTGAGGTGCCGGGATCACTTGGATGTGGGGCACAACTCCGAAGAAATGGAAGCGAAATGTGTATGGTTAACTAGGTATTGAGACTGGAATAGACCAAGGAATAAAGGCATTCACACCTAAGTCAGGTTTGCCTCGCTGGCCCCCATGGTGTGTATAAATTGTTGGCGATTAATATTCTGTCCCGCTGTCTGCTTGTCCACCATACAGCCATGAGGTCATCTAGAATTATTAGAGCTGAAAGTTGCTTGAGCACTAACGGCAACGCGACCCATTCATGCTCAACACAGTCACGAATCAATGGCAATCTCGCTAAATTTGTTGCATTCAGATGCAAAACTATCTAGGAAGCTTTTTATGGACTTTTTATGTCGTTGCAAGGTGCAAGTATTAGCAGGGATTCGTATGCCGGTTATGGCACGCTTCCACCTCCGGTATCATCACAGAGCTGCAGTTTCCCTGGGAATGGATGAAACAGAACGCTATATCAATCTGCCGTTGCACCTAGACCAAGACAAAACGGTCGCGCTAGGGACCGTCTGGATTCAGATTGTTTCGAGGACAATCACTGCATGGAGGATTGACGCTCAGTGGTCTCGACAGCGGTCTTGCTGCTGCTGTCGTCTTGCCGAAGCGTGCTAGTCCTTACACCGACGCGTCCGGTGGTGTCGCTACTGCGTTGTGAGTTGGAATTTCCACCGCGGTTGTCAGCATTATCCGGGTCGACCGTAAGCCAGTGGATAACGCAGGCCTCCCAGGTCACTAAAATTTGTTAGATTGATAGGTAACCATGCTGTGTCGGACTATTGCTTACCGTCGCAAATGCAGAGAATGAAGCAGTACCAGCCTTGACCATGACCGGCTACAATGAGAGAGACTGTCAAGTTTCCCACTGTTGGGAGCATCACGAGGATAGCGCCGATAATAGTCTTCCAGAGCAGTTTCTTCAGTGTGCCAATCACGCGCTGTTTGTTTGGATCAACAAAGGTTTGGCGACTGGTTGTCATTTCAATATCCACGTTTTCGTTCCGTGCGTATGGCCTTGGGAAGATTGGTTCTGCAGAGGAAAGGCCCTTTTGATGGAATCTCAGAAGAGGCCAAAGCAGGCAAATGAACAGACCGGTGAAGCCGACGTTGATGGCCACGTCATAGGCGAGGAATGGTGCAGCGATCTTCTGAGGGACGCCGATGTAGCAGATTCCGTCTTGCTTGGACATCTCGGACATTGGAGACATGAGCCCACAGGCCGCCAAAGCACCGAAACCGAGCAGGACGATTGCCATGGACACAATCCAGTACTTGTCCTGGAAGCGACGCTTGTAGGAAGCTCGAATAGCATGGGTACGCTCAACCTGGTCGAAAGTTAGCCAAAGACAAGGCGGCTCCGGCCAAGACAGCGAGTTGACTTACCAGGAACAGGTACAAAAGTGTCTTGCTTCCAAGGTAGAATGCCAGGCATGTGACGGCAGCCGTGAAACAGAGCTTATGCGACATCATACCGAAGCCGCACTGAATGATGGCGCTAGTAGCGACGTAGCACATGCCAAAGGCATAGAGGCCGGCGACAATGCAGCGCATCGGATTCAACTTCGAGAGTCTCTTGGTGCAGACATGTTTCACCCGGGATCCTGATCTCCAGTAAGTTAGAAGTTTCTCAAAAGTGTGGGTTGTCACTCTGTCATACCGAACAGTAAGGCGAGAATGGCCATGCAAACCATCGAGAAAGAAGTGAAGAGAATGTGAGGCGTGTGGACATCTGGGTTGCCATCCACGGCATTGCCATGCCTCGCGAGAAGTTGCGCGTCCATGCTGAGCGAAAGAGCGTGGCGCGAGCAACAACTAGCAAGCAGAACCAGATCGTGGTGCAGGAAGGTGGAGAAGGAAAGGCGAAGAGAAAGGTTGAGACATTTTGTGCGTGACTTTCTGTCGCCTGTGGGTGAGTGAAGCCCTTCACAGATACAGAAGGAACGCTGTGGTAGGTGACTTGACACAGCCACCTTAAACTGTGAATGGCAAAGGTGACGTCGGCCTCGAAGGTGTCGGGAGCGCACAGACAGTGTTGAGGCAAGCGTGATAGGTAACTTTCCCTGTATGTCATGTAGTTCGTTGAGATTTCTACGGATTGACACGAACCTGGCGTTTATCCATGCTTCTTCCTGCCTTCCGTCCCCTCTACTGTGATAGCGCTTTCTTGGCTGAGGGCTATACACCATAAATGAACGTTTTTGCGAGTGGTGATTTTGCGAGTGGTGATTGAAACGCGCTGCACAGAATCCATACAAGTACATACTCTAGGGGTATCGGTAGCTTCTGAGCCAAGAAACGACGTCGCGGACCAACGAGTGATAGACCTAGGTAGGTAAATCACTCGATACAGGACCAGGCATTGGCCAATTCGGCACTCCCCCGCTCATAGCTCCTAGCTCACGCTTTGGGTTTCTGTCCATACACCATGTATAGCTGGTAGTACGAGTGGATCTTGGAATCCCATACCGATTTACGCACCCCGGTCAGGAAGACCTCAACCTCATCTCGTGTCCACCCCATACCTCGGCAAAGCGGTCCGTAACCACCTTGTTGCAGGCCGTCCAGGACAAGTGCCTGGGTGTATGCGCCCACCGTCTTCAACAGCTTGTTTTTCGGCCATGTTCCGATTGGGATCTTCATGCACTTTGTCTCGACATTGACAAAGCCGGCAGCGCGAGCCTCGTCTGCAAGTTTTTCTGCGCGGTGAAGGTCAAGCCCGAGGTTTTCTAGGCCTTCGCCGATGGCCTTAATGAACTTTTTCAGTCCCCAGTCCTCGGGGATGGAGCCGTCGTCAGACCGCACGATGTAGTCGAGCTCTTGAAACTCAATCCAGCCACCGGGGCTCAAACATCTGTTGCTCATCAATGTCTTTGTTCACCCGTCGGTAAATTACTTTTCAACTAACCTCATAGCTTGATCCATGAGCTTGGGGTAATCTTTAATGGCATATGTCATGTTTCGGGCATGAACAAGGTCGAAGTGGTTCGATGGATGCAGCCATTGATCCTCAGCGTCATCAACGACGAAGCGGACTAAACTCTACGTGAGCTGCTGTTCATGACATCCTTAGGACACGCTCACTCACCATTTGGAGGCACCCAGTGCGGCTGGATTGGGCTCAGATCTACTCCCAAAACGTCCGCGCTGGGATAGGTATCACCCATTTCCACAGCCCAAATCCCTGTGCCTGTGCCGATGTCGATTACCCTGTTCGGATTCGGCCCAATTGGAGCATAATGCAACTTGTCACCGCAAGCCGCCAGGAACATGGCATGCTTCATGTCCTCACGCTCCTGCTCCAAATCATCGTTAGGGAAGTTGTAGCGACCCTCTCGGAATTTGTGGTAGCGGCGGCCGTTCTCGAAGGCATAGTCCCGCACGCTCGACGATATCGAGGTCGAGCCACCAGTCGATGCGAGGGAGCTGTACGTCGACTCGTTGTCACTGAGGTTGGGGTCGGCTTCGATGAAGCTGCCGGACTGGGCGGCGGCTTCGCTGGCATCTTGCGCTGTTTCCGGTTGGGCCATTGTTGCGGTTCGCGTTGCAGACTCGGGTGGTGCCAAACGTGACCAGCTTTTCCTTTTTGCAGAGCGGCCTTCTCCTTATACCATCCATCGGCTGCCCAACAGCCGCAATCCCGGAAGCCGATCACATATCTTGGAAGTGGGGATACTCGGATGATGGCCTCGTTCTCGGGCGGGTTTCAACGACGAGGAGGACAGTCCACAACGCCCTTTTCGTCCGACAGAATTGTGGGGCTGGAGTCACACAGCGTCTGCCGAGCTCGTGGCGAGAGGTCCAAAACAACTACTCCATCGGGTTAAAGGTTCATTTTGAGACGAGGCCGGCTTGAGCGATTGACATTTCCGGACGTAGCGGTGTTGATCGGAAGGAGGAACGTGCTGGTGTATCATGTCAATTTTACAGAAGGCATGACAAGATGTTGGGCGGTCAAAGGTGTCCAGCAAACGCCGAGGTTGAGGGCAGATCGTCTGCACGGAGTGCCCGTGCTGGTCTGAGAGGCCCGTCCCGCGGGCCGCGCCTCCCCGCCCCCAAAGACGACGGCGCCGCCCTCTCAAACTTCACCGCATCCGAAGGTAGTTAACTATATCCGATGATGAGGAACAAAAGGTTACTTTTTCAAGATAGCCTGCATCCACCTCCAATGGCTTTGTTGCCGCAAGCCGCGAACACGCGGCGTCCAGTCAGCGCATGAACCAACGTCCTGGAATTACAACAGCTCTACAGGCTCCCTAGCCTCCCGATGCATCACTGTCCCAGTGAAATCATATCTATGGTTTCTGACCAGCGGCCGATCGACTTCCTTGAATCCACATGACCGATACAATGGTTCACCGATGGACGAGGCGATCAGAAATACCGGAACGAAAAGACGATCGGCAAGTTTGCAGCCCCAGTTCACCAGCATGCGACCAGCGCCGCGCTTCTGGTAATCCGGATCGGTGAAGAGCCTGTTCAGAACTAGGCCAGGTCGTCAGGCTCGGCCGACATATGACGTGTTGTCGGGTTATGTACTTACGAATATGAGGCTGGCCTTGTAGACGCTCAGCACGTTGCTTGATGTGTTGACGGGTAATGTCTTCCGCGGCATCCCTAATTTCCCCCTTGGGGAGCCAGTCCATGTTTACTTGTGGCGGGATCAACGGTACCCAGTTGGAATAAACCATGTAGTGTGCTACGCTGACAATGCGATTTGTGTCGCTGTCTAGGACTTTGAACCACATGTGCGCAGAGCTGCGATCCATTTCTTGCAACCATCGTTGTACGGCTTTTCGGCGGCCTTCTTCAGTATCAAGCCCGATCAATACTTCGCATAATGGACCAGTTATGGTTTTGTAATGCAGGTCGACGATTTCAGGAATGTCCGCCCGGGTAGCGCGGGTGAGAACGAGATGCATCGCTGGCTCGAAAGAGAGTATACCAAGGAGCACGGGGTGATGGCAGATTGTCAAGATTTGAGAGAATGGGGTTCGGCAACTTATCTGACAGGCGACTGCAGCAATCCAGCCGGCAATATGCGGATGTGTCTGACCTGCATATCACAGCCTGAGTAGAGATGGCTGGATCGGAAGTACGAGCAAGGTACGCATGCATTTCCGTTTTAGTGGCAGATTGTTCAAGTACGGGACCCAGCTCTGTCTCAGAAAAGAACAGCTTCAATGTTTCCAAATATTCTGATTCTTCTACATTGACACTCTTAATGACACGCGACTGCTTAACTGTCAGACATTGTTATCCAAAGTCACTGAGAAAATGTCCGATCAATTTCCGGGTAAAAGCGTGAGCTAAGACAGCGGGTGAGCTAAGGCGGCGGGGTCATCCCGCCCAACCCCGCCCGTGGATGCAATACCATCGACAATAAGCTTACAACTTGTTCTTTTTTGGATATGTTTGTCAGAAAAGGTGCTGGATACGTTTGTCTCAGTGGGCTGCCATGCGCCCCAATTCGATGTGGAGCACAATGAGCCGGGCACTCGGGCTAAGTACGTTTGGATTCTTGACTTCGACCCGCTGCCAAATGTGAGCTGGGTTCTCGTAAGACGGCGACTAACTAAAGGTAATTTGCGTAAGCTCGTTGCCGTTTTGCAGGGTAAGCGCTTGAGCGCTCTCAAACTACCCGGAGTCATTGCTGCAAGAGCGAACCAACGAGATTACTTTGCTCGAAGTCATGATAGCGCATCGAGCATGCATATTGCAGCTAGTCGCATTTTCACCAAAACCGGCATGTGGCAACAGCCACAGCGGCAGGATCTCGAAAGCTCCGTCGACGCATCGTCCAATCAGCGTATGATCTGCAAGATAAGCTATCCAGACACTGACGATTGGGGAAAGCGTAGATGCGGTTGGAGAGCTGACATGCAGGACATACGCGCTGTGTAACGGAAGCAATGGTGCAGTCTCGACACGAGGACCGAGTCCAGACGGGGCTTTGTGGCACTTCAGTTATTAGCTCTGCGTTTTTCTTGACTTCCCCTCAACCTCAGTATAAAAGATATCCTTCTCCTTCGGTAACGTCTTCGAGTTTGAATAAGCTAGGCATTTGCACTATGGACGAAGACAAAGGCGCACATGTGCTGACGGCGCAAGAGGTCAGCGTTGCGCAGACACAAACTGAGCACGATGCGCATGATATGGCCCGCCTGGGCAAGAAGCAGGTGTTCAAGGTGAGTAGGGTCAAGACTTTTTTTGCGAAATGTTCTTTACGGTTGTTTTCTGCAAGCGCACACTGCTAGAATGGAGTCAAGCATTTCTCTGAACAGCTGGACAGTCGGACCAACTGACAACGACTAGCGCAACTTTCACGACTTATCAATCATCGGATTGACGGTTATGATGATGGTACCGAAGCTCTACATGGTCGCAAGATTTAGCTAAACGGAACAGGGAACATGGGAGGCGATTGCCAGCACAATCACCTTCTCTCTCACCAATGGCGGCCTCGCCGGCTCTGTCTGGATCTACATTGGCTCGCTGCTCTGCACCATTGTCGTCGTAGTCACCATGGCTGAAATGGCAAGCATGGCTCCAACAACCGGTGGACAATACCACTGGGTATCGGAGTTTGGGCCACCGCAGTACCAAAAGTTCCTCAGCTACATGGTCGGTGAGAAACACATGCATTCCATATCTAAGCAATGCCAATCGTCTGAATGACAAAAAGGCTGGTTCTCGGCCCTCGCATGGCAGGCTGGCGTCGCGGTGACGGCCTACTCCTCCTCGGGCATCTTGCAGAGCGCCATCGCGATCAACCACCCCAGCTACGACGCGCAGCCCTACCACGGCACGCTGATGATGATTGCGGTCGCGGCGGTGGCGGCCCTCGTCAACGTCTTCGGCATCGAGTGGCTGCCGCGCCTCGAGGTGGCTATCCTCGCGCTGCACGTCGTCGGATTCGTCGCTTTCATCGCTACGCTCTGGGGCACAGCCGGCCGCGGCCACGCCTCTGCGAAACAGGTCTTTACCGAGTTTGCGAACTTTGGCGGGTGGGAGACTGTGGGCGGCGCTGTCATTGTCGGACAGATCACCGCGACGGGCTCGCTGTTCGGTGCGTGACACTGACGGGCTGTGGCCATGTCGTCTCCTCCTCCTCCCCATCAGGCTAACATGGCGCTCCCTGCCAGGTTACGACGCAGCAGCGCACATGTCGGAAGAAGTGCGCGACGCCTCGCTGACAGTCCCCCGCGCCATGCTGACCACGATCCTGGTCAACGGCCTCCTCGGCCTCATCACAATCATCACGCTCTGCTTCCGCATCACGAACCTCGGCGCGCTCCTCGCGCCCGCCCACCCCTTCCCCTTCATCCCGCTCCTGCTCGAGGCAACGGGCAGCACCGCCGCCGCCACCACCCTCGCCTGCACCGTCGCCGCCCTCACAGTCGGGACGTGCGTCTCGGCCCTCGCGGCGGGCAGCAGGCAGCTCTTCGCGTTTGCGCGCGACGACGGCCTCCCCGCCGCCTGGCTGTGGCGCAAAGTCGTCCCGCTGCGCCGCCATGGCGCCCCGGTCCCGCTGCCCGCTGTCCTGGCCTCGCTGGCCATCACGGTCCTTCTGTCCCTCCTGCCCCTGTTCAGCGCTGCAGCCCTCAGCAGCATCTTCGGCTTGCTGTCCTGTGCCGGCGGCGCGAGCTACTCCGCCGCGCTCGCGTGCTTGCTGTGGCGCCGGCTTGCGGTTTTGCGCCACCAGCATCGTGCGGGTGGAAATGCAGGTCATGGTGCCCACGCTGCTGACGCGACGGCCCCGTTGCCGCCCGCCCGCTTCCGCCTTCCCCCCGTGCTTGGCGCCTGGTGCAATGCGTTTGCCCTGGCGTACATGGCCTTCGCGACCATCGTGTGCTTTTTCCCTGCGCAGCGCGGGGCGGGCGCCCGCGGCATGAATTGGAGCGTTGTTGTGTTTGGGGGTGTGGTTGTGGGGTGCGTGGCCGCGTATTGGTGTGGTGGGAGGAGAGCGTATCGTGGGCCTGTCGTTTGTGTTGTGCGTGCGGGGGAGGGGCGTGACTTGCGTCAGTGATGGATGGTTGGTGTGCTGGGTAGGTAGGTAGGTATAGTCACTTTGATGACAAGCACAACTACGAAACAGCATGGTGCATTGTTTCTACCTACGTTCGTGCAGAGGGGGCCGTCCGTCTACCCCGGCACAAGAAGAAGCAGACAGCCAACATATCCAACTGATCAAGACCTTCAGGCCTCAGACAACTTGAGCACTGTCATCAGGAGGGCATGCTGACGAGCGCCCCGCCACCCCTCCCTCACGAGAGGCGGCGCCGCTTGCTGGCGCTCGCCAGCATGCTCTCCTCCTCCTCCCCCCCCTCCTCCTCCCCGAACAGGGCCCGCTGCTCCTCGGCCAGCGCCAGGGCCTCGGCCTCGGCAAGTGCCAGGGCATCGGCCTCAGCGAGCGCTTCGGCCGAGGCGTTGAACTGGCGCTGGCCGCCTCCGAGGACAGCTCTACCGCCCAGAATACCACCACCACCACCGCCCAGAAGGCCGCCACCGGCCAGGAAGCCGCCGTCTCCGCCGTCATCGCCATCCGCTCCTCCGCCATTGAGCAGCTTGTCCTTCTGGGCCTGGCGGCCCGCCTCGAGCGTGACCTGCTTGCGGCCATTAGCGCGGCGGTTCGTCGTCTTGCGGCGCTGGTGGCGGATAGGGGCGCAGACGAGGCTGGCCATGCCCGTGTTATCCATGATTTGCTGGGCGGCCGTCTTCCAGCGCTTGGCCAGCTCGCACAGCTCGTCCCAGCGCTCCGCGAAGCCGAGGACCCGGTCCTGGTCGTTGTCGCCCGCCGTTGCGTCTGGGCCGTCCCAGACGTGGCAGCCGTGCACGTGCAGCGAGATCGCCATTTCCTGCTGTATCAGTGACGCGTGTTGGTTTGGTTTGTGGAGTGAGAGAGAGAGAGGGATTAGGGAAGGCGGACTTACCAAGGTCTGCCACGAGCGCGCCTCGATCTGCTGCATGGTGTACTGCGACTCGCTGCGCATGATGCGCGGCATCGTGTTGCTGGAGGTGTTGGTGTTGTCGTAGATGTCCTCCATGTTGATGAGCGAGTTGACGAGCTCGAGCACGCGGTCCTTCTTCTGCGCCAGCGTCGTCGGGATCGTGAGGTCCGGCTCGCCGTGCTTGGGCCGCCAGCGCGGCACGTTCGTGAAGGCGATCGCGTCGGCCGCGTTGGCAAACGTCGTCGCCGTCAGCTTCTCGTACACCGCCGGCATGTACTCCTTGTACACTGGCTTCTTGCGCTTCGCGGAGGCCTTCCTCTTGCGACCCCTGCCCGGCAGCTGCGCGCTGGGTCCGGCGTTCATCCTCGCCTGGTTGAGATTGAGGTTGTCGCTCAGGTTGGGGGCGTTGCGACGGCCGCCGAAGATGTTGCCAAACGTGTTGGCGTTGTAGTTGAAGCCGTTAGCGAGGTCGTTGCCGTTGTTGTTACCGAAGTTATTGCCGTTACCGATGTCGTTACCGTCACCGAAGTCGTTGTCGTTGCCGACGTCGTTGCCGTCACCGAAGTCATTGTCGTTGCCGACGTCGTTGCCGTTGCCGAAGTCGTTAACGTTACCAAAGTCAAAGTTGTCTCCAGCAAAGTCAAGGGTGTCGTCAAAGCTAAAGTCGAAGTTCGGGTCGATGTTGGGATCGACGTTGTCGTCCCCATTGGACTGAGGCATGTTGCTGGTCGCGTTCATGGCCGGATTAGCGACAGCAGTGGTAGTGTCAACGGCGAAGGTGGGAGAGTTAGCGACAGCGTTGACGGCGTTAGAAGCCGAAGTAGAAGCAGAAGTAGAAGCAGAAGCAGAAGCAGCATTGATATTGTCAGAGGCAGTGGCAGCATTGCGAGTGTTAGAGGCAGAGGCCGCGTTGACAGTGTCGGAGACAGCGGCTTGAGCGTTGGCGAGCTCGAGCAGCTCACCGCCGAGCGGGGCGACGGTGTTGCGAGCATTGCCGCTTCCACCGCTGCTCTGGTGCTGGCGCTTAGCGGGGTTGGTCTTCTTTCGAGCCATCGGAGCGGTGGTGAGCCTGTCCGCATGAGAAAGGTTGGCCTGCGTCAGAAGAGCGTGGGCTTGAGTGCGCGCATCAAGCACGGGGAGAGCTGGCTCCGGGAGCGTCAATTCGCCTAGCTGCTGCTGCCGGTTGTTCGCCGTCGGGCTCAGAGGGAAAGGGAACGGCGGAGAGTAGGAGTCGATTAAGCCGTGGAAGGACCCCGGGGAGACCGGATCAACCATCTCGGGGCTATCGGGGGCTAGCGCTCCCGAACTGGCAGGGGTTCCAGGAGTGCCAGGAGCGTCAGGAGCGTCGGCAGCGGGCTCCGCAGAACTGACGGCAGCGGGCACTGAAGGACTGACGGGAGCAGCCTGCGTAGGACACTGAGTGATGCAAGCTGCGGAATCAGGTGCAGCGTCATTGACAGGGCTGGGCGGGCTGCGTAGAACCGGAGGCTGCTGCTGGACTCGTTGCGGCTCGGGAGCAACGTACGTCTGGCCGGCGCTGCGCTGAAGGAGAGGGCTTGGCTGACGCAACGGCGTCGGCAAGCGGGATGGGGGCGGATGGCCTGTTGACGGGATTGTCAGCTTTGAAAGAGCTTGGGAAGAACATTGTCATGCACATACCAAGCGACTTGGTGCTGTAGGGCTTAGGGAAGGACTTCCGAGAGCACTTACGCTTATGACCGTATCCAGACTGGTTGGAATTCTTGGGCTTTTGGGAATATCCCGCCTGCTGTTGATGTCCAAACTGCTGAGCATGCCCAGGCTGCTGATGTCCCGGCTGCTGATGGTGACCAGGCTGTTGCTGGTTGCCAGGCTGCTGACGGTTGTCAGGCTGCTGAGAGGGCCCAAGTCGTTGATGCTGTCTAGGCTGGAGAGGTCCAGGCTGAGAGTGTCCAGACAGGTTGGATCCAGACTGAAGGAGTCCCTGCTGCATGAGTGCCTGCTGCAAGAATGCCTGCTTCATGAGTGCCTGCTGGTTGAGTGCCTGCTGGTTGAATGCCTGCTGGTTGAATGCTTGCTGGTTGAACCCAGGCTGGTTAAATGGGAAGCCGGGCAGACCGTATCCAGACAGACCGAGTCCAGGCTGTAGGTTGATTCCATTCTGCTGGAAAGGTCCGAGAAGCTGCGGATACTGGTTGTTCTGGAGGAGTCCGAGCTGCTGCGGGTATCCAGTGTTCTCCGGAAATCCTTGAAACTGCGGATTTCCGGGCTGCTGCGTGGATCCCTGTTGCTGCGGAGGCTTCTGGTAGCCAGTCGTGCCCCATTGGCTGGGCGTGGTAGGGTTCGGTTGGAGGTAGGGGTTTTGCTCAGCTGGGAAGGCGCTTTGAGACTGATTGGACGGCGTCATCAGGTCTTGATCATTCCATGTCAGTAGTATCGTCTGCGACGTGGTTAGTCCACAGGTGATGCGGCCTCAAAGGGTGCGACAGGTGCGACGGGGACTACGAACCAAGGTATTGAGACATGTCGGCAATGCCCTGAGGCATGAGGTTGTTGTACTGCATGTTGTACATCTTGAGAGACAGTGACGCGTTCTTGGAGTGCGACGCGCGGGAATGTCAGTTGGAAGGAAGGTTTCGGCGCGCGTGTGGGTGAGTGGCGAGGGAGTGGGAGCGGAGCGGAGCGGGACGGCGATTTATGGGTGGTGCGCAACAAACAGGCTAACCGTTTTGGGAGGTGAGTAACAGATGGGAGCGTGCCGGCTGTTATTTGCGCTCCGACGCTCCTCAATTGGCTCGCAGATTGCCTTCTTACCTTGCTTCGCTTATCCTACGCCGAAGAACTCCCTCCCTGTTAACATAAAACTTCAGTGTTAACAAATTAACATGCAGTCTTCGTCCCATTAAGTTTCCAGGGGGCTTCCGGTCCTACGAACCTGAGCTGCCAAACACCCTTGACTTGGTGCGCTTCTTACCACGGACAAGCTTTGTAAATGCAGTTATGTCTAGGACTGAAAGATCAGACAGGATCGTGTATCTTTCGTGTTCGCCATGGGGCTCTGAAGCCCCCTATTGGATGCGATGTTTCCAATTCTTACCAGAAGGCGAATGATATGAAGATTAGCGCAGTGTACTAAATGCGAGCCGGCCATGATTGATTCGAACGCGTCTGCTTCCTGATAGTTCGCCTGCTCTTGGATAGAATATCCACCCACGTGGAGAAGCAGTCGCGTGGATACGTAACTTACTTTTGGGTCCACATACTTGCTACTCTCGTACCCTTGTAGAAGACCTAAGCGCAGAGCTGAATGCTAAATGTAACTACGCAAAGAGTACCTAGTAGATGTTGTGCGGCTGGTCTGATAACCTGCTAAGAGGGGCTGAGATATTACAAGGGGTAGGTCAATCATACGGTGTTAAATCGAAATTTGGTATAAGAAATAAAACGTTTTGCACCGCTACAGCAGTATTTCTGGGGATGCGAGCAGCTCTACAGCTAGCAAGACCAGTGTGCTTTTTGGCCGACTAAATTCCATTGCACCAAAGGCTTAAAATCCCGCGACAAATTCACGACCCACAAAAGTATTGGAAATTTCCACGGAGGTATCGTAAAAAGGTCAAAGTCTTTCAGCGCCACAGGTAGGGAGAAAGACATATGATATCGGCTGAGATGTTGTCGGAAGAAGGTTGACGCACACTTGTCCTCATGCGGATGAAGAACCGACAACAACCGAAAGAACTTTGCATTTCATCCACGATCGGTGTTTGCCATCTCGCATAACTACTTGTCCAAAAGTTTGACCCACTTTCCGTCATCAACCCGCACCCAAGACCTGCACAGTCTCTAGGCAAACCCTATCCTGTCCAGGTTCCGGCACCTTAAGGCTGCGAACAGGGCTGCGGACAAGCCCTATTTTCCCGGGCCAGGAGCCTGCATACGAGGGTTTGGTTCTGTCTTTTCATACTCCAGGTCATGCAGCGAGACATACGGGCGCGGAGCTTCTGAGGGCGTTTCCTCCTGGCGATAGTAACCCCCAGCCTGGGCGAGCATGAAACGATCGACTGGGTTCGCCATCGAGTTCAAGAGGATCTCGCGACCGGAAGCCTGCCGTTCTTCTGGATAGATGGGAATGTTCTCGGCGTATCCAGCAGTAGGAACCCTTCTGGCTGGAAATTGCACGCGGTGCAGGCCGTTGGCGTAGATGGGGGTTCCCGATCCGGGTCTCTGGTACATGCCCTGCTGAGTAAGGAACTGGGTGTATGGATCGGGGCGTACACGTTGAGGGTAGAGTAACACATTCGGCCGGTATGTGCTCGGCTGGTACCTAAGGTACTGGTTGCCGATGGTTCTCCTGCTGATGTGCCCGCTTGGCTTTGCAAATGGCTCCCCGAGAGACAGGTTGTACTCGTCGAAGGTCCACTTACGAGTGGTGCTAGAGTCGGGGCTAGGGGACTGGGCTGCAACCAAGTCACGCTGCTCAGTAGCCCGGATAGTTCTTTCCCTGGTCTTTCTCTTGTTCTGGTTAACTACAGCGGCCTTCCATGGATAGAGAGCGATTGGGGACAAACCTCGACAGAAGCCAAAGGACCATACACTAGCTCCTGGATCTTTGGAATGCCAATCTCGACGGCATCGTAGCAGACGGCTTTCTCTTTCTGCGTTCTATGTCAGATCCGCTCTTCAAAAGCTTTATGGTGTCTGGTAAGTTTACCTTTAAGGCCTCACAAATAGCTTCAAGGCGCTGCTTAGTGTTCAAGTGACGATCTTGGGCCGCCTTGGGTCCCAGTCTGATGATTTTAGTGCGCGGGATGATGAAACCCTTCTTAGCGCCGTCAATCATGCAGTCCTACAATAATAATCAATTTACCACTCGTTGGTTGAAGCGGGAAGAATCTCTTACAAAGATGTCGTATGCGATGTCAACCAGCTTCTTCACACTGTAATAGTCGGCCGTGGTTTCGTCGTCGACAGCGAACCTCACGTATGATCTGCTGGTAGGTCTGTCTTGGACATCGTTCCTGTCCATGATCGAATCGTACATCCGTTGGACCCATTCCACACGCTTGCTTTTGACTTCCGGCAAGGTGCTGTCATCGAGCATTACCGGCTCACGGGGCAGATCGTTCCTTGTCTCGGACGTCTCCGACGCAGAAGTTGAGTCGTCTTCAGACTGGGAATCTGTCTGATTGCCGGATGAAACAACATCAGCCGTTGTTTCTTGGACGTTGCCAGTGTTGCGCGGCTCTACAGTATCATTTGCACGCTGAACATCCGTATGGATGTCAGGTGGATCAGCCGCAGCTGTCGTCTCATTATTGACAGTGCTTTGCGACTCTACAACATCAAGTGCAGGCTGGAAATTCGCATGGGCGTTAGATGGTTCATCGTTAGGCGCTGTCTCTTGCTCGACAGAGCTATCCGAATCGGAGCCTTCTAGAGCACGAAAGTGAGTTTGGTCTGTATAAATATCACGGCAGGAACGTTTTACCTTCAGGATCATCTTCAAAGTCCGAGCCAAACAACTCCATGTCTAGGTTGTTGTCTTGGTCTTCCGTGTACTGAGCGAGCTCATCTTGCTGCTCGGCGTCGTTACTGGCGCCTCCATCGGAAGCCATGGTCAGCGTGTCGCAGTAAATGCGGCTGAACGATCGGTGAGGTCTCCTCCTCCGAAAATACGGAGGCGCGCTTGGCTCGGTATGGTTGAAGGTGAACGGAGGTGTACGTTGCCAGAAGGGAGCGGAAGGTTGGTGGCGTTCCATAAACCGTTGGTGACGACCGACACTGTGACTGACCGTCGACACCCACCAAAACATGCGGTCAAAAGTCAAACATGACGTCTCCGTTAGATGCATATGAAATCTCTCAAAACTGCTCAAGATACCTTCATTTCTCCAAATATTAATTTTATAAAGGCTGCCAAAGGAGTATTCCGAGAACTGATCCAATCCCGTAGACTACGATGTATAGCCAAAACACATACACCAGCGCCATTGCGAAGATGATGGAGAAAATCAAAAAGAAATAGACAGCACCAGTCCAGAACTCCGATGAAGTCAGGATCGAGATGGCCTGAAAAATTACGTGTACGAACAGGAGGAAAGGATCTGTGAACGTTTTGATGTTAGGCATTTTGGTAAAATGGTGTTGGGTTTGTTTCGAAGCTTCCTGTTGGGTTCTCTTGTTTGCTATATGTATGATACATATAAAGAAGGAGCGTGTGGCTATTATTAAAACTAGCAACAAAGACGACGCGCGCGAACTCTTCTTTCATTGATAATAGCAGCAACGAAGCAAGCGATTTGGCTTGACCTGGTCCCCCTTTCTGATATTTTTGTTAGCAAGTCTAATAGCAGATGGCGTAAGCCCACCACGCATCAGTAATACCTGGAGCCAAGGACCCACTCTGACTATACATTCGAGCGGATGCCTTTTAACGATCGAAGTTTGTTGACTAGCGCGAACATTGTAACCAGTCTTGACACGAAGGACCTCTCCATCTGAATCTCCGCAAAGTTCAGAGAAGATGTGAATGAACAATGCGCACGCGGCACGAGACTCAAACATTTCAGTCCTTGTCATCTTTCTTAGGAACAAACAAGCTGCGCCGCAGACAAGGGACTAATCCAAGCTTTCTATTCCAAGAGCCCTAAGCACAATGAATGGAGAAAAACAAAGACCCCTACGTCCCCCTATACCAATCAGCCGCCCTCCCTCTCCGCGAAAACTTAAGTTCCACCACTTCTACCACCATCTACCGCAGCATTCGCCTTAGACTCTTACTACGTCACCATCAATTAAATCTGTACATACTCCCCAGGCAACGAGGGACAGTACGCGTCCCTCTACACTCGAAACTCTGTGCCCGACGTTCAAACACACGTGACACCCTCCCATCATCGTGCAAACCCTTGAACCTTCTGGTCCTACTGCCATTCATGCATCGAAAGTAGCTGCTGCGCGACCATGGCGCTGATCTCGGTGTTCGTGAGCTGCGGGACGGATGCCTTGACAGTGGCGTGTTGATCCGAGGGGGATGAGTGAGTGAAGCTAGAGGCGCTTGGTCTGTTGGAGTTGAAGTCGCCAAGGTTGTGGCTTGGGGCCTGAGCCTGGAACGTTATGACATTGTAGGGTGACGAAGTTGCAGGGGTAGGCATGGCGGGTTGCGCTGCTGGGTAGGGCGCGAGGCCGGATGCCTGACGAGATTGAGTATGCTGTAGGCGGTACTCAGTTGGGAAGGTATGGTAGAGTTCTGCAGTTCGAGGCTTCTTTTGCTGTTGCTGGGTAGTGCGGCCAGAAAGAATGCCGCTCCCATTGTCTTCGTCCTCCATTGCTGAGTGTGCCCGCTTGTTGCGAGCTGGAGCAAGCGGACAAGGGCTAGAATCAAGAGCCCGTGTGTCCCTAGATTGGAACAGTGGCTTGTTCCCAGAGGGTATCTCTTTTGAAGCGAAGCGATGGTTGTTCTGAAAGCGGTAATCCGTTTTCATCTGTGGCCGATATGTTAGCTTCAGGCACTGTGTACGACTGGAAAGCGACTTACCTTCCTGTAAGCCATCGGAGCATACACAAAGTCCTCGATAGAGTGCTTCTTGCCTTCGAGAACATCAACGCAAATAGTCTTCTCTTCCTAAAAAGTGTATTAGCGGAGAACACTTGCTCAGGGGAAAGGGCTCATACACGCAGGGAGACACAAATCGAAAACAACCTCTTTGTGCACTTCAGTCCCTGCTCATCCGGCAGTATGCGCTTGACCAACTCCGTCGATGAAGGGCGGCGAAATCCTTGTTGTGCGCCGTCGAGCACTAATTCAATGATCTCCCAACAAGCAGCCTGGATCTCCATAGTGTCGTACCGCTTCTTAGCTACATCCACAAAGTAGCGATGTGCTGCCGCTGTTGTGTTGTCCTGCATGTACGAGGTGTCGATGAAAGACTCAAACAGCGCTTCGAACCACTGGTACTCGTTTTTCTTGACCTCTTCAACTGTCTCGTCTGCAATGATGGCGTCGCGCTTGATCTTTTGGAGGCGGAACGCCTTAGCAGCGGCACGATCAGCAAGAACTTTGTCCTGTGGGAGATTCGTGAGGTTCCTGTAGAGCCTCGATGTGCCTGGCGTGAGGACTTGAGCTAGCTTGTGAGGTAGTGAACCCGCATCTTGGCCGATGAAGTCTAGACTAGGGTCGACGTTAAAGTTACGAATCTGGATTCCTGGTTCCGCCGTAAAGGTAGTGGATGGCGTAATTGAAGAGTTGGTCAAGGCTAGGTTTTCTGCTGGCTGGTACGAGAAATCGAGTCCATAGTCCGAGGAACTCGACTGCTTGTTGTCTCTGTTTGGAGTTGTGCCTGAATGGTTCTGAGGATGTATCCCGCTAAATACAGAGAAGCCAGGGAAAGGTTGAAGCGCTGAAGTGGCGAAGGCCTGCTGCTTCCCTTGAGATGAGCGAGGAACAGGGTAACTGCAGGGGCTCTGACAAGCCTGTTCCTGCGACAGTGATTGATGGGGAAAGAACGTTGGAGCCCAATTGATTGTGTCATGGCTTGGTCTGTGAAAGCTCGACATGGGAACGTTTCGCCGGAGCGGTTCTTGGTCCTCGACGTTGGTTGGAGGAGGCATACTGATATCGCAGGATGTACTCTTAGCTTTTTCTGAGAGTTGAAGTAAAACCGTGAGATGAGTGAAACGAGCGATGCAGTTGTGGAAAGAACCCGGTACGTAGCAGATGCGAGACTGTAGTGGACACCGAGGGAAGGAAGAAGAAGTAGGTGTAGGTACTGACGACGAACGTTGCCCTTTTGTTGTTCTCTGCCGAATTAGGCATGGTCAATTCTAAGGATTAACTACCCTGGCCAACGCCGACCGAAAAGATATCCAACCAAATAATAAGTAATTCATGACCTACAATGTATAAGAGCCTTTCAACCCTACTAGTGAATGCTTGTTCCAGATGCACCTCGAGTCTTAGATCGCTCCATCACGCTACGAACTGTCAACCATTATTTTTGAGTCTGCAGACACCTCTAATTATCACCGACATGCTGCGCCAGAGCACTAAACTATCAAGACGCAAGGCCTTCTTTCTTGTCCTCTAAAGACCGATTGACCCACTGCTCAGTCTTGACCACTTCCTCCGCTGCCAAAAATACAAAATGAAAATTGCAACGAACTAACCTGTCGGTAAACGGCAAACCCTCCACCCATGTGCTCCATTCTCCGTTCCATAGTTCTTCCATAACCATACTCCAACCCATGCCTATCAATAAGAACCATAACCGTGCCCCGCGAACCCCGCATCGCCACTGAATGCTCCCAGATCTTGGCCGTCGCCGATGCCTTCCAAGTTCATAAACTCGTCCACACTCGCCATGCCGTCGCCCATGCCGTCGTTCACAAAGGTTGCCGCATCCACGTTTTCCTGTGTGTGGGGTCTCAATAGCGCTTGTAGTTCCGCGTCGGTTGGGATATCTGCCCCGTCAAGAATACGCATATCGCTCGGCACGGCGCGACCCAAAGCATCGCGGCGTTCTGGCTTTCGCGCTCCAATAAGGCCTTGCTTGTTGTCTGTGCAATCGCCACGCGCATTCATCCAAAAGCTCACGTCTTGGGGTTGATTGGATTGAAGGATGGTGCGGAATTCTTGCTCACCCAGCACGATAGGCAGCACCGTGCCCGTCTCGTACCAACGTCCCTTGACGGCTTCAAGGCCTACCGAGTGACGCGGTTTGAGCAACTTCCACATATATACATTGGTGCGACGCGAGGCAGCAATTTGATTGCGCCATTGCATGTCTCGTACCATGCGAGCAGGCAAGTGGGACGAAGGAGGGGGAGCTGCACCTGCAGGTAGAGTAGGGGAGAGGGTATAAAGATCACCAACGATAGTCATGCTTGCACGGGACGCTTGCCCGTTATAACCTTGCTGAACGTGCTCGATGATATCGGTGATGAGGAGGATTGGTGGTTCTGGCGTGTTGAGGTTGATGCGTACGCGAACCGGCTCGCCTACCCATATCTTCTCTGCGCCGAGATACATGCTACCCCAACGCCGCTCTTCAGGGCCGTTTGGAAGGCGCCTGTTGCTGACAAGGTGGGAGACGGTGAAGGTGCCATCAATTGACTTTGCGGCGAGAATGCTGCCGTCAACCTCGGGGTTGCCCTTGCCAAACTGTCCGTTTACTACGGCTGGCCAGTTAATGTTGTCATAGGTTAGGTTGGGTTGGTTATGGAGACCACTGGTGCAGAGAGGAGGTGGGCTCCACGAGAGCCACGGGCGCAGCAACCTTTCCTGATTGATCCGGACAGGCGACGGATGCATACCCGGGTGGCTCAAAGGCTGGACTATGTAGTTGCGTTCGGATTGACCGTTAACGTCTTTGACATATCGCCGCATGATAGCACCGAGCCCCCAAGTGTCCCCCCGATTGAACCAGACGACTTCCCCGGGACGGAAGAGTGAAAAATTAGGTTCGGTATCTAGTTGGTAGGCTGGGAGCGGCAAGCGCACCAGCGGCGAAGGTGCATTGGGATTGATGTTCGATGAGCCGTTGGAAGGCACAGCAACGCGCTGGGCGGGTGTTGCTGAGGCGGGTCGCGAAGCGGGAGGCACAGTGGGATTCTGATTTTGTGGTGGCGTCGCCGTCTTGGGTGGATTCGGTCCATGGCTGCTTGGAGGCCTCGACGCGACCGCTGAAGGTTCCCGCTTTATGGGAGCGGGTATGTTTGAAGCCGTAGTGGAAGGCAACAATACCGGTGTGGAGCTGCCTTCCTTCTTGACAGCTTGTCTGGGATCCTTTGTTGTGCTTTTGTCTTCCTGCAGCTCTTCCGGACAGCACAGCTTGCAGGTGCAATTGTTTGGGTCGCCGTTCTTATCCGTAGCAAGCCAAAGAAGATGCGGAAAGAAGTCCGCTGGACTCCGGAACCGCTTCTTCCGCCCTAAAGGGTGCCCGTAGAGATAGGCGTCTTGTCTGTCGTGCCCACCCCCAGCATGGTTTTTGGATGCCCTCCTGGTCGCAGGATCGCCATCGCTGGCTTTCGACTTGATGTGTTCGTACAGGCGGTAGTTTTCGGGCATCGCGGCGAGCATGTAGTTTTTTTCTGTTTCGCATGGTCAGCGCGATGGGGCGCAATGGAGCATGGGCGCCGAGCTTACGCTGTTGTTCAGGGCCGCCAATCTCGCGGATGAGCATCATGCCCAGCTTGCGGCGCCAGTCGAGGTGCTTGACCTCATCTTCGGCGATGGCGCGGTAGTAGTCGCTCACGCCGTTGGCGTCGGGAGTGGAATTGAGCTGCTCGGGCGTGGGCTCGTTCTTTTCCTTCTTGCGGGCGTGGATCGTCTCGAGCTTGCCGTCGGAGCGGCGGACGTAGAGTGGGTAGAAGCGGGTCATCTGGGCGACATTGCTCTGGGCGCCGTGGTGGGTGTTGGTGTTTTGGTTGACTTGGTTACTGACGATGGCTGCCACACTGAGCTAGTGAGCTCTTACGCATGATCCATGGCGACTCGGCCCCTCGGCGTGGGATGCGCCGACGAGCCCGAAGGCGGTGAACGCGCGCGCGACATGGCGGCAGGCCGCTTGACGCGTCTTCTCAACTGCCCGGTAGGTGACACAAAGCGTGCGCGCAGGCGCAGGGCCAAAAGGCAGAGAGTGAATGGAAGCCGTGACTGCTGCCTTTCACACCGTAAAATGTTTGCTTGCCGCACAAATTCCCGGCGCCACAATTGAAAATCAAAACAAATCAAATCATGGACCGCTCCCCGGCCAACCGCCTCAGCACACCCAAGCGGACAAAGTCCGTCCAAGACTTGCTGGCCTCCTTTGGCTCGCGCAACACGCCCACATCGCTTACTCAAGCCAAGAAGCACCCTTTACCTGCCGATCCTCCAATTGTCGACGCCAGTCCAAACACTTCCCAGCCCGAAGCAGACGACACTTCAGCCATGAACGTCAGCGGCGACGAAATCCGGGTCGCCACCCCCACAGAGTCTCCGCGGAGGTCATTGCGGCCTCGCACTTCACGTCTTTCTACCGCGCCCGCTGGCAATCATCTCCCATCACAGCGCTCTGGGCGCAAATCGAAGAGTAACAAGAAAATCCTAACGTCCGACACACTTGGCAAGGACAATGGCTCTCCGGTACCGAAGAAGGCCACGGCGAGAATGCAGATTAGAGAGGGCATTGTGCTGCACACGAAGGCCAAGCAAGACCGGTTTTTGAAGCAGCACAAGGGCTTCTTCCTGCCGCTACTGCCGGAAAACAACTACATCACCAGGATAAAAGGGAATGGTGAGAATATCGTGCCATACAAACAGCTCGAAGAGCAGCCTGAAGGGTACGCCCACTCTCACTCCATGATACACACATCGTTTGCTAACCCATCACAGAGTGACTGCTACCCTCAAGCCCTATCAGCTCACCGGCCTGTCTTTCCTCGTACACATGAATGAGAACGGTATGCCGTGCATGCTCGGTGATGAAATGGGCCTAGGCAAGACGTTGCAGACGCTGTCATTGTTCCAGTTTCTTGAAGAACGTGAAGAAGAAAACAAGACCTCCGCAGAGAACCGCCCCTACCTTGTGGTTTGCCCCATGAGCGTCCTTGACGCTTGGGTAACTGAGGCTCGTCGATGGACACCCGACCTCAAAGTGTTACGCTTCCATGGCCCTCCTACGGAGCGCGAGCACCTGAAGAAAGTTGCTACCGGTCGTCAAGATACCTATGGTAACGACACAACGAGGTCGAAGAAGCGCAAGAGTGACCAACGCCAGGGCAGGGCTCCGTCAACCCCTGATTCGGATGACGAGGGCGAGGAGGACTACAAGATCATTATCACTACATACGACACATTCGTATCAGAGCAGAGCTGGTTCAAGACGGCATTCGTTTGGCGTTACGTCGTCCTTGATGAAGGCCATCGGATCAAAAACAGTGCCACCAACGTATCCCACGCTCTTCAATCCCTGCGAGCAGAATACAGGTTGATTCTCACTGGTACCCCGCTTCAAAACGATTTGGTGGAGATGTGGTCGCTGCTCCACTGGCTCCTCCCGAACGTCTTTACCAATCAAACGTCGAGCCTGTTCAAAGAATCATTTGACCTAACGCACGGAAAAGTTAGTACCGCAGTCATGGATCACGCTCGCCATTTGCTCGAACTTCTGATGCTTCGTCGCATGAAGAACAGCTCCGAGGTGGATCTCAACCTGCCCCCGAAAGAGGAAATCCTCCTCTTTGTACCACTCACTCCTATGCAACGATTTTGGTATACACGTCTGCTCACAGGCGCCGGTGACGCCTTACTCGTCGACTTGTTTAAGGACGTTAAAATCAAAGAACAAACCGATATGGTTCGTGATCTTCAAGAAGCTCAGGACATCAAGAGACTTGAGGAAATTGGCGATCAGATGAGCAAGCAATCGGATCTTTCGAAAGATGCATGGAAGGAAACTCGAGAAATTATGCGGCAAGGCTTTGCTCAAGAGCAGAGTTCTGCAACTCAAGGCGCGTGGAAGCGTCTTATGAACCTCGTCATGCAACTGCGGAAATGCTGCAATCATCCGTACACTCTCACGGGTTCGGCACCTGAGCCGTACTTGTTGGGTGATCATGTTATCAAAGCTTCCGGAAAGTTCATTGTCCTAGAAAAGCTTTTGACTGAGCTCGTCGTAGCCAGAGGAAAGAAGGTGATTGTTTTCTCGAGCTTCACTCAGGTTCTGAACTGCTGCGAAGACCTACTGGCGGTTACCGGAGGCGATGGGGCGCTTTTCAGGTATCTCCGGTTTGATGGAGGTACTGGTAGGGCTCGACGCAACCTCGACATACGACTTTTCAACGACAGATTATCTGATTACAAGGTCATGCTAATCTCCACTAAGGCCGGCGGCTTGGGTATCAATCTAACGGCCGCCACCGAGGTAATTTTCCTGGATGAGGACTGGAATCCGCAGATCACTCTTCAAGCCGAGGCTCGTGCCCATCGGATTGGTCAGACTCAACCTGTCACCGTGTACAAGCTCTGTACCCAGGGAACTGTTGAAGAGCAGATGATGGGACGCATTCGTAAGAAGTTATACCTATCAACAAAGATTACCGAGACGATGAAGAGCATTCACAGCACAACTTCCAGAAACAACAAGGACAAGACATCGATTAAAGGCGAAGATGTGCCGCAGTTGGATGTTTCTCACCTTAGGTCTCTCGTTCGCCGCGGTGCGCAGACATTGACTCATCCCGAAATCGACGTCACGGATATGTTGTCATGGGATTTCGACACCATTTTGGAAAAGTGTAAAGACAATCCTAGTGATCCACATGTCGGTGATGAAGACAGTGATCTCGATGAACAACAATGGCTTTCCACCATGGAGCGTGTTGAGTGCGCGGTATTTGACGGCAAGCGCTACCAGCGCCAGTTGGATGACGACTCGGCTGCAGGTTCGGACTTGACGGCTGGTGACCGTCGGAAGGGCAAGAACACCACCGTGATGATCGACGGTTATGCTATCAGCAAGGAAAGCATGAATTGCGGAGATTGGGAAGCTGTCCCTACAATGGCCGGGAAGGACCCCCGCCTGGCTGATCCGAAGCGTGCGAAGAAGGCTGCTATCGTTAACCAAGACCACTGCCAGATCTGCTGGGACGGTGGCGAGATTCTCATCTGCTCGGGATGTCCGCGTAGCTACCATGTCGACTGTATGAATGATCACGACAGGGCGAACGCGACCAAGAGCACTAACTTTAGCGGCTTCTACTGCTCGCAGCATGAGTGTGCTGATTGTCACAAGAAGACCACTGAAGCTGGTGGGCTTATCCTCCGGTAGATACATTCCAGCTTAAGGCGATGGTTCGTGGAGTGCAAAGCTAACTTCGTGTACAGGTGCCGTTGGTGCGAGCGCGGATATTGCGAGGACTGCCTCCAGTGGAAGAAGACGAAGCTTCTCGGCGACGCTCTGCCTGAGTTTGAGATTCTTGGCTTTCCTGCCGTCGACCAAGCCTTCTTCATTGAGTGTCCCGATTGTTGTGAACTGCGGTACGGAGGTCCGGTGCCTCACCAGTTCTATGAAGAACGCGAACGAGAAATCAGCGAGCAGTACGCGCAGATGCTAAGGCTGCGAGATGATACGCCGGTCGCTACTGAGATCAAAGAGGAGATCAAAGAGGAAAAGAAGCTCAAGCTGGAAGTAACGAGCTCGTTTAGCAACAGCATTGGCAACCTCGACCTCGCCGACAATGCTTCTAGCAACTTCGACTTGACTGACGCAACCACTCTCGACACTTCCGGGGTGTCAACTCCCAAGGAGGCGCGATCTGGTCGCTCGGATGCTTCTACGAGCAAGAAGCGCGCAATCGACGTGATTGATCTTTCCGGTTTGAACGAGACTTTTGGATCCCCGAAGAAGGCCCGGAAGGTGAAGCTGGAAGACCTGGGTGAGTAGGAGACGTGCTATGTGAGGGAAGACGAGCTGGGAGTCTTCGGCGGTTGTCTGTCTGTCTACTGCCATCATCATCATGAGACAAGTCCAGCATGTCACTCGATTTGATATTGAGCAGCAGATTAAGGCATCCACCGCCACCGATGAAACACTGCACGACATCTGCTTCTCACGTTACACGGCTAGGCTGTCCGGGGTTTGAAGTTTGAATGACGCAACGGGCTTGCTTTTTTTCTTTTTGATTTTTGAGAAAAACACACTGGCGAAAAAGAAAAGACGACGACGGCGAAACGGAGAAAAGTTTAGATATCCACCATGCTGACTCACGCTAGCATGGTCATGGGCACGGCGTGGAATTTGGGGGGTTTGCTTGTTTTCGAGTCTTTCATTCTGCTTCTTTTCTTCATCCGTCCCCTGTTTGCCTGGTTCTTTTGAGTTCTTCGCGCGACGATCGAGTCGGAGCAATGCTTCTTCTTGCGTCTGCTCTTTGCCGAAGCAAGGTTGTTTGCGCCGAGCAGCAGACTCACGAACAACGGCAGTCGCGGCGCGATGTCGGAGCGAGGAAGGGTGCGCGCAGGGTTTTGGCGCAGAGATTGAGATGGCGCGCGTGGATTGCGTCTGCAGGTAGACATCACGGCGAGTTAAATGGAAAATGAAATCTCGCTGCACCCCACAGTGTTGTTGTTGTTGTTGCTGCGCAGTGCGACATCTGCGGGTGCAGGATGCGCTTTACCTCTGACTGCTGCTGCGTGTTTGTACTACCTACCTAGTTATGGGCAGACGGGCAGCGTTTGAGACCAACTGTGGGTGTATGGAGTAAGAGAACAGTATCCTCAAAACTTAAATCCAGAGCAGCAAACTCGATGCACATTTACTTCCTCTACAGAGTCGCCCATTGCGGACACGAGAACGAAAATACGAACCACCACCACCTCCACCATCATCGGCGGCAGCAAGAAGGGGCGGCAAAGCGGCAAAGCGCGCGCGCGCGAGCGCCCAATCGGCGCGCAGGCCGAAGGCAGGAAGCAAGCAATCACTCAATCAAATCATTCAATCACCAATAACTCTCCGTAACTACCTAGGAGTAGCTAGTCAATGCAGCAGCTGATAATCCGTACTGACAGTGACAGCATCCGCGATGGCGTGCCTGCATGCAGCAGGTAATCTGCACCTACCTAGGTGCGGAACGCATACATACATATGCAGATGCGGCATGATGAGTGAGCGACTAGGAACGTACAGTACAGTGCGTACCTAGGTAGGCAGGCACGGCAGGCAGCTGGGCGTGCGAGTGCGAGTGGTGTTGGGTGCCATGGGTACCTGCATGAGGATCGGCGCTGTGCAGACGGGCTGATATTGGGGGCTTGGGGGCGGCGCGGGGGGCGGTGGGTTGGTTGCGCTGCGCTGCGTACAACGCAGGTGCGGCTGTCGCTGCTGCTGGCTGGCTGGCGCTGTTCCTGGCTAGGGGCCAGGCGTGGTGAGGCGGTGCGCACGGGGTTGTGTCAGGGTAAGACAGGAGGCTAGGTGTCTGGCAGAGAGTGTGAATGAATTGGGGGTGTGAGCGAAGAAAACAGAGAGTGTGAGAGAGCGATGCTCACACCCACCCACCCGGCCGACAGGCAGAAGGAGACGAATGGAATTCCCGTGGAGAAGGAAGGCGGCAGGCACCCAGGCAATAATAAGGCGACCAGGAGCAAGCAAGCAAGTGCAGCCGGGGCGTTGGGGCTGTGATTCACAGCGATCAGCGAGGAGATCGAGAATCGAAACATCGAACATCGATCAACAGGCACACATCATAGCTCGCTTTATAAGATCAGCACACCTAGGTCTGCTACACTGCCTCGGATCATCGATGCTTCATTGCTTCCATCGGGCGTCGTGGCCGGCCCGACCGGGCGAGACAAATGGATGGGCGGACGGGACGCGCGCGCGAGGCAGACTGGCAGGCGCGCGCATATTTTATGTACATATGGGCTTGGCAGGGGAAAAAGCTGAAGACCCTCGTATTGCGTGCGCAGCGCCGAACGAACGGTTTCTCAGGCACCCCGGCGCCCTGACCTCGTTCCATTCGTTTGTTTGAGACAGGGCAACTCCCAAACGGCCAGGGACGTGGGCATCGGCATCCATCGCGGGGAAAGGGAACCTAGGCGAAAAGACGTCATGACGGAGCTATCGCAGATTGCGCCCTTCGTGATGGTAGTGCAAGGTGCAACACGTCGTCGCGGGGGAATAACTAACAGTTGGCGTCTTCAGGTACGGGAGGACTGCGCAGGCCTGGACTTGTCGCTTGGCGCGCGGGACGGCGACGGGCCCGTCCGCAAGCACCCCGCGGACCCGTCGTGCCTCGTCTGTTCAAACCAGCCAGCGAAGAAGCCCGAAGCCAGCGTCACATGTCCACTGTCCGGCTAAAAGTGAGACAAGACGAAGCACGGAGATTACACTTTAGTTTTTTTTTTTTCCCTCCCCGTCTCTTCTTTATGGTTGACGTGTGGGTGCGTGGCTGTGTTTTCTAGATGAAACGCGTCGCTTGGCGCCGGCGGATGCGACGGGCCCTAACGGGCTCATGACAAAGGGGGACAAGGGTGGTGAGAGAGTTGGGCCACGGATCTTCTCGTTGGTAGAAGCAGCGGCGGAAGGAATCGTGGTATGCGACGCCAACCAAGAGGTGGTGGCTCATCTAAAAAAAGGGCATTCAACCGTCCCCACACGCGGCCCTGGCACGGCAGCCCTACCAAAGGGAAAGAAGCCGCAGCAGTTTTGGGGCGGGATGCCCTGCGACTGGCAAGATTGCACCCTTTCTGATAAGACGGGATGCGCGCAAAATCAGAAGTCTGTGAGATGCTCCCCTGCGAACCATCATGTCCGACTCCGCTGCCGCCCGACGCCCTCCGTCCAGACCGCCCCGCCCGGACGAGCCACTTGCTTCACCCAGCTACCCACTCTCCTTCACCTCGACCACGACGCCCACACCGCACCGCGTTCCCTTTACTTCCGAGCGAACTCCTTCGCCGTCCCCTCGTTTTCCCTTCTCCGACGACCTCGATCACGACCTCTCGCATTCCCGGCCTGAGACTCCCCGCGACTTTGACGACTTGGAGGATGAACCACTCTCGCCGGCCGTGAACCGCCATCTTTCCACTGCCATTCCGCCCCGATACGCCTGCTCCCGCTTTTCCGACGACCACTCGGCCATGGCGGAACCCAAGACCCATCTCGCGACTCCCATCCACTGGACCTTGGTCCTCAAGTGGGTCATCGGCGGCCTCAACCTCATCCTCAGCGCATCGGCTGCCATTGTCGTCGGCCACTCGCTGAGCCTGTACGGCGGCGAGAAGCTCGCCCGCACCATCGACGTCCAGAACTCGAATCGCCCGACCTGGCCCAGCGGCCTCAACCTCATTCCTTCGTGGCTGCTGCTCGCCGTCGCCTTCGTCAGCACCTGCTGCTCCGTCATGACCACCGGCCTCGCCCTGCGCCGCCGCTTCATCAAGCCCGTCACGTGGCTCGAGGGCTTCCGCCTCGGCGTCGGCATCTTCTTCATTGGCGCGTGGATCGCGAGCTTGATCGTCTTCAAGCTGTTCGAGACGGCCGACTCGGGCGACAGCCTGGGTCGCTGGGCCTGCGACAATGCCAGCGACAAAGTTCGCGGAAAAAAGGACTACAATCGCGTGTGCACGGAGCAGGTGAGTCGCTTTTTTCTGACATCTTTTTTTTTTTTTTCTTTTTCCGTTTGACCATATGGCTGACTGATTGCCGTTGCAGGACGCTGGTTTCGCCCTCGCCGTTGTGAATGTCGTCCTCGAGGCGTTGCTGATTGCATGCTTCGCCGCCGGCACGTTCCTTATCAAGAAGCAGGCGGCCGACGACTCGCTGGATGAAAAGCGCGCCGGAAAGAGCCCCGTCTAAACCTTCATTGAAAAAGTTCCATAGCGTTTTGTATCCTCCTCTTCTGCCTTTTTAGCTTCTACTACTGCTGCTTCTTTTCTTCTTTCTTGTTCGCCTTCGATAGGAACTCTAGGGATTTTATGACGGGGATATCAATTTTTGACGACGATCTAATGTCTAAGGCTGTACCTGATGAGCTTGCCAAGTCCGTAGATGATCATGGAGTCCGTTCATGCGGGGTTGAGGGATTCCAGAAGACGTTTCCATTGCGTGTGTGATCATCAGCGCCGTGATTCGCCGACCCTTGCTTGCGTCATCCAGCGTTCGTCCGAGCTGCCCGTCACCCGCTCGCCGAACGTCAACTCTTGCAACTAACCACTTGACTTGACCACGCTCGACTTCTCAGCGAGCCATGCTCCTCGCCCCTCTCCCCCCGCAACCATGTTCCGCTCGTCCCTCTCGCGGCCCCTACGACTGACGCGCCCCGCCACAGCGTTTCCCCCCCGCACCCGCCAGGCACGGCTCCCGCACCCGCCGCGCCGGCAGCTCCACCTCGCGCCGCCGTTCCTGCTCGACGACTACATCCCCCGCTACCAGCTGCTGTCGTCGACGGACGCGGCCAAGAAGCGCTCTCAGGCTTACGCCCATCTGCGCGAGTGCAACCTCTGCCCCCGCTTGTGCGGCGTTAACCGCTACGAGACGACTGGCGTGTGCCTTATTGGCGCGGAGACGGTCAAGGTCAACACTATCGCGCCGCATTTTGGTGAAGGTGGGTGATGCCTCCTGCTGCTGCCGCTGTCAAAACCAACGCACCGCCGACCGAGCCGGCTAACGCTTGGTTCGCGCGCGCTACAGAGCCATGCCTGCAGGGCCACAACGGGTCGGGGTCGGTCTTCTTCTCGGGGTGCAACCTGCGGTGCGTCTTCTGCCAGAACCACGACATCGCGCACCAGCGCAACGGGTTCGACCTGACACCGGAGGAGCTGGCCGAATGGTACATCAAGCTGCAGGAGGTGGGGCGCGTGCACAACATCAACCTGGTGACGCCCGAGCACGTCGTGCCGCAGGTGGTGCTGTCGATCCTGGCCGCGCGCGACCTCGGCCTGCGCCTGCCCATCGTGTACAACACGAGCGCGTTCGACAGCCTCGAGAGCATCGCGCTCCTCGACGGCCTCGTCGACATCTACCTCCCTGACTTCAAGGTCTGGAACCAAGCTACCTCGAGGCGCCTCCTCAAGGCCGACAACTACGCCCCCACCGCCATGCACAGCGTCAAGGCCATGCACGCCCAGGTCGGCGACCTCTGCTTCACCCCCGACGGCATCGCGAAAAGCGGCGTCCTGGTCCGCCATCTCGTCATGCCGGGCAAGGAGGACGAGGGCGCCGCCATCATGCGCTGGCTCGCGCAAAACGTCTCCAAGGACCTCTTCGTCCACGTCATGGAGCAGTACTTTCCGCGCGCCCACGTCGGCAAGAAAAATCGCGGCAACGCGGAAAAGAACCTGGACGTCGAGGTGTCGGAGCCGGGCGGCGCCAAGACGGAGAAGAGCGCGGCCGTGAACGTACGCTATGCGGATATCAACCGCGCGATCAAGGACGAGGAGCTCTCGGTCGTCAAGAGGGCGGCGGTCGAGGCGGGGCTGTGGCGCTTCGTGGAGCCGGCTGAGCACGGCGGGTTTAACCTTTAGGCATTCAGTGTTTCTAGCAGCGTCGAACAGATACGTCTTTTTTCCAGACTTAATGGTTATTACTTTTCCTTCTCCGCATTTTCATACCTAGTTTCCTCGAATCGCTCCGCAGCGACCATATCGCACACCTCCATCCAAACCTCTTCCGCTGAACAAAGCACCTTCCATCTTCCTCGACGCATGACGACAAAGCCATATCCGCTCTTTACTTTATACCCCACCCCACCAGGCCTTGGTACATACATGCATAATCCTTTGTCCCTTACAATCCCCCACCACATAATCGTCTGAAACCAGCAGCACAAGCCCCCGCATTCAGATTCAGCCATTCAACCACTCTATCAATCCAGTCCCCTCCCCGCAGAAGCCCACTCGCTATACGGGTGATCAGCGCAAGCGACAATAGGCCTTCTTATTCCGATCGCCCCCCTGCCTCCTCTGCATGCGCCACCCTTGAGCCCGGCCGTGTTGCTCCCCCTCCTCTTCCCCCTCCCCCTCTTTCTCTCTTCCTCTCTCTTCCCTTTTTTTCCTGCTCTTACTCTTTCTTACTCTTTTTCTCTTTCCCCGCTCCCGTGAAGCTCGGGTGTGCGCGTCCCGTGTCGCTCCTGCTACGCTACGCTGCCTGCCTGCCTAAGTACCTACTTACGGTACGTTTGAGCTACATACCTAGAGACTCACCCTTCACCTGTCTACCACCAACCACCTACAACTCCACAACCACCCACACCAGCACCCAAACCAAACCCAACAAACGAAACAACCAAAACCAACAAACACAAATGCGCCACCACCACCACCACCACCACCAACCCACCCCCGCTCCCATCCCCTCGTCCCCCTCCCCCTCCTTATCATCCTCCTCCCTCTCCCTCCCAGTCCTCCACCACCAGCGCCTCTACCTCATCAGCTCCATCGCCCGCACCCAAATCATCATCGACGGCCTCGCCTCCAAGCTCGCCGACTGCGACCGCCAGCTCGCCACCAAACCAACCAACACAACCTCCCCCACCTCCCCCACAACCTCAACGGCTCCCGCTGTCGCGCCAGCGGCTGCCTCAGCTTCATCACCTTCGGCCCACCTCCCCCGCCGCACAAAGAAGAAAATCCAACAGTCCCGCTGGCGCGCCCGCGCTTCCCTGCGCGCCGCCCACCGCGAGCAGGTCGCCCTCTTCCGCGCGCTTAAAGGGTGCCAGGACACGATTCTCGCGCTGCAGGATCGGCTGCTTAAGGATCCGGCGAGTTGGGCGCCGGGGCTGGTCGTTGTGCCGCCGCCTGTGGCGGGGGGTGTGCTGGGTGGAGGGGTTGGGGGAGAGGCGTATGTGGGTGCGGGTGACGGGGCGTGGTTCCCGCAGCAGCACCATCAGCACCATCAACCGGCGTATTCGTGGCCGTTGCCTGCTGCTGCGGCGGTGGCAGATTCCTCGTCTTCGGCGTCGCCTTGGGCGTGGCTTGCCCACTCCCAGTCCCACGCGCAAGCGCAGCATTTTGACCCCACCAACGCCGTCGCCGCCGGCACAGTCGACCCCTCGCTCCTGCTGCTGGATGCCTTGGGCGCGGAAGGAGGCGGCGCGCCCGGCCCCACAGAGGTCGTCGACGAGACGGGGCTGACGCACTATATCTACCCTGCGTCTGCGGCTGCGTCTGCGTCTGCGTCGCCGGGGCCTGCGTCGCCGGCGGTGGCTGTTACTGCTGTTGATGGGGAGGACGGGGAGGGCGATAACGGCGGCGGCGGTAGCGGGGAAATGAAAGAGCAAGACCAAGAGGAGGTGGAGGTGGACGTGCCGTTCAGTGGGTTCCGCGAGGGGTGGGACATGGCAGCGGCGTGCTCGAGCGCGCGGGCGAAAGTCGAGGGCAGTGGTGGTGGTGTGGGGGAGAAGGACGGCGACGGCGACGCTGACGGACCAAAGAGTCCGCGCAGTTTGGGGCCCAGGCCGGTGATGGCGGCGGCGGGGCTGTGGGCGGATGAGGTGGATGTGGATGTGGATGTGGATGTGGAGATGGAGATGGGGGAGACGGAGATGGAGACGGAGATGGAAGTGGATGGCGGGGACGTGAAAGGCGAGGGTGGTGAGGTGGAGCCGCAGAGACGGTATTCGACTGCCGCGGTGGATCTGATTCTGTATCGCATGAGGCTGAATGAGGGGAAGGGGAAGGCGAAGGGCAAGGGCAAGGGCAAGGGCAAGGGGAGAGGGCGGGGTCGGGGGGCTGTTTCTGGTGTTGGGGAGATGTCGTTGGATCAGTAGGTAGTAGCTGTTGTTGTGTATTTGTTGTGTTTGTGTTTGTGTGTTGTTGTTGTTTTTTCCTCTTTTTTAGCTAGTAGTAGTAGTAGTAGTAGTAGTAGTAGTAGTAGTAGTAGTAGTAGTAGTAGTAGTAGTAGTAATAGTAGTAGTAGTAGTAGTGGCAGTAGATGGAAATGAATACTTCGTGTAGGAGGACTATTGGTGGTGGGAGCGTGCATCTCCACACGTGCTCGGGCCGAGCAAGGGTAGCTGATTAGCGGGGCGGGGAAACGGGCGGGAGGAGAGAGGGGGAGGGGTGACGTCGGTATGTGTGTATGTCGGGTGTTTGTTGGCGAGAGGAAGAATGGATGGAAGGAATGAAGTCAGATAGATGGGGAGAGAGGGACAGAAAAAAAGACAGGGCTTGCGGCGGCAGACAGGGAAGCCTCGCTCTGCCGGCATCTGCAGACGTCAGGGCCCGCACACGGACCCGTCACATGCGCCGCACTGCTGCATCTCAAGCACCAAAACCCCACGCGCTAAACACACTACGCTGGCCCTTTCTCCACCGGCCATGCCCTGATGCTCCTTCTACCTATTTCTTTGCCGTCCCTCGCCCGTCTTCCTCCCGCTTCGACCGCCACCCTCTCTCTCTCCCGCCAATTCACCTCTCTTCCCTCTCGACCTGTCGCCAGTGTGCTCTGCCACCGTGATTGATTGCTTCGAGACACGCCGCCCATACGCAACACTCCCATACGCGCCAACTCGACCACCGCCGCACCATGCCCGGCCCCGAAGACGCCCTGAGGGAGCGTCGTCCTCAAGAGACAGTGAAAGAGCTGAACCATGCCGCAGAGAACGACCCGCTCAAGGAAAAGAAGACGTTTGGCCGCACCCCCGACGGCACCAGTTAGTCCTTTGCCATCCGTGACGCCCGCGTGCGTATGCGTGCTAATGGGTGCAGTCTTCACCGTCCCGCACACCGAGGACATGGTCTCGCAGCTCCTCAGCCCATCGCAGCCAAAGAACCTGTCGGACCTGCTCATCCTCGCCGTCCTCGGCCTGCACATCCTCGCCCTCTACCTGCTGCCTTACAACCTGCGCATCCCCGTCTTCGCCGTCGTCTTCCTCTTCTGGCGTGCGGGCTACAATGCTGGCATTGGCTACCTCCTGCAGATCCAGTCGCGCGACCGCACCCTCGTAACTTGGGCCCGCAAGTGCCGCCTGTTCGAGAAGCCGGCCTCGGGCAACAACCCCAACCCCGCCCTCTACGCTCTTCTGAAGCGCGAGATGGAGACCAAGATCCCGCGCGACTACAAGTTCGAGGAGGCTCCCATTGAGTACAATACCTGGTTGGTCTTCAGGCGTGTGGTAGATTTGATCTTGATGTGCGATTTCGTCTCGTACTCGCTCTTCGCCATTGCCTGCGGCGGCAGCCCGGTCGGCGAGGGCATGCCCATGACCATCGCGCGCTGGCTGACCGGCACCGCCCTCGTGCTCTTCAACCTCTGGGTCAAGCTCGACGCCCATCGCGTCGTCAAGGACTACGCCTGGTACTGGGGCGACTTCTTCTACCTCGTCGACCAGGAGCTGACCTTTGACGGCGTCTTCGAGATGGCGCCCCACCCCATGTACTCGGTCGGCTACGCCGGCTTCTACGGAATCTCGCTCATGGCCGCGAGCTACAAAGTGCTGTTCATCTCCATTGCCGCCCATGCTGCCCAGTTCGCCTTCCTCACTCTCGTCGAGAACCCCCACATCGAGAAGACGTACAACCCCCCGGCGCCGAAAAAGCGCTCCAGCATGAATATGTCCGAGAGTGCTACTCCCCGTCTGTCAGAAAGCAACGACGCTGGCAACGCCAATGGGACGCCTGCCGTGGAGTCGGACGTCGTTCCTTCTTCGGTGCACAACTTTATGGACATTGATTGCCATCGCATTGCTGACATCACGGTCATCCTCTTCAAAGTGTACCTGATTGCCTTTACGGTACTCACCCCAAACACCCGCCTCTTCCAGGTGCTTTTCGTAGCGCATGCGGTCGCGTGGAGGCTGTGGTACGCCATGGGCATCGGCTACATCCTGGACCGCCAATCGAACAAGAAGAAGTGGACGCGCCATTTCATCAAGTATGGCGAGACCACCGAAGAGGCTTGGCGGCAGTGGAAGGGGCTGTACCACCTCAGCATGACCATGTGCTACGCGAGCTTCCTCGCGGCCGCTTACAAGATGTACACGCTGCCTCCGGACTGGGAGTACGGCTCGGCGCTGCTTAGGCACGTGCTCGGAGCCGGCCTCATCGCTCTTCAGATCTGGACCGCCACCAGCATCTACGAGTCTCTTGGCGAGTTTGGCTGGTTCTACGGAGACTTCTTCTTCGACCAGGCACCGAAGCTGACGTACAGCGGCATCTACCGTTTCCTGAACAACCCGGAGCGAGTGATTGGATTGGCGGGCCTCTGGGGCGTCGTCATCATCACCTTCAGCAAGGCCATTTTCTTCGTCGCCATACTCAGCCACGTCCTCACGCTGCTTCACATCCAACTCGTGGAGCGGCCGCACATGCAGAAGCTGTACGGACAGAGCCTGAGGCAAGATTCTGGCATTTCCAAGACGTTGAAGCGCTCGTTGCCCTCTCCCATCCGCCAATGGCACGGCAACGCCGAGAAGGCTCTGTCAGACACGGTTGACTTTGTCGACGAGTTCCTCGATGCCGCGCGGCCCAAGCTCGCCGCGGGCGTTGGCACTTTCGTTAAAGACGCGACTGCTCTCTTCAAGAGCTATCCTGCTCGCATTAGCATCACGCGTGTAGCGCCCGACCTGGCCGGCCATGACCCGAAGGACTACCACATTGACGTGCAGGGCACGCCTTCATCCGCCGTGGCCGCGCACGAGCGTCATTCAGGCCGCGAAGGCGAGAACGCTCGCGCGCCCGCTCAGCGCACGTCCGAGTTCAAGACGCTGATGTTCGAGTACGGCGCCCCGATCAAAGTCCGCTGGTCCGCGCCGCTCAACCACAGCAAGAAGGACTGGATCGGCCTGTACATGGTGTCGGACAACGCCTCGCGCGAGGTCACGCGCGTGGCGTCGCAAGGCCGTTGGGTCTCGACCAACAAGGGCGAGTACGACTCTGTGCGTCCCGAGGTGGGCATCCTGGTGAGCGACAAGCTGGTGTCGGCGGCCGAGCTGGAGTGGAAGCGCGACGGCGATGATAAGGAGTACCTCACCGGCGAGGTCGAGTTCGCGGGCGACAAGCTGTGGTGGACGAGCGGCGTGTTCGAGTTCCGCTACCACCACGACGGCAAGCACAATGTCATGGCCATCTCGCTGCCGTTTGAGATTCGCATCGGCCGCTTCGATGAGGACGATGTTGAGGTCGACTCGAATGGGCTTGTCCGCTGTGCGGTTGAGCAGGCGCTCTTGCCTGTTGTGCGCAACTGCTTTGATCGCGACCCAGAGATTGCGCCAGAGTCGGTGGATGAGGGGTTCGGGGGGTTGGTGGAGAGGGACGGCAAGTTTGCGAAGAGAGTCGTATTCGCGGTGCATCAGATGTGGGTTTCCTTCCTTTCCCTTTCACTCGGACGAAGTTGCGCTCCAAGACACTGGAGTAGCTAGCTAACACGCGGCACACACAGGTTCGGCATAGAATTCGCGCCCGAGGTGGTCCAGGCCGACGGCAACGTCAAGAACCTGGCGTGGCGCATCTGCAACGCCAAGAAGGTGCTGGTGAGTGTTTCTTCCTCCAAGATCAGAGTGGCAGAAGAAGACGCTACGAGCGAGAGCACAGGCTGAGCGACACTTCCCCCGCACTTAGGCGCCCTACAGCATGTCGCACTCGGGCGGCAATACCACGCCCAATGGCGCGAAGTACTAGGGTGTGGCCGGCCGCGCAAGGAGCGTACGACTGGATTGTACATACATATGCATGTGCTTCCATCTTGGTTGGGTGTTGTTGTTTGCTTGGCGCTTGCTTGCGATGCTTGCTTGCAAAAAGGCCGCGATGCGATGTGTTATGATAGATACCATATGGCGTTTTTGTTTGGCGCGCGCGGGGAGGTTTGCGCGCCCGCATGCGTGGATGATGGTTTTGCGTTTATGGGGTTGAGGAGAGGAGTGTGCGGTGGGGGTGGTGGTGGAAGGAGTGGCGAGGGTGCTCTCTACATAGGTAGGAGTATGCTGAAGAACGAAGGAAGGAAGGAAGAAGTGAGGTAAAAAGGTAGGGATGGAAGGTAAAGGAAAAGATATGTGAGGAGAAAAAACAATCAAAACTTACTTGCTTCAATACGCCACGATGCGCTCTCCTTCTCTACCGTTTCTTTCACATCAAACTCGCCTCCTACATACGCCGCAGCCAGTTGATTCTTTGTGCATTCCCCTTCTCCTCGTTTTTTCTTCTTTCTTTGCCTCTGTCACACCCACTCTCTCGCCACAAAAGAAAGAAAGAGAGAAAGAAAGAAAGAAAGAGCTATTCCATCAATGGCACCATCCTGCATTGTCCCCATGACAGCAGCATTGTCCACGCGCAGCCAGGCGCGTATTAGAAAGTAGCAGATGGGCTCTCTGTCCTGTCCACGAAAGAGTAAAATCAATTGTATTCCTCCATCACAGCACAGCACAATATAGCACACGCCTGCCAGCGCTGAAACTGTCTTGTCTCTCAAACACACACAGATTCTACTACTCTCCAGACTTCCCTGCTACTAGCTCACTAGCTCACTAACTAACCACGAAGAAGCACTGCCTGATATACTGCTTACCTACCTCCTTACCTACTGTAGCTACGCACCCATGACCATGGCAGACAGTACGGTGGACCCCAGCAGCAGCACCAGCCCGCCCTCTCGGCCCTCAACACCATGGCCCGCCAACAACGCCAACGATGGTAAGCTAGCCGCCTCGCTGCAGGCCTACAAGCGCGAAAACGCAACCCTGAAACAGCAGCTGGCGCTGCTGCTGCGCGAGAAGGAGAAGGAGAAGGAGAAGGGGAAGGAGAAGAAAGAGACGTCCTCATGCAATAGCACCACCACCACCACCACCACCACCGAGCCAGAATGGCCACTCCTCTCCCAACTCCAACCCGCCCTCGCTCTCCCCACCTCCAACACGTCCACAGCCCCCACCCACACAATCCACGCCCTCTACCTCAGCACGCCCCTCTCGCGCGCCCTCCTCCCCGCCGCCGCAGAATCCTGCTTCGCGCACTCGGAGCTGCAGGAATCCCTGCTGCTGACCTCGCGCATCCTGCGTTATGCGCACGATGATCGCTCCCCCGGCCCCGCCGCGCAAGCACCACGCATCGCAACCCTCCTCCTCGAAGCCGCCGTCTTCGCCGTCGCGGGGCTGCTCGCCCGCGCTTGGGGCCGCGCCAGCGAGGCGTATGGCGCTGTGAGCGTGAGCGGGGGCGTGAGCGCGCAGCTGCGCGTCAGCGTGTCGTTCATGCGGGCGGCGCTGCTGGGGCGCATGCGGCGGTTTGGGCAAGCGAAAAGGGAGCTCGATAAGTTGGTGCGGGTTTTGGGCGAGGTTGGAGCAGGAGATGGTGCCGCTTTGGGGGGTGTGTGGGGGTTGGTTGGGGGGATGGTGGCGGGGTGGGGGAGGGATGGAGATGGGGAGGAGGAAGAAGAGGATGAGGCTGAGGCTGAAGGTGAGGAGGAGGTGGAGGTGTCGACGCATGTCCCGTTGTAGTTGTTGTAGTGTTGTAGTGTAGGCGGGCGGGCAGCTGGTCTGCTCTGCTGCTGAGCTCAGTAGGCGGTTGTTTGTGTATGGAATGATACATGTTATTGATCGTTTACCTACTTTCATGAAAGCATCACCATGGTGCTCCAGTCCGTACCTAGTCTGTCTTCCCTGTGCCTCTTCTCAACTCACCAAACCATTTTCTTCCCATCAAAGCACGTATGGTGTACTGGGCATCTCCAATGCCAACGCCAATGCCAACAACAACACTATCAGGAGCTCTTCTTGCACAAACCTGCGCTCCGCGGTTCGATCCTCGTTGCTGACGTTGTTTAGTATTAGTACAATTCTGATTCGCTTTCTCTCCGGCTGCGGCAATCTTGCCGTGGCCCCTACCTACGTATAACGATGATGGACGTTGAGATGTTCGTCGATGTTTCGTGCTTACCTGACTTGGGTACTTGACACAGACTGGACTGGGTTGAGTTCTGAGTTGATTGAATAAAATAACATGACAGACAGAGATGATCAGAGTAGGTAAGTGGAGATCTGAATTCTTCCCGGGGAGCTCCTGATATTGTCTTTTTTCATCATTTTGCCGTTTCGTGAACATGTATGAATGTACGTGCCGTGCGATGCAACCGCTCATTCCAAAAACCCCAACCCTCACGGACTCAGCCGCTCAACCCTCCACTCGCTCCCCTCCTTCGTGTACCTAAACCTATCATGTAGCCTGCTCTCCCTGCCTTGCCAAAACTCCACAACATCCGGCACGATCCTCACGCCGCCCCAAAACGGGGGCACCGGGATCTTGTCGACGCCCTCAAAGCGCCTCTGGACCTCCGCGACGCGCGTCTCCAGCTCCTCCCGGCTGGCCAACACGCTGCTCTGCGCACTCGCCCACGCCCCGACCCGGCTGCCCCGTATCCGCGTGTCGTAGTACGCCTGGCTCTCGGCCTCGGCCAGCCGCTCCACCACCCCTTCCACACGGACCTGCCGCTCCAGCCCCTCCCACCAGAACGTCAGCGCCGCGTGCCCGTTCGATGCCACGTCCGCCGCTTTCCGACTGCTGCCCCAGTTGCTGTACACGACGAAGCCGCGCCCGTCCAGCTCCTTCAGGTACAGTATGCGCGCCGACACGCGCCCGGACGGCAGCTCGGCCGTCGCGAGCGTCGCTGTCTCTGGATGCGCGATCCCTGCTGCTTGGGCCGCGCCGAACCAGGCGTGGAATTGCGCGAAGGGCGACGCGTCCAGGTCCGTTTGCTCCAGCGCGCCTTTGCTGAATTGCCCCGCTTGGCTGCCCAGCCCGCTGTCTCCGGGCGCGAAGATCAGCTTGTTCGTGTTGGCCGCGTTCGAGGCGTCGTCTTCTTTTGTCGAGGCGGTGGGGCCGCGCACCGCCATTGTGTGGGTTGCTTGTGTGTGTGGTGGTGGGCGGCGTTGGAGGAGGCGGGTTTGTGTGAGGGCGAAAGCGCGGCGAGCGAGAGCGGCGAGTTTAGACAGGGTGGCGGTTGTGGGAGCGTGAGGTGAGGTGAGGGTGAGGTGATGTGTGAGGATAAAGAGCGAGAGCGAGCGAGGTGGGGAGACGGACGGCGAGTGGGCGATGACGCCGACGATTTTTGGCGCCAGAACTGCCCCGCCGGAGTCGGACAACAACACCACCACCACCGCGCGAAGCTATCAACATGAATTCATCGCGCATCACTCACCTGGCGACTATCATGTGTCTCTTGCACCTTTGCCGTTGTCGCGAATTTGCTGCTGCTGTTGCTCCCTACCGACCTCGCAGTAACGCGCGCCCGTCGCCCATCTGCACTACCCGGCGAACTAGACAGCGCTTTGTCTAGAGCTGTACCATCATACTGTAGCAAACCATTCAGAGGTCTATCCCGTAGCTCACACGCGAGGCGCTTGGCCCAATGGGGGAGAACAAGGCGAGCAGCCCCTCGGGCCGCGCCGCTGTTCCCCACCGACTGCACTTCAATGGGGCACTTGCGCGAGCCCAATGGCCATGCTCGGTGGCCCAGTGAATCCTGTTGTCCTCAAGCCCGTATAAACTCTCACGCTTCCCCTTCTCTTCAGGAGCTCACGCTGGCGAATTGTGCAATTTAATATACATTACATTCGCGTGCAGATCTTTCGGACTCGGCTGTTGATCATACAAGACGACGCAAACACATGGATCGAGAGGCAGATTGATGGTCCCCTATTGCCCGTCTTAACATGAGCTTAATATCCCACTGGCCGGCGAATCGTCGGTGCACGCCGTTTCGCCGAGTCAGGAACAAAAAAAGGCCACCATCTCCCTCGCACCCTTTCCCCTCATCCATTCCCACCCATCACCATGGCTCCCGGCCGAATTGACCCCCACTTCGACCCCTCCGTCCCGGAGGTCGAGGATTGGGACGAGGAAGAAGAACCCCAGACCCAATCCATGTGGGACCTCTTGCGGACCGATCCCCAGAGCGCCTTCGAGGCCCTGGGCATGGGCGAGATGGGAGGCCTGCCGCTGCCCTCGTCCTTCCCGTCGCCCGATGAAATGCGCGAGGAGGCCCGCGAAAGAGCCGCCAACATCTACGAGCACTGGTCCCCTTTGAACCAGATCTTGCAGAGGCACGAGGCCACCATCCGGAAGCGTTGGCTCAAGAAGACGAGAGAGCAGCGCCGCAAGATCCTCCTTACCGCCTGGCCCAGCATGCCCCCCATGCATCGTCCGGACTTTGACGCCTTCATCAGAGAGTCGGAGCAGCAACGCGCCGCCGGCACAAGCTTCAAGGATGCTTTCACGTGGCCTTATATCAACCAGGAAGACCTGCTTAAGCCTAGGATCCTGCTTCTGTTCCTCAATGCTCGCGGCCGCAACACGCCGGATGCTTTCGCCATGGCCGACCACGATGCTGCCCACTTTGGTTTTGTGACCAAGGCCCTGAACCCGGCCTTCCTGAACGAGCACACCATGATCTTCACCGGACGGAAAGACCCTGAAACCTATGGCGAACTGGTTTCCTGGGAAGAAGACGAGGAAGCTTTCGACAAAATGCTCTCCGGCGTGGGAGCGCACCCTGGCCACGGACTCATCATCTTGGAGATGCAGGAGAGGATATACAGCTTCCTCATCAACTGCTGCCAGCAGATTTTGCACGAAATCCCACCCGAATCCATGACGAAACCAGAGTACCCGATTCAACCGGAGCCTCCTTCTGTTTCTGAGAATGAAACGGGATATCCCTCCCTGGCGGTTATTGCTAACGAAGCGCCGTATCGCTTGCCGGCTGACCTCGATCTCGTGGCGCTGGAAGGTCTTCTGTCAGCCAAGATTTCTGCCACCGAGGATCACATCTGGGCGCTTCGAGAGGATCCAGGATATTTCGCTGACATCATCCTGGAGTGGAAAGAGCACCGCCAGGAGATGCTTCCCGATTGGAACGGCGAGGCGCACCCGGTTTTGAAGCCCGGTGCGGACAAAATCTTCTGGCACCGCGTGATTGGAAACGCCCTCACGGAAGCCTACCTCAAGCTTGAGACCTGGAACGCCATGCGCGAAGAGATTCGGGACCTTGAGCGCTTGCAGCGGAAGTACGCGACGATGATTTCGCCAGAAAAGGAGCTTCCGGCAGAGTACCTGAATGCTCTATTGCGGACGCTGCACTTCCTGGACCAGGCCAGCAAGGGCCCGATTGGAGTGTTGAGGACCGGCGTTGTGGCGTCTCCTCCGATCCGCGGAAACTTCGTTCGGGAGCCCCAGGAGCCTAATTCGACCATCATCCGCGTGCAACAGCGGCCAGGGCTGGAGCAGGACAAGGCACGCGACCGCCTGTTGTGGCTTTTCAACACTCTTTGGACCCCTGAGCAACTGTTCCTTGCAGGTCTGTACACTGTCGTCGACGAGCTGGAGCGCCTGACCATAAACGAACCGAAGGCCAAGGAGCTCGTTTCCCCATTGATCGCCGGCCAGTTGTCCGACCTCGCCGTCATCGCCGAGTGTATCCGTCAAATCAAATCATACCATCCTTGGGCAGCAGGCTTCGAGATGAAGAAGTCTGAGCGGGACGCACAGAACCAAGTAGACTACGCGAAGACGACTAGAGGATGGGTTCACTTCCTGGGAGTCGGCGAGGGAGCCACGACAGCCATTCTGGGCAACCCGAGCGACAAGAAATTCCACTACCCCGTCGACAAGCGCCGCACGCGCGAGAACGTCGAAGCCATGCGCCAGGCCGAAGAGAACCTCGACAACTTCTGGACCACAGTGGACCGGCAGATGAAGATCAAGACGCGCGAAATCGAGCACACGGCCGTGTTCCGGCTGCTGTCGCAAGAACGCATGCTCCGGCGCACGCCCGAGTGGGTCGAGCCCGCGAAGACGCAGAAAGAGCAGCTGCCCCCAGACATGGTCAAGCCCCTCTCCGAGATCTACTTTGAGCTCGAGCGCCTCACCGAACGCACCGTCGACCGCACCAACGCGTTGCCCGCCCCCAAGCAGAAGCCCAAGACGCGCGGCACGCCGGGCCCGGCCAGCCCCGCATACGCATCCACACCTGCTTCAGAGCAAGCCCCCGCCTCAACCGCGCCGCCCACCGTCGCCGTCGACAAGCGCGCCCTCAAGGTCTTCTCAACCCTCTTCTACACGCCCTCGCAGCACACGCAGCCCGGCGAGGTGCCCTGGCCAGACTTCCTGCACGCCATGGCCTCGGCCGGCTTCGCGCCCACCAAGCTCTACGGCTCCGTGTGGCAGTTTGCGCCCCAGGACTGCGACGTCCAGCGCAGCATCCAGTTCCATGAACCCCATCCTGCCGGCAAGATCCCGTATCGCATGGCGAGAAGGCATGGGCGGAGGCTGGAACGCGCGTTTGGTTGGAATGGCGGCATGTTTGCTCTTGCGTAGAGGGGTTGTGTTGGGAGAGTGGAAGAACTAAATTCGTTGTTGCTGGCTGGCTGTTTGGGCTTCGCGCTGTGTATATTTATCACCTTCGTCATCGTCGTCGCTTTGTATTTGTATATCTGTAGCAGCAAACCACTAAAGGTGTTTTTATTAAGGCTGTTTGTTTTTTGGCAGAAATAATTGCAAGGTTTTTGAACCGGGTTTTGTCTTTCCCTACCAAACCGGCGGCCTCTTCCCATTCGCCTTGACCGCCCGATAATACAACTCATACGAGTCAAACATGCCCGTCTCCTGAAAGTACGTCTCATAATACTTCATCATCTCCTTCAGCTTCGCCGGCTCCCGCTCCGACAAATCGTCAATCTCGCCCAGGTCCCGCGACAAATCGTACAGCTCCCACCCGCCCTTGCCCTTCGGCGGCGGCAGAAACACGGCCTTCCACTGCCCGCGCCGCACCGCCGCCACCCCGATCTGCTCCCACGCGACAATGGGCGCCTCCTCGTCGTAGGCCACAACGTCGTCCTCCGCGGCCGCCAGCAGCGCGCCCCACGACCGGCCCCGCAGCCCCGCGACCTCCCGGCCCTGGAACCACGGCGCCGGGTGCGCGAGCCCGGCCAGCTCCAGCACCGTCGGCAGCACGTCCATGACCGTCGTGAAGGCGTGCGATATGCTGCCCCCCGCCCGCTTCAGCCCCGCCGGGTACCGCACGATGCAGGGACATCGGATCCCGCCCTCGGTCGAATACGACTTCACGCCTCGCGACGGCGCCGTCGCCGCCGACGCCCATTGCGGCCCGTACCACACGAACGAGTTGGCGTTGCCGAGGTTCTCGAACGAATTGTCGTAGTATTTCGCGATCACGGCGTCCAGCGTCGCGCCCGCGAGCACTGGCACTGCTTCGAGCATGTTGCCCTCGGCCCCGTTGTCCGACATGAACACGACGAACGTGTCGTCCAGCTCGTCGGTCGAGGTCAGGTACGAGAGCACTTTGCCAATGTTCTCGTCCATGACGTCGACCATGGCTGCGTAGATCTCCATGGCGCGCGCGGACCGTTTTTGCTCTTCTGGGTTCATCTCATCCCAGGGCTTTTGGCGCATCGTGTGCAGTGGCGCGGGGATCACGTCCGCGGGGACGAGGCCTTCGCGTTGGAGCGCCACGAGCCTTCTGTCGCGGAGGGCGTGCGGGCCGTCGTCGTATTGGCCGCGGTACTTGTCTATCTTTTCGCGAGGTGCTTGCACTAAGCATCGTCAGCATTCAGACCAACTTATGAGAAGCGTAGAAAAGACAAGCGTCAACTTACAAGGCCAGTGCGGCGCAGTGAACGGCAGGTACGCGAAGAACGGCTTCTCCCTCTCCTCCCCAGTCCGCTCGTCCAGAAACCCAATCAGCTTCTCGGTGAACGTCGTCGACGAGTAAAACGGCTTCGGGACCTCTTCATGCGGGTCCAAGAACCGCTCGTTCTCCATCCAAAAGCCCCGTCCCTCGCCCTTGAGCAGCGCCGTAGGCTTTCCCTCGAGCTGCGGCTCGTTGTTATAATGGTTCCCGGCCCCGGGCAGAAACGTAAAGCTCCGATCAAACCCCTTCGAGCACGGCGCCAGCTCCTTGGTCAAGCCCAAATGCCTGGCACGCACAGTCCGTCAGTCAGCCAACATTCCTGACACCACACACCACACATGGCGTCAGCCTTCACCACCCTAGGGACGCACCATTTCCCGCTCATGACCGTAAAATACCCGTTTTCCTGCAGCACCTCCGGCATCGCAGCCACCTTTTTGTTCAAATACCCCTCGTACCCCGCCCGCCCTGCAAACACCTCCGGCGCCTTGTTCATCCACTCCGCCATCGCGCCCAGCCCGGCAATGTGGCTGTCCGTCCCCGACAGTAGCATCGCCCGCGTCGGCGAGCACGACGCCGCCGTGTGGAAGTCGGTCATCCGCAGCCCTTCCCGCGCCAGCCGGTCTAGGTAAGGCGTCGCGATCTCGCTGCCGTAGGGGCCGGTGTCGCTGAAGCCCAGGTCGTCCGCGACCATTACTAGGATGTTGGGCTTTTTGGGAGGGGGGGCCATGGCTGCTGTTGTAAGGGTGGGTTTGGTGTTGGGTTGCTGAAGGATCTTGGGTTGGGGAAGGGGCGCGGTTTATATGGCTTTTTTTTTTTGGGGGGCGGGCGTCGTGGATTGTGAAGTGCGGATTGCGGATATCGCTTGATGGAGTCGATAGGTCGAGCACTATCGCATTGGAATGTTTACCGACTATAGCTGAAGGCGACTTTCGGGCGAGCAAGACACTTCTACTCGACATTCTTGGTTGTTTTTGCTTGGGGGTTGTTGTATGCATGTTAAGGATAAGAAAGGAATGCAAACGGGCAGAGAGGAAACTGATTATAGGAATGGTTTAGTATAGCACAGAATTTAGACAGAAGATATCTCCGCTGACCCATTTTACATCATCATACCGGTTTGTTTAGCAGCGGTCATGAATCTATCTGGATTTAGTTTGCCGAAAATCTTATGCTCCGTTCAGACTATCGGGAAGCGCGCGACTTCCGTCGGATCTCGCTCGCTATCGCTTATATAAAAGCACGCCATAGCTGCCAAGCTCAACTCTATCCTCGCAACTCGAGCACGCAATCGCCATCACCATCTAGCATCTTTATTACTAATAACTTTGAACCAACAACACTCCTTTGCCTGTCTGGAATCCTAATAGTCGCTACATCTCGGCTACATGATGAAACAGTGCTATGTCAACTATCCAGCTTGTAGTGGATTGTCACTGCATACCAGACTGAGCCGCCCCTTGTAGATTCAGCGGGCTTTTGCTTTTGCCTGTCAATGCCGACATCCGTGGTTAGACAGCATGGATAACGCAAGAGCCGCTTGAAAGTGGGGTCAGAGACCACCATCGCCTATAAACTTGATAGCTACTCTTTTGCAACTAACAAAAAGGCTTGTTGCTCGCATAGTGGTTCGTTAGTGCTAGCTGCCTGCAACAATGTTTTCCTTCGATTTAGTCAAGCAACACAGGCTTGTCCAGAATACTACCTTCAATCTCCTTGCTGCCGTTCTTGTTCTCTGCGTTAGCGTCTTCAACTATGGTTTCGACAATGCTGCATACTCCGCTATTCAAGCAATGACTGGTTTGTTTTTGTCTCTTGGCTTCTTCTTCTTCCTCAGACCGTCTAACATCTTTTAGGGTTCGAAAAGCGATTCGGGACATACGATGCTTCGACAAAAGCCTGGACCATCAGCTCAACAAACCTCGCTCTCCTTAATTCCTCACCCCTCGTCACCAACGCCGCCGGCATCTTCCTTGCTTCACTGATCGGCGAGAGATTCGGACGCCGCGCCGTCCTCATCTGCATGGAGCTTATCTGCATCACCGGCCTGGTCGTCTCCTACACCGCAAAGCACTACAACCAGATCCTGGCCGGCCGCATGATCGTCCACGGCCACGTCGGAATGGAATGCTGGTTGATTCCAATGTGGCTCGCGGAGCTGGTCCCGGCTCCCATCCGCGGCGCCATGACGGTGCTGTACGTCTTCAGCCATATCTTCGGCAGCTTCTTCTGCGCTGTTGTCGCAAACAGCTCCTCGGGCTACCATGACGACAGGTCCTGGCAGATGCCCATTCTCGTCATGTTCTCCTTTCCTTCATTCGCGCTTTTGACGTTTTGGCTCGTGCCGGAATCCCCTCGCTGGCTTTTGCGGCAGAACAGATATAGTGATGCGGTTAAGCGTCTGGAATACTTGAATGGAGCACGCTCCGATTATTCGGCGGAAGCGGACGCCGAGGTACTGCAAGCTTCCCTTGAAAAAGACGTTACGAAGGGAGAATGGAATGAGCTGTTCAAAGGCACCAACGCAGTAAGTACTACCATAATGCTTTGAAAGCATAGTGCTAACAGGCTCCAGCGGAGAATGATGATCGCGATCATGGCGGCCTTTTTCAGACAAGCTACCGGCCAAAGTTTCACATCCAAATATGGCACAGTATTCATCAAATCTCTCAGTTCAGTCGACCCTTTCAAGATAAACATACTGAAGGCGGGCCTCATTTGCCTTGGGCCCCTCACCACAATGTTACTGATTGATCGCGTTGGCCGGAGGCGAATCTTATTCCTTTTCGGCTCAATAGCCGTCGGGGCAATGTTTACCATGGCCGGCCTGGGAGTCGCGGAACCCATCTCTCAACAACGCAAGGAGGGAATAGTAGCGATGATGGTGATCTTTGCGTTTTCCTATCTGACGTCCTTTGGTTCAGTGTAAGGCTCTCTCTCCCGTCTACCTTTTCAAGCGCTCACATTATTAAAAGGTGCACAGTTATCACAACCGAAGTGTTAAACCTCCGCCTGCGAGACAAGGGCCTGTTCGTGTCGTGGTCCGTGAGCAACATCTGCGACTTTGCCGTCTCGTTCAGTCTACCCTACCTCCTGAACGCCCCATACGCCAATCTCAACTCGAAAGTCGGCTTCATCTACGGGTCCATTGGCGTTTTGGGCCTACTGTGGGGCTGGTTTTGCTTGCCGGATATGTCAAACAAATCCCTTGAAGAAGCGGAAGAGATGTTTGAGCAACGTGTGCCGGCCTGGAGAAGTAGATGTAAGCGCTCCCATTTGACCTGGTGGACAAGTCTAACATGTCGTCAGCCTGGAAACCCACACCACCAGAGGTCGTGGAAGTTGAAGTAGATAAACTCGATGCAGAAGAGACGGAGAGAACGAGTCCTAAGTCGAGCTCACCGCGCGGGGCATAGTCGACACCTAACTATTAGGCACCGGCAGGGATAGTTGTATATACATGTATAGATCAGAAGGGACGCCTGGCTAAATTAGTATGCAAACCACAAGCCATGATTTCAGCTACAACAAACCAGAATTGGAATTCACTGGGCCTGATGACGCCTGTATACGGAGTTGCCTGTTTCGCGGACGAACTTCGGCACCCCCGCACTCGTGGCCTGGAAAGGGTGGGTCCGAGGCTATTGCATGCTTCCGAAGCATATGACGTGCTCATAATGCTAAAGTCGTCGTCCAGCTCGCTGCGATATCCGCTCTCGAAAACATGGCGCCCAGGGCGAGAGCAGAAGGTTCGCAGAGCAATCACGTTTTCATCTGTCGCGCATTGTTAACGTTATAGACAGGTTGCTTGACCTGTATCTCACGCAAGGTCTGTCCGTGCTCTTCGTCGTAAATAGATTTGAGCTCCTTGCTTACTTTTCCTTAGGTCAAGTGCGATGGCCATCCCGATCAGTGCTTGCGTTGCAAAAAGCTGGCTCTTGAGTGCCAATGGCGCAATAATGTGACGGGTGGTGCGGGTGCCACGAGAACGTCCAAAGCAAAGGCTGATCGGCATGTTACCCAAGCTGGACACAGGAGGCTTCGCGCACAAGCCGCTTGCGAGCGCTGTCGTCGGCGTAAACTCAAATGTGAACCCAGTGGCGCTTCTTGTGTGGCTTGCGTCCGCAAAGAAATACAGTGTGTAAGGCATCGTTCTCCTGAATTACAGGCAACCAGATTCCCCTCCCCTGTGTCAGAGGAGCATTTACAAATCCCGCGTCAAGATGAGGAAGCCTCTACCGCTGGGTACGACACCTCCGCAGGCAGCGAAAATGCCTTTGGTACAGAGTCGGGTTCTGTCAATAACTCGTAAGTTAAAGCGTAAACCTATATGGTTTACTTTACTGATATGCGCAAAGGCCATCATCTGGAGTTGACCTGCCTTCCGGAGAAACCCTGACGGCTCTCGTTGATTCCTATTTCAAGCATGTCCATACAGTCTCTTGTAACTTTTTTCTCCATTTCGGTGTATTCTGCGAAGCCATTGAGCAGAAATGCGTGCCGAAGCTACTGCTTTTGGCCGTTTGCGCCGTTTCCGCTAGATTTACTTCTTCTGCAGAGGCAGATAATGAAGGCCGGAGATACTATGCAGAAGCAAGGAGTTTGTTAGCAGATTGCATAGATGACATTTCTCCCAGCAACATCGCTGCTCTTCAGTGTCTAATTGTTTACGAGACGTGGGAGGGGAACTTTGAGGTGGTATGGAACTTAGTTGGTATGTTTAGGCTCGTTATCCTGAAGTCATTAAATAATTCAACTCCACAGGAATCGCGACGCGGATGGCTTCGCAACTTAACCGGGATCTTTTTCTGTCTCCTCAAGCAGACGCGGAAGATATCGAAGATCCTCGTATTTTTATCCGGCAGGAAAGTTACAGGCGTTTGATGTGGTCGATATTCGTCAATAGCGCATTGCTCGGTGCCTCCAGCGGGATTGAAGAGAAGCTGGTCGACAAGCTCCCATTGCCCTGTATTCCTTGGAATTTCATGCACGGCGTTCCATGCTTGACTTCACATCTCGATGGTGGAGAAACCAATGCAAAGCTGTTGCGCGTCACACATCCTCGCGCGTACCTGATCAAGATAATTGTGATCTGGCAGAAGATAAGAGGGTAAGTCAATAACGTTCTCCCATGACGATGGGCCTCAATTAACATACTACAGGTTCGTTTGTTCCTCAACGAACGCACCAGTCAGACAGCCGTACGAGCTCATGGCCGAACTAAGAGCTCTAGAGGAGTCGCTCGCCGACTGGCATACTAGTCTTGCTCGGACTTACGCGTTCGGAGTTCGGCAGATCTACAGTTTTCGCGGCAGTCAGCAGCACGACACTTTCTTGATGCTTCATCTCTGGTACCACTACTGCCAGTGCGAGCTATACGGAACCCCAATACGTGCGCAGGATATGGCTCTTTCAGAACACCAGCTGGACCATATGCAGGCATCGTTCCTTGCCGACTGCGCGGTGAAACGCCTTCACCATGCTAAGGAAATATCGAATATGGTGAAGGATAGACTCCGCGTGGCACCAAGCCCTGGGTCCCATGACGTATGGCTCAGTTTTGGCGTTCTAAGCTCAACTCAGGTCCTGGCGCTGCAAGGAAAGCAGCAGTCTCTGTCTGTGGCCGAGAGAGCGGAGGTTGCGTCAATGTTGAAAGCCAATCTTGAAGCTCTGGAGGCTTCAAAGAGGTTTTTTAAGTTGAGCCAATTAATAGTAAGTTGACGTTCCTTGTTCAAGTGGGAAACGTGTTTGACCTGTAGAAGTACAAAGAGTGTCTCCGGCTGATACGTGATGGCGGTTTCCAAGAGCTGGTCAGCCCACAATTTGACGATAACACAGATAGACCAAGGTAAGCTTAGCTGCATGGCATGAGACAAGCTATCAGCTAACGTCTCAAAGGAACAAGATTGTGTCAAGTGCGTTGGAGTTGCATAAGCTCTATCCTTTCTTGGACAAAGCGAATGTTTCAAGCGTGCCGATAAAGGATGCCCTGTTTGGTCCTGTAGCTGGATCTGAGGCTCGTAGAGATTCATGTGAGGCCCCGAGCATGCAAGCTAGGTCAGCAATGGCTCCCGCCGTTGTACCTCCCGCACCGGGACAAGACGACCTGAATTGGTTGTTGGGCTCGCCGCAAGCGTGGTTGAATGAATGGCCAATCGATATTCCCGGTGGAGGAAGCATTGCACTTCATCATGATTATGGCCTGGGGGTTATGGAATAAATGGCAGTTAAGAAATCGTAGCCAAACAATTGCATTTGGCAATGGCGTAGAAAAACGGAATGCGAATGTATTATCAAGTCGACTTTTGAGGAGAAGGTAACAAAGCAATGAATGCACTAGAAAGTGCGTCCGATTTTGGCTTCGCAACTCAGAGATAATTGTCCTGGTAATTTCTTGTCCATCAACGGCTTGAGGATATTGTTGTTCACTCTTCATCTTCGAAGTTTTTCTTAGCTCCCTCAGACACCTTCGTGTCTGTCAACGCTCTCCAGCCAAGTAGAGCCATTCCCTTGGCAGCCTTGATAGCAGCTTCATGGGCGCTATCTTTCGAGGCTGCTTCGGCAAAAGCTGGATGATGAGCCGAGACGCCCGGGGGCGCCGAGATGCCAAAACCCCCATGGAAACTGGGAACAGCCCAGGAGACGTTACCTGTTATACCGATAAGTAATGTACGTACATTTTGCCCGTGTGAAAAACTTACCCATATCGGTGGAAGCTGTGCCCGGTTCGTCATGCATTGCCAAAACATTCTCGCCCAGCTCAGCCATGTCATCGGCGTAGTACTGGGACAGCGTTCTGTTGACTCGAAGATTTTTATAAAAAGGACCACTGCAGACCGTTAGTATAGTTACGGGAGCGCTTCAACCACATCCAGGAGATACGTACTCAATGTAGTTTAACGTGCAACCAGTAGCGGTTGCTGCGGCCTGCAAACATGCCTTGACCCGCTGGAGGAGATCATTCGCACGCTTCGTCGTCGGACTGCGTACATACCAGTTCATCCTCGTATAGTCCGGGATGACGTTCGGAACCTTTCCGCCGTCTTCAATCACTCCGTGGATTCGCTCGTCCGGTTGGATCTGCTGCCGAAGCATCGAAACGTTGTTGTAACCGGAAACCGCGGCATCTAGAGCGTTGTGACCTTTCCACGGCTCTGCTCCGGCATGCGCCGTCTTCCCAGAGAACTCCACTCGGAACTTGTGACTCGCGATGAGCTTGAACCCCCCGAGTCCACTGTATCCTGACGGATGCAGCTCTCCTCCCGTCGGATGCGCCATGATCGCAGCTACAACGTCGCCTTCGAATGCACCGGCCTTCAGAAGCTGGATCTTTCCTCCACCGCCTTCTTCTGCAGGCGTCCCCAGGATACGGACTTTGCCAGGGACGCCAAATTTGTGGACAGCTCTGGCTGTGCCAATGAAAGCTGCAAGGGAAGAAGTGGCGATGAGATTGTGGCCGCAGGCATGCCCTATCCCGGGGAGTGCATCGTACTCGCAACAGAATATGACGAGCTTGTCACCTGAACCAATTTCCGCTTCAAAAGAGGTGTCGAGACCGTATGCGTGGCGGATTACAGTGAATCCTTGTTTTTCCAGAAAAGCGCAGAGTGTGTCATGAGCGAAGACTTCTTGGTATGCCGTTTCAGGATGGCTATGGATGCTTTTGTTGAAAGCGCGCAATTCACTCTCAAGGGCATCAATGGACTCGTGTATTGTGTTGCGGACATCTGCAATGCTGTGCTCGAGATGCTCGTTTTGCGTCATCGTGCGAGTTGCTATCGGCCGTTTTTAGTTGCTTCGCCTATGAGAAACACGAGGAAGAATATTTTAATCTTGCAGTTCTTTATAGCCAGGGTGCTTATCGACGGTCAAAGGCGGCCTTCGGCTCAAGCAGCGGGGTGCCGCTCATGATGACGCAACAAGTTCATTTGGTTGCGAGGGGAAAAGAGGAGAAATATTTTGTACTACAAGAACAACAACTGCTCGTAAGCAGCCGATAGATTAAACAAAATAGTTCTTGGTTGCTCGCTACTTTGGTTGAAATTATTCTTGCACCGACACCGAAGGAGTTGGTCGGTTTTTCGGGTCTTCGAATCTAGGAATAGGGTTCGGCTCATAGGTAAAACTGCCGATGGAACAATTTCTGAGTCCCACCATTTCCCGTGGCCAATTGTAGCCTTGAACAAGATCTGCCCTCGCTCGACGAGGCGAGGTCGTATAGGAGCTTTCGCCAATGACATGCAAGGGTTCATTCCTCGTTGCCGCGCAAGGGAGTGCCCGGCCCTCTATTACGCTATTTTTGCAGGGTATATATGGAAACTTGAACGCTCAAAGTTTGAGCGGGATCGTAGGATAACATCCCGTCCGGAGAAAGAGGTGTATTGAGGTGCCAACCTCTTCATTGAGGCCATGGAGCAGCAGATGTCTTGTTATTTCGACACTAGCAGCACACCTCCGAGCGAAAAGCCTCGAAGAATGGCGGCAAAAGACGGTTCGTAGAGCCGAGGTCGGGTTGAAATATTGTGCGCGATGGCCTATCCATATTTGTTTGACGGCCAGTTGATATGCTCAGCGAAACTCGCCGAGGGTTCGTCCGTTTCCCTTGATCGTACAGGGAGTTTGAGAAGGAGACCTCATCAACCCCCTTGAGCTCGTTGATAAAGAGGTTGAACTCCCGCGGGTTGAAATGTTGCTGTGCTGTGACGAGCCGGCGGAAACCTTACTGTCACTGCGTGTTGCGTCCTCATCGAGATCTTCGTGTTCGGTGGCCATTACTTCAGGGAAGAATTTCTTTGTCACGAACGAGTCTACAAATTCTTTCCATCGTATGATTTCAGTGCCCGCGTTGTTGAACTCCATCAACCAAACCTGCAGAGATGGGGTTAGGGAGCGAAGCGTGGAAGTCAATGCCGTTTGGTGCTTACAGATTCGTTTTGAAACGGGCCAGAGACGGTCGTTCCACGTGATGTGATCCAGAGACATATCTTGTGAGCAGGGATGTCTTCGACGATATCGTCCACGTTCAGATGGACTTCTTTGAAGAGGTTGCGGAACAAGTTTATGGTACGCAATACGGCAGCGTCGTCTTGGGGCCTCGCTTGTATGGAGGAGGGGTAGATCTCGCGGTTACACAAGGGACTCCGCATGCGTAGGATGGCTTGTCCGTCAAGTCGGTTGACGGCGTCTACGGCAGCAAGCGCGGTCTGCCTCTGTTTCGTCATGGCCGGTGCATCCGAAGACCTGCTGAAGATGGCCGCGACGGCTTCGGCAAAGGGCATGACTGTGGTCGGTTCGTGTCTGAGCCGAGAGACGAAAGCAGGTATTGATTCCCGGTCGACGCAGAAGCGAGAGATGGCTCGCTGAGGGATCGGGCTGCGGCTCAGTAGTAATAAGAGACGGCTTTTCGGCCGATCACATCTGAAACATTGTTACGTGCGAAACGGGACCTTCCAGGGAGCTTCCATCGGCCAACGTCATCCGCTGCATCTCTGCGGATGGGCGAATCAGGTGAGCGACGCGAAAAGGACGAGTGTCTTTATGAGTTGCGAATTACCCCTTAGCAGCAGTTGTACAACGGCGCCTGGCCGCGTCGCACGAATTAGATGAATCGAACGCTTCATGAAGCGAGATTGTGAGGAAGACGATGCACCTGGGCGCCTCAGGGATGGCCGTTGATGGCGAGTCGTGTTTCCTACGGCGTCCAAGGCACCATGACAGCCGCACAGACAGCCCGCTGGGCATCAACGCGGAGCAAGCTCCGAGTGCCTAAAACGGCAACTCGCGGGGCATCGAGTGAGCTGCAAAGGGAGGCCTTCGCCATGCATTTGACCCGCCAGCTTGCACCTCGATCGACTTCCTTCGCCATGGCCGCGGCCTTGGTCGGCAGACAGAGGTATAACCAACGTAGCGGGTCTAACGAGAATGATTACTGACTATCGGCACCAGTGCGGACCGACAGGCCTCTCCACCGAGCCCCACGACTTCTCTGACCGGTAAAGAGCTGGTCTTGTACCGCCGTTCGTCGGATCCGCCTCCAGCCTCCCAGGTGTGCAGAGTACTGGAAGTGCGAAAATCCGCACTGGGAGCTCTAGGCGTCACCGCCATTGTGCGACATGACGCCAGGCAGTCGGCTGCCCCCTCGGAGACGACAAACTCCCCCATCGAATACCCCGTCACAAAGTACGTCGTCGAGCATATGAGTTGGCCGAACTTCAAACGTTCCGGTGGTAGCGAGACGCTCGATGCAGACCTCTTTGCGCTTCTCGATGCTCAGTCACGGTCGGAATGGCTTGGGTCCTTGATGTTTTTCTTCGGAAAGAGCCGGAAAAAGACCCTCTACCACATAAACCAGCCAAGGGTTCCCCAGGAAATAAACCGCAGGAATCCTTCTAGGCTCGCCGCTAGAAGGAAACAATTGGAACATGGTGGCGAGGGTAGTGGTAGCTCGCTCCATAACGGGAGCTAGGTGCCGTCCCGGATATGAAGGGTCTAACGTCCGGGATGATGGAAAGTCGACGATAACAACGGCCTAAGGTGTACGGCTTGAGCCTGGAACTTAATGGACGTACGGCAACAAGCCATGATTGCTATTTGTTAATTGCACATTTTTTTTCTTTTTGCTTACTTCTCCGCAGTCACTTTAATGTTCGACGAACCTCTTTTCTCATGTATGGCTAGAGAGAAGCATGTGTGAAGAAATAATGGTTGTTGAGTTCTTGCTTCTCGTGAGCTCACCGTGGGTTTTCCGTGTGGGATTCCTCGCTAAGGTTACTAAGTTCGGACCATCCTGGTCATTAAGCCTGCTGTATTCTATCGCAAGTAAAATCTAGTCATCTATATATTTTCATCAAATCGGCAAAGGAACCCTAAAATTGTAATGCACAATGTACAGTAGGGCTTATATGGCTCTCTGGGCGTAAGAAGATTTAAAGACAGCTACGCTGCACGGGGAAGGCAGTGCTGCTCTATATCTGAGACTAAGAAGATGCGAAGTTGCCGCCGATAACTGTGCATTGAAAGAATGAGCATTGGTTGCTGACGATATATGGAACAAAACATCTTCAATCCGCTAGCACCTCGAAAGTTTATTTGGCTAAGTCGCTAGTAGTATCTACTGAATGTTGAGGGACGCCGACAATGAAGGAACCAACAGCTTCTCGGCGCAAATTATTGACTGCAGGATAGACATGAAGTTGCGAAAAACTCAAAGAAATCTCCCAATCAAGTCATATAGATCGCAGATGGTCCACTATGATCTACCGATACGAGTCGAGTAAGCGAAACGTTGCGTCGACGAGTCATCTGTGGGGAAAGAAGAGCTCTAGAAGGGCGGCTGCTTCTCTAACCCAGAATTATCTCCAAGAGCTTATTTACATGATTAAATCCCACGGCTCTTGTAGAAGATCTTTTGTGCGTCATCCATAACCGCCTTTACCTTCGCGGACTCCAGCTTCTCCTTGCGGTCAAATGTGTAGAGACCATTGGTCTCCTGCTCGATATCCGCGCTAATGAAATAATGTTAGCTCGAGTCAACACTCCAGAAAATTAAAGCCTCGCGACACTTACAGCTGGGTATATACGAAGCCACTGCAGTGGCCTTCTTGGACAATTCCGTTCATGAGTAGCTGGAGCCTCTTGAGCAGATCCTCCGGGTCGCTCGCAGTCGTGTAGCCCCACTCGCTGTCCTTATTTCCGGCATCCATGGCGATGTTGACGCCACCAAACTCCGTGTTCATGACCACACTGCCCGGACGGTATTCTGAGCCCGGGTCAACGCCTGGAATAGGAGCAACAAACATGCCTCGGCCAGCCTTCGGCCCAAGGATGCCTTCCATAGTGGAGCAAGTCTTGGTCAAGGCGGGAGAATCGCTGTAATCGTGGAAGGAAGTTATATCTGTGCAGACGTGCTCCCACCCGCAGTTGTCGTTGATCGGCCTCGTGGGATCAACAGACCTAAATATTCGTTAGCCCGAAGAGAAACAACTATGACAAGCTTACGGTGCCTTACTTGGTCAAGTAGTAGAGAGCCCGGATGTGGTTCCGCTGCTGCACGTTGTCTTTGAGGGATGTGTACGCCCAGCTTTCGTTTACGGGTGTCCAGGTGACGATAGATGGGTGGTTGATGTCCCGGTTGACCGCCTCCATCCACTCCTGGTTGATTCTGTCCATGTAATCCAGACCGAACTCGTAAGCATTGGCAAACTCTCCCCACACCAGGAAGCCCAACCGATCAGCCCAATAGAGGAAGATGGGATCTTCCACCTTCTGGTGCTTCCGGCAGCCGTTGAGCCCCATCTTCTTCGCGAGCACAATGTCTGCCTTCAAGCTGTCCGCTGATGGCGGCGTCAAGAACGTGTCGGGCCAATATCCTTGGTCCAAACAGAGCGCTTGGAAAACGGGCCTGCCGTTAATTTTGAGCGCGCCCTCTCCAGTAGTCCAATCAAGTGACCGCATGCCGGTCTGGGTTTTCACTTCATCTACAACATTGTCGGAGGAGTCGAAGAGCCGCAGAGTAATGTCGTACAGTAAAGGATGCTCAAGCGACCACAGCGCCAGGCCATTGAGCCAGCAGCGATCATTTTCCAACGGCGCTTCCTGGGTGAATGAGCCCGGCAAGCTAGCTGACTGCTCCTTCGACAGACGCAAGTTGAGATCGAGGTTCACATGATCCGTCTCCTTGGGCAGAGTCTTCCTTTCAGACTTGCCGACTACGACACCCCCGATGCTCGCTTCCAGCTCCACACCACACTTGTGGCCCGCTCTTCTGCCCAAGACGGCAATCCTGGCGTGGAGGTCTCCGCTCTCGATGTCGTTAGACCTCAAGACGGTTCCACGGCTGCTGTCTGCGATCCTGGCTGTCGGGACCGTTTCGAGCCAAACAGATTGCCAGATGCCGCCCGATGGCGTGTAGAAAATGCTTTCGGGTTTCGCGCCCCAGTATTGCTTTCCGCGAGGCTGCGTCAGGTCATAGGCGGAGTCATACACGCGCAGAGTCAGGCGTTGCGGGCCCGGCGAGGCGGACTCAAGAGCGTCGCTGATGTCGATCTCGAACGGCACGTGACCGCCCCTGTGGCCTCCGACATACTGGCCGTTCAGCCACACCTTAGCCTCGTAGTCAACCGCACCGAACCTCAGCAAAACCCTGTCGCCCCTACTCTTTTCATCCACAGTGCGGATATCCTCAATGCTGCGTTCATACCAAAGAACCTCGTGATCACCGCGCTCATTGATCCCGGAAGCCGGCGATTGAAACACGAAAGGCACCTGGATCTGACGTTTCTCGTTAGTCGCAGCACCCTTGCTGCGGAGGGCCAGGTTGTCTTTCAGCAGCGTCTGCGTGCCGGCAGCGATCTTGTGAGTGATGCTCTCGCTGTCGGCACCCTGAGTAGCTTCGGACGACTGAAATCCCTTCACCAACACCTGCGAAGGGAGGCCCTTGAGCTGCCAGCGCTCGTACAAGCCCGAATCGTCATCGTCGAAGAGAAAGTCCCATGGGCCGTTCAATGATTTCCAACGCAAGCTGGTGCGCTCGAAGTCGGGGCGAGGGTAGGTGGTCATGATGCAGAACTTTGAGTGGAAAGGCGATAAAAGAAGGACAGTTTCTCGATGAGAGGTAGGAACGAGGACATGGTTAACTTATGAATGGCTGCGTGCGCGTACAGGTGGCATTCGCGGGAGACGTGGGTCGCGATTTTGTGGGGTAAGTGGGGTCGCCAATTAGTTTGACGCGAGCGTTCGCCATGACGTCTCAACACCATAGACACGATGAGAAAATTCATCTACATTCTCCAGAATTGCAGACAGCCATGCTACCGGAAGATAGGCTATCCATCGCGTGGAACAAGCACCGTCGGGAGAAGACGCCTCGTTTCTTCCCAGGAGCACAGAGCAGGTCCGGGTCGCGTCTCGACTGCGGCAATTCCATCATCGAATGCTTGTAAAGGCCGTGATGCGTCGGCCAGGTGGCTATCAAGCCGGTAGAAAGACCTCAGCCAAAATGTTTTCTCGGGTGTTACTGTCAGCGACGAAGGTTGGAGTGGGCTGCGGAGACTGCCAAATGCTGGTCCGCTTTCCAACCCGCTTAATCTAATGAGCCGAAAGGCAACGGAAGTCGTTGGGCTACTGGAATGCACCGAAAAGGTCGTAGGTTTGAGGGTACCATCTTGTCCCGTCTCCAAGCCCTGACTAAGATTACAGGGCCGAAACACCTTCCGTTTTCAGGCACAACACAAGCTGATGCCCGGCAGAGGCGTGCCGAACAGCTGCGCAATAGAGTTAGTCAACTCCGCTCGTGGCCTCCACGTTTCTCTCAGCCATGTGCTGCACCGTGTCAGATTTCGAAGGACTAGCTGCCAATCAGCATAGGTAAGAGCATAATTAGTACAATGCTCCAGCTTACGCATACCAATATCGTTTCATCCGGATTCTAAAACAAGGAACGCACAGATATGTCTTTGCTGATGGTCGCCTGGATCATGCTGCAGCTTCCAGGTCGCCACGAGCCATCTTCCAGATCACGGATATCCAATGGTTCCATTGTTTAAAACCGCGGGATATTCATTTCTGCTAAAGACATCTCCGCTGGCCCTAGCACCCGTTGGTAACCACATGAGCCGATGCATTTTTCATCACGCTCCGGAGTGAGATCAGTGGGGTTCCTCATCACTATGCTTGGGTGATTAGCCACGCCAGCCTCTGCCAACCCCAATATCGTCTGATGTTTCCTCAAATCCCATTTGGCCGGACTGGGCGACCCATTGACTACTGATAAACCCGTCCGAAGCCGTCTCCGCCTCGTGGACATAAGCGGACACAAATTAATGCCTGGTATGTCAGGATGCATTGCATTCAACATCCCCGGGAAATGCCGGACTGAGGTAAATTCGAACAATGGTATACCGAGGATTCCAGGCTCTTTACGGCTATCTTTACGCCCTTAGTGGGTTCTGATGCGCGTTTTAAAGAGGATCGTAGATGGTAATAGATGGCGTGGGTTCCCAGAAACAGCTTTTCCACCGACACGGGGAACCCGTCTAACAACATGGCCATCCTATGTACAGTTAGTCGACTTGGCAAAGAGCAGCCGAACTCACAGCGGGGAAATCCGATGCGAATTCAGTCGGAACCAACCAGCTGTAAGCTCAAGAAAACACCTTTTGAGGCCCTTTTACTGCTTTCAGAAATATTCAGCGCACGACAGGTCTGCTGATGACAGTACGCCATCTTTTTAGTTGGCAGCTGATAGATTAAGTCATGTTTTCACTCGACAGCTGACAAAGTTACACCAATATGCAAGCTAGGAGAAAGAGGCAAAAAGGCGCAACCACAACCAAGTAACCACAGGTAACTCCATTCTCATTCCGTAAGTCTATGTCTATGACCAGAATTTCGCTATTCTCAAAATTGTACTGTCTTCTTAGGCCACACTATCCATGCACTCATGAGCAGGAACTTGATACCCATGACAACCCACAACGCCGCTTCAACACCTTTTGTTGCCTTGGAGATCCAACCTCCTGCAATGGCACCAACAAGCGTGAGGGTGAAAGCAGCAATCCTCCTGTTACGCTTGATGTTCTGGGTTAAGCCAGCCAGGATTGCCGTGTCTGACATGAGGTCACATAGCAAACTCGTAATGACAACGGTCGGGATTTCGCCCAGAGCCAATGCGCGGCTAGTCACGATTTGGCCGGCGGATTGGAAGCTGAGCATCGCGACAGGCGCGAGTTCATTCCAGCGCACCACTCCCGGGTCTGAGACATTGGGCACGTTTCCGTTAATAGCGCCCCCTTCGACGATGGCGGCGGCGACCATGACGAACAAGGTTTGAATGAGGAAAGATAACACCAGGGTTCGTCGACACCTTGGACCGAGGAAGTTGTATAGGCGGGAGAAGAACAAGGACCCGAGAATGAAGAAGCCAATGGAACAGAGAGATCGAGCCCAACCGTAAGGTTTGGTGTTTTGATTGCTAGCACCAAGGGCGACGAAGATGGTGTTTCCTTGACGTTTTCAGTATGTTGAGGGCAATGATGCATGATAGGACAGCCAAGCACTTACCCGTTTGCATGGAGACGAAGGTATTGTACGCTGTAGCGGAAGACCATTAGTGACTGGATGGAGGATGATGGGTGGAAGGAGGGCGTTACCATTGTAGAGGGTGCTGTCTGTCAGGCCAGAGGCAAGAGAGCACAACAGGAGCAGCAGGTCGGTGTTTTCGGGGCTGACTTCGGCAGATGCATGGCTCAAGACACGCACACTGAAGCTCTTGCGGGGAGGAGGATCATCAGGCCGGCCCAGGTCGGGCGTAGAGGTGTCGAGCTTGCCCTCGATGTCCATGGCGAGAGATTAAAGCGAAGAGGGGCAAAGGAAAAGCGTGAGAAAGAGTGAAATGCGGTCGACGGCGACAAAGGTTAGCTCTCAAGGGCTGGGGGCCGGGCACCCATGATTTACCTTTATACGGGCCGCGCCGATCCCACCCGACATCCAAACGCCCACGCGCATCTCCACGAGCTGGCGTGCGACCCCGGCGTTTACTACGCCGGCGACCCAAAAACGCGCTGACAGGTGCAGCCCCATGCCTGCATGTGCTACGGAAAAACTGGCGCCTGTGTAAGACTGGGCACAGCGACAAATTATTGGCGCACCCCGCGCCCGGGGTCCGTGGAGTCCGCTCCTTCGACAGCGGGTCGGCTTGGCAGAATGAGGGAACGTTGGAGAATGTTAAAGAGACGCTCTGGACCATCTGCGGTGACGCGGCAGCTACCTTGGCACCCACGCGACAACCTTGGAGGCGGAAGGTCCGTCTTGGCGGCGGAGATGCGGGATGGTACCCGAGGCTAACACTGCTTGGCGCGGCTCGCGAGACCCACTGCTGGCGTTCCGCCCAGGCGACCTCTTATCTCTTGGCTGACGGGAGGGGCGCGATCGGGGAGGCTGATGCGGGCCAAGACGGACGGGAGGGCGGGTGCATGGCGAATACGATTCTGCAGATCCACCAGCCGCAAATCGCGCGCAGTCGTCTGTCTAAATCCGGTCGAGCTCGCGGGCGTTCCCCAAACTACTCCACTACTTCCCCCGCTGATCAATTGCTAGAGACAGCGACTGTGTAAATTAGATGTCTCCCCGCACCACCGATGTACCAAGAGTCGGAAAAACATCCACCAAGCAGCCCATTACTTGGCCAAACGCACCCATACTCCAAACGGGAAAGACCGAGTTGTTTGTTGTTTGATCAACAACCCTCATCGCCTACCCTGGGCTGCATAGAGCGCCAAGTACCTATTGCCACAACCACCACTCTTCCTGCATAGTGGAGTGGCCATGGCTGGCTGGGGGCGCATAGTCCTACCACTTTCCGGCACCATCTCCACCGCACCTTGATACACAGCATGGTAGGGGGCTGGGCTATGTTTCCCAGGTGACTGCGGCTGGACATTGTGGAGGCAAAGAGAAGGAAAAGAAACAATTCACAAAGGATTGCAGGGACAGGTGAAGCACCCCCAAGTCGCCAGTCTGACTTGCTGAGACTTTTTCGGCAGACAAGGATAAGCGACCATATCAACGTGCTTCGCTTCGAGTCTCACGCCAAGGGCAACCATTGGGCTTCAGGGATCTATCGACCAACCGGACGCAAAGTTGGCAGCATGCCTTGGCCAAGCTCAAAGCGGTAGCGGGAGTGTCAGTATCCGGCACCTGAACTCTTGCCGAATGACCAGACTAGAGAATCCTTTGAGATGTAGGAGAGGGCATCGGCCGCCATCACTGTCTGCGACTTTCCAATTCGGGACTGTCAGCCGGATGACGGGCCAGGACAAGGTAGAGAGTTTCGGGTGTGGACGCGAATTTCCCGCATGTCAGTCTGACATGCTAAGCATTCAATTTGGATGATGTGGGGGATAAACCATCGACATGCAAAAGCAGTAGGGTGTTCGGGGTGATAGTCGCCGATATGCGGAGTCCGAAGGGGGTACTACAACACTGTTGTGTATATAAAGACCTCTCGAAAGCCCAATGGTTTCTTTCTCCAGACAAGAGCAAAGCATCTCCTCAAGGCTTCCCTCTCAAGACTTCTTTGAACACCTCAGTTTCGCACATCAATACAGCAGCAATGGCCCCTCACGCTATCCAAGACCCCTCTGATGAGCGCCCTGTTTCGTTCTCTGAAGACAGGCCCGTCGAGACTTTGGCCATTCAACCCGAGGCGGTCAACAACACAGTCTCGTCATGGTTGACGCTCAGCGCCGCCAGGGCTCTTGAGAACCTGAAGCAACAGCCTGAAAGCAACAGCGGAACTTCAAGTGAGGTTCCTGCTGTGCTCACAGAGCTCATCAACACTGCGGACCAGCAGTCGGTTGTCGACGCTCCTGTGGAGGCGGCGCCGGCTGTTGCAGCGGACCTTTTGCCTCCCTCGGGTGCCAGGAAGCTCAAGTACATGTTGGAGCACACTGACGAGCTGATTGTCTGCCCGGGTGTCTACGACGGCTTGTCCGCACGAACCGCTCTGGAGGTCGGCTTCTCCGCCATGTACATGGTAAGTTCTACAAGGACCACCCAAAGAAGACAAAGCTAATGCTTGTTGCTTCCTAGACTGGTGCTGGCACCACAGCTTCCCGCCTGGGCCAGCCGGATCTGGCCATTGCTCAGCTCAGCGACATGAAGGCTCATGCTGAGATGATCGCAAACCTCGATCCCTACGGCCCGCCCCTGATTGCCGACATGGACACTGGCTACGGAGGTATGGACTCTAATTTCCTTCATCCCGGCACAAGCTGATCGTATGGAACAGGACCGATCATGGTCGCCCGAAGCGTGGAAGAGTACATTCGCGCGGGTGTTGCCGGTAAGTCACTTGTTGGGAAGTCCCTGTCGCTGTGCATTGGTCTAACCGGTTCTAGGCTTCCACATTGAGGACCAAGTACAGAACAAGCGCTGCGGACACTTGCAGGGGAAGAAGGTTGTGTCCAAGGAAGAGTACCTCTCCCGCATCCGCGCTGCACAAGACGCAAAGACCAGACTGAGGTCCGACATTGTGCTCATCGCCCGCACCGATGCCCTCCAGACCCTTGGCTACGACGAATGCGTCAGCCGTCTCAAGGCAGCGCGCGATCTCGGTGCAGATGTCGGTTTGCTTGAAGGTTTCACGTCGAAGGAAATGGCCGCCAAGTGCGTCAAGGAGCTGGCTCCTTGGCCCCTCCTCCTGAACAGTGTCGAGAATGGCGCTAGCCCACTCATCACCGTGGAAGAGGCGCGCGAGATGGGCTTCAGAATCATGATTTTCTCTTTCGCGACTTTGGCACCGGCTTACGTCGCCATCAAGGATACTCTGATGCGCCTCAAGGAGCATGGCGTTGTTGGCACTGGCAAAAATATCACGCCAGTCAAGCTGTTTGAAGTTTGTGGCCTGAAAAACTCCATGGCCATTGACATGAACGCCGGTGGTTTGGCGTTTGCTGGAGGTGTCTGACACTTCGGAAGGTGGCGATTTTCCTTTTTTCTTTTTTCCCCTTTTGTGGTACCCGATTGCATTCAAAGTAGCACCATTTTCACATGCGGCTGATTGCTTTTGCTTCGATAAGATGTCTCCTACAATTTTCTCAGCTGAAACAACCAAGCTTTACAGAAACAAATTCTTGCATTTTCCTAAATTTGTTAAGGTGCTTACATGACACAGTGCTGACATGAAGCATCTCTATCGTGATTGGCTCCATGACGTGGTGATCGAAATTGAACGTGCTTTTTACTTAACCTATAGAATCGGACTTCGCCGAGTTGAATTCTAGACTTCGCCCCGACAGAACAAGGTCAGCCCCTGCAGCTATAGTTGATCCGATGGAAGTTCTACAACCGAGAAACTGCCGTTCTGCACAGCCATTACAGAGTAAGCCGCCTCATCCAATCATTTCTTATGCGTCTAATGCGATAGTGTATAGGGATTCTAGATTTTTCTAGATAGCACAACTTCGAGCTAGTAGTAGGCAGGCAACAACTATCATTCTCTCAACCACTCGCTTTCTGTCGCTATAAATCAATCCTTATAACCTTGCAGGAACCGCCATTCGCATCCCTACGTGCCTGGGCTAGCTAACTAAGTAGCCGAGCCTCCTGGCGCCGTTGTGCTACTACTACTGCCAGACCCACCGTCCCTACTGCTGCGCCCGCTGCAGAACAAGGAGTGAAGGCTGAGCCTCCACACTACTCACACTGCTATCTCTTTTTTTTTTATCATAATATATACATTCATGACGCGATTCCTGTACTTTAAAAGACTCCATCTAAGCGTAAAAACTTACAGCGGAAAATCTCAACAACAAGAAAATAAAAAGTAAAAAAGGTGTTTCCAGAGTTTCTAGAATATCTAAGAAGCGCTTGTAACGTAGTGACAAGAGTATAATATGAAGGATTAGAGTTTTAGCGGTCGACGTTCTTCCTTAGATTGGCGTGCGGCGTCCGGAACCTTAACGCCACAGGGCGCCTAATATTACTTAGTGCATCCTACGATATATTTATACTCTACACCGCCACCTTAGACCGGCATACATAACCCGAGCAGCCCAAATCCTAGGCGCTGAATTTCTGTGTTCCAAGAGGGAGATCGTCCGACAGCACGTCGGTTTTTGGGGTTCATCTTCAACTGAACCCAGCCGCAACCATGAACCCCTCTACACGATACCAAACATGTAATATCGCATCTGAAGCTATCTATGCAATGACTAACCGAGAGTCAGTACAAACACAAGGACAACCTTCTGTTGACGGAGACCCATCACCACAGAAAACAACTATGGTAGATTGCGGCCGTCCAGTCTCTGTGACCGAGAAAGATAGTTCGACCCCGAAAATGTGGACTCCATTCTGGCTCCGTCGGTCAACTATGCTTGCGCTCGGTATATGCTTCGCTCTTATGGCAATTGCCGTGATACTGCTCTACCATTATTCCAAGTTCAACAATGGCCTGACCGTCCAGGAAGAATCGCGACACTACTTATGGACGTTTGGGCCTACAGCATGTACGGGATTACCTTATGAAGATTGTATTGATGCCTTTTTCTAACTTGAAATAGTACTTACTATCGTCATGAGCATTTGGGGCCAAGTCCACTTTTCAACGAGAAACATGATGCCCTGGAGAGAGCTAGGCAACGGCCCAGCGCCAGCTGAAAAGAGTATTACTCTGGACTACATCTCGCCGATGTTTCCAGAAGTAATTATATACAGCTTCAGGAAACGACACTGGGCAATTGTCGCATCATCAGTAGCCGTTTTGCTATTAAAGCTAACGGTAAGTCTATATGGAGCTTAGACACCTACACCCACGATTGAAGGTAACTAATATTTAATAGACAACCTTTTCAACAGGCCTTATCCAACTTGAGCCAACCCAGTTCGAAGTTGACAAAGTTCGAATAAATATTACGTCCAAATTTGACGCCTCGGAATTTAACACGGAGGAACAAACAATTGGTCCAATCCCCGGTACGATTGTCTACGGCGCTCTTTCCCAAGGTCTTCAATATCCTATCGGTACTAGCGCAGATGTTGCGTTACAAGACTTCAGTCCGAGCAACCCAACACCTCGAAACGGAGTGTATTCATCAGAAATTCTTGGTTTCTCGCCTTCGTTTGACTGCGAGACCTTAACCATCACCAACGACAGTATCACAACTAGGAGCCTGCCTTGGTACAGCATAGGGGCGAAGTTTTACACCGTAAACATTACTGCTGCGGACTGCAAGATTGACGGTGCGATAGTCGCAAGGACCGCAGACCATCATTACTTGCACCGTGAGAATGTTACTCAGAACTTTCAGGGAAATTTCCAAAACTACACCTGTAACGATGGGGTAGACAACAGTCTTGATGAGGACATGCGACCGGACCATACTTCTTATCCAGACCATCGATACCTTATAACAATGGCGGATCTCCGATGGATCGCAGCGAACGGCACTGGGATGGATCCAAAATACTATTGGCTGCAGAGCCTTACAGCCGTCCTTTGTCGACCTTCGTACACCATGAACACTTATCTCGCGAGCAAATCCGTACAAAGGAACAATTCTCAAACTACGATGACGAGCAAACTTCTTCATAAAGGATCAGAAGGACTAGCAAAATTAACGATTGGCAAACTCGCGGGAGCAATTACTGAAACTATTTCCAATACGGAGCTAGGCACAGGTGATGAGGATTATGTCGTCTTACCCGTGCCTAGTTTCTTCCGGTTCCTCACTACGATGAACGACGGCTCAAGGCTAGAGCCCTTTATGGACGACAAGCTCTTGAAAAGACTTAGTTCCACTGTCTGGAACGCTGTCGCGGTACAGTTCGTGCGACAATATATTATGGCTCCAACAGAAGAAGCTACCCTTGGGCAGGCTGCCTACAGCGAAATGCGCCTTCAAGTCAAATTGCTTTCAACCATACTTATGGCGGCCCTTTTGGGGATGGCTTGCTGCACGACACTATGTATATGGTGGTTCAGACCTAAGACTAATCTTCCCCGGGACCCTTCACCGGTTGCTGCATTAGTTACCCTCTTAGCAGCGAGTCCCGAATTCTCCCAGGTTATGACTGGTATGGGAACACTTGAGGCTAGCCAAATCTGCAATGTCACCAATGGCAAACTTTTCCGGTCGATCAGGTCACACCAGAACTTTGCCCTTGAAGTGATAGCGGATCAAAAACTGGAAGAAAAAAGGTCCCAGTCATTACGAACAAAGGAACTTGCGTTTAAGTGGTGGAAACCACTTGCAGCACAATCATGGTTCCTGCTCTTAACAACGGCCCTTTCGATCATTGTCGCTGTGGTTCTTATAGTACTACAGCATGTTTCGGACAATACTCAAGGGCTTGTAGACGTTACTCCGGATTCTCACGTCCTTCCGAAGTACATCCCAGCACTCGTTATGCTTATCATCGCGGCTCTTTTTTCGAGTATTGAAGGCACTTCCGCGATATTTGCGCCATTTTCGAAACTCAAGAAGGGCAACGCCTCTGCAGCAACGTCGATCGAACTTAGCGTCACCAACAAGCTGCTTACGCAAGCTATAGTCGTGTCAGCCAAAGGACGCAGTTTCCATTACATGCTTAGTGGCATTGCTTTGTTCTTGGCCGGGTTCTTGACTATTATTGTCTCCGGACTTTACACGGTCGCATCTGTTCCTGTAAACGAAATGTTAACACTTACTGAAGTTGACAAATTCAACTTTAGTCAAGGGAACCTGGCGATTGATGACAACAGCGCCGCTGCAACATTGGGTCTTCTCCAATACTCTAACCTAACCTACCCTCATTGGACATACGAAAATCTGGTACTCAACAAACTGAATGCCCCAAGGAATTTCGGGGCAGAAGGCACTCTCAGTGTGAATGTTACGGCCTATCGAGCACAACTGGACTGTACGACCTACCTTACTCACCAAAAGACCCTTCATAAAAACCAAGGCACGGCGAATAATTTTGAAATCGAGATAAACACCACTGTACCCATCCAGTGCGCACACAGCTTTACCGAAGAGAAGACGACGAATTGGAGTCAGCATTACTATATCCCATATAATAAATCTGGCACGTATATCGGTCACAGCAGTCTCTTACAGTGGGATCTCGATTATTCAATCCTTAAAGGGGATGGCGCGGTTAGTACAAATCTTGGTAATGGGGTCAGCTTACTATACCAAGATTTGCCAACTGGAAATTTCGGATGTCCGACTTTTGGATTCAGCTTAGGCTCCTCTACTCTACAAGAATCTGGAAACTCAACTCTTGTTGACACAGCATTTACCGCCGTCATGTGCTACCAGACCTTAGAGCAAGTAGACACCAACGTTACGTTCCATGCCTCGGACATGTCTATCGACACTACTCACCCACCGGTACCCGACGAGTCTACGGTCAAGCGTATTCAAAATCCATCTACATCTAGCGATATTTGGGAATGGCATATTAATAGTTTTGTCGCCAACTTGAGAGACCTCAAAGAAAATTCTGCAGTACCAACACTCGACAAAAAGGGCAATCTTCTCAACGACGTCGACGGATTTATCCAAACACTTGTCGACGGTAGGGATGGGGTGCCATTCGAACAGTTGGTTGGTGAAGAAAATCAGCATTACCTAGTAGATGCAGCTTCGCGTCTGTATTCGGAATACATGGCACAAGCTATCTCTACCAATATGAGACAGACGATAACCCAGGGAGACGCCTCGAACGCACGCCAGGCCCAGCTGATAAATTCCAAGCGCTGGCGGCTCCGGCAAAATCCTGGACCGGCGATTGCCCTTGAAGCTCTACTGTTTGTCCTGGCGGCTGCCTCCCTAGCGATCACTTTTCTTTGGGACCGGAACGAAGTGCTTCCCCACAACCCCTGTTCAATCGCAGGGACTGCGACACTTCTTGCTGGATCGGAGTTGTGCACTCGCAGATATATTCCAGAAGGCGCGGAGTTACTCTCCGCGAAAGAGCGAAAGGCTGCGGGGCTTTTTAATAACTTGAAGCTTCGGATAGGAAGGTACGAGGATGCCGCATATCCAGCTGAAACGAGGGTCGGTATTCATGTGGAATCTTCTGGAGTTGGGGTCTAAGAGCTTGGGTTTTCTACGACAATGCTTGGTTAATGATCGCATTTCTCTTACGGCATATTATATATATAGGTACTTGCCATCCTGTAATTAATTGATTCTGTATCTTGCCAGCCGCGATAACTCCATCATCTACGAAGTAGCTAGGTCTTCAGCACAGCGTAATCGATATGATGCTTCGCCGTAAGCAAAAATTTCCTGATCCCAGCTGAATTTCAGCAGATTAATTTATACCCACGTGCTGTTTTGTTGAGCGAGCCGTACCACGAAATGTCTCGCAAAATATCATGCTGGACATGGAAGCTCAACCCAGTGCACATTTCACAGTACACTCCCGTGGACTCTGACACGGTCGCCTAACTTAGGCATATCTGCCTTGTTCGCCGCCTCCAACAAGAATACAAAAGAGTAAACAGCAGCTGCGCAGCCCATTGGATCTGGAAAGGCGCTGTTACACAAGGGACAGGGATTCTGCTGCTATAAATACCCCTCTTAAGCTCATACCCCGCACCTTTCATCTCCGGCTAAAAAACGAGCTTTGAACTTCAAGAGGTATCCGATATGGCCTCTTTAATTACTCAGTATCTTCGCACCTTGATTCAAGCAAAAAAATCGACTCTCTGCGTCAGCGCAGATGTAACTTCGGCTGCGGCGATGCTTTCGTTGGCCGATACCGTTGGCCCCAGCATTGTCGTCTTCAAGACGCACGCCGACATGCATACAGGCTGGAACGCCGACCCGGAGCACGGTACTGGACCACAGTTGGCCGCCCTTGCACGCCGCCATCGCTTTCTGATATTCGAAGACCGCAAGTTCGCCGATATTGGTTTTACCGTTCAGCAACAGTACGCGGCTGGTGACTACCGCATTCTCGACTGGGCACACATTGTCAACGCTCATGTACTGCCTGGCCCAGACATGATACGCGCGCTCGCATTGGAAGCGACCAAATGGAAGGAACAGCAGCCCGCGCTGAAGTCCGACGAAACAATGCCTTTTGCTACTCCCTATCAAAACATCGCGGAGCCGCCAAACGATCGCGCTTTACTTCTCCTTGCGCAAATGACCTCCGCTGGTAACCTGCTCGACGCCAGTTACACTGAAACATGCACGACTATAGCCCGACAGCAGCGGGACTTTGTCATGGGCTTCATTGCGCTGGGTCCGCTCAACTGGGAGCCAGAAGATGACTTTGTTGTGATGACACCAGGCTGCGCGCTTCCGTTGGAAGAATCACTAGACGGGTCCGAGTTCGCCGGGAGTGATCCTCTAGGTCAACAATATATAACTCCTCAAGAGCTAATGCTACGCGGTTCCGATATTATTATCGTTGGGACGGGAATCTGTAACGCCAAAGATCCGGCTGCAAAAGCAGAGCAGTATCGACGAGTGGCATGGGAAGCGTACGAAAATCGAATCATAAGCATTAAGCTCTAGTTATTAACGTCCCTCGCCTATGAGAGTTTTACCGTTCGGCGAGCGCACCAATTTGAGACTCATGATAGTAACATTAGAATACTCTATACGTATATCCACCTACTAATGACCCTAATTCTAGGCATAGATATGAGAGAAAGATGGCGTAATTACCTAGCTCCGCCTCCGCTCGGATCTTCGGCACTACCCTACGTTATGGCTTCACTAAGAGATAATAACAGGTACTCGATTTCGCTGGCCAGGCACGGCTTGCTGCTGATCACATGCGCAATGTATCCCTGCTAGTGTTGCATTCGACGTCGGTTGCCTTCCCTAGCAGGAAGTTAGAAACCTCAAGTGCGGAGAGGTGGCTCCGCATTATTCATGGGGATCTTGGAATATTGGATCTGGGGATTGCCGCTTGCGCGATTAATCCTAATCCTGGGTTACTACTGGGCCAAACCTTGGCAGAACCCCGGTCATTACAACTAAACTGCGACTCCCTTTTCTGCCCGGAAGCAAGATATAAACCCCCTTCATCCGTCAGCTTTGGGTGCCCTAAGACGCAGCCACATCTTCTTCAACAGTTGATGAGTTTTCGGCCCCTTGCCTTGTCGGCTCTTACTACTCTGAACCATCTTGTTTTATTTATTCGACGCTAAGGATGTTTCCCATCCACAGCCGCGGCGTAGGGCTCTCCAATCTTTACCTACTTGCTGGAATTATCTGGACCTGGACTTTCAGTTACCTAGCCAGTGCTGACGATTTTCGACCCACGTTTCATTTCGTCCCAGAGCAGAATTGGATGAACGAGCCCAATGGCTTGATAAAGATTGGATCCACATGGCATCTTTTCTTTCAGCATAACCCCACTGGCAACTTCTGGGGTAACATAGTTTGGGGCCATGCGACCAGCACGGACTTGGTCAGCTGGAAGTATCTACCGGTTGCTCTCGGCAATGAGGACGGCGTCCAATCATTCACGGGAACCTCTTATTACGATGAAGCAAACACATCTGGTCTGGGCACCGAAGACAGCCCACCATATCTTGCATTCTTCACCGGCTACTTTCCTGACACCGGTGTTCAGGATCAGCGACTTGCGTTTAGCCTAGACCAGGGCGCCACTTGGACCAAGTTCGAGGCAAACCCGGTCATATCTGAGGAGCAGGAGGCACCGCACGACGCAACAGCCGGCTTGGAGACGCGCGACCCAAAGATCTTCTTCCACGATGCTTCGGAGAAATGGATAATGATTCTCGCACACGGAGGACAAGACAAGATGACGTTCTGGACATCCCCCGACGCGAAAGAATGGACTTGGCAAAGCGACTTTACCTCCGATGCTATTGCCGGTCTTCCAGGCGACGTTACAGCCTGGGAGGTTCCTGACTTTTTCCAACTTGCCGTCGAGGGTTCTACCGAAACGAAATGGGTCATGTTGATAACTCCTGCCCAAGGGTCTCCCGCTGGTGGTAACGGAGTGTTTGGAATCACTGGATCATTCGATGGTACCAAGTTCACTGCGGACCCGGTTGACCCAGCTACTATGTGGCTTGATTACGGACGGGATTTCGATGGTGCCATGAGTTGGGAAAACGTACCCACGTCCGATGGGCGTAGGATAATTTCCTCTGTGATGAACAGCTACGGCGACAACCCACCGACGACTACGTGGAAGGGCATGCTTTCGTTCCCGCGCACGTTGAAGCTCAAGAAGATTGGCGAAGAACTGCGCTTTCTCCAGCAACCAGTCGAGGAACTGGACGCGGCAAGCACAACAGTCACGCATATAACGAACGAGACCCTCTCTCCCGAGCAAACACTGCTGTCGAGTATTCACGGGCGGGCGTTAGACGTCCGCATTTCTTTTGTTCCAAGTGCAGACTCTAACCTATCTCTTTCGGTCCGAAAAGGCGAATCTGAAGAGACGGTGATTATCTACGCCCAGTCTAGTGGGACAGTTTCGGTCGATCGTCGCGCGAGTGGTGATATCTCCTGGGACCCAGCTGCAGGTGGTGTTCATTCTGCGCCTTTGTCACCAGATGCAAGCGGTGTAGTACAACTGCGGGCTTTGGTAGATGAGTGTTCCGTGGAGGTCTATGGCGGCGAAGGTCAGGTGGTGATTTCCGATCTTATATTCCCCGCAACAGCTTCTGACGGCCTTTCCTTGACTACGGCTGGCGGAAATGCGGAATTACTCGAAGTAGAAGTGCTCGAGGTTTCATTGTAGCTAGGATTTGCTGTTAGCGCTCGCTGCTAGGCCTACTATAATCGCTCTACCTGCTACTGTCGCCCTACTTAATACTCTGCTGTCTCTCGCTGCTGCGCCTTCCGTAGTCGCTTTACCTGCTGCTGTCGCCCTACTGGACGCGCTGCTATAGTCGTTCTACCTACTACTATTACTACTGTAACCGTTTTTAATCCGCTATAAATTCGCTCTATTAGCTACTATCGCCCTACTTAATATACTACCTTTCCACGGTCTATATTTTAGCGAAATTTAAGTTAATATTAATTAACCTTATATCGATACGTCGCACGGATACAACCATCAGAAGGGAACGTAACAACTAGCGCTCCCAGGGACCTAAATCCGGCGCCAAACGAACCGGCACAGC